ACAACAATTATTACAATTGTAATTTGCTAACTGTTGCAGGTTGGAGATGAGAACATTACCTTACCATATTGGCTATCCAATGCATCGGCACTTCTATGCCTACTCCAGAGAAACTTGCGTTCAAATGGCTTTTTGAATGCTGCTACACAGTTTTCTGCACCTTCTGGGTTGCCAGCAAGGGTTGTGCATGTGAGTATAATCACGAGACTTCGATATTGCAATCTTGATCTTGCAATTTTCTGCTATTAGAGGTCAAATTTATTTAACATGCGTCTCCATGACTATATGCATTACCTGAATACCTGAATTGTTCTCACTCGTCTGCCTGAATTTGTATTTTCTTTCAATTTCCTAATCCCCCTTCAAAATTTTTGCATATGCTAGTTGTGGCTAGTTGGGCAGGCTACATTTAGCCCTGACATTACTTTTTTTTTTCCCCAATTTCTTACGCTTTTACTGATATTTTCCTGATTCTGCTTATTTAATTTTGTCACTTACCAGGGTTTAAAATCTCCATTCAAATACATTGGATTTGAGGATGGTCTGTCGCATGTGGAAGCTAGGTATCCAGCCATACTGTTTAAGCAACAATTAACTGCTTGTGTAGAGAAGATATTTGGCTTGATTAGAGACAATTTGAAGAAGGAATTGTCCCCATTGTTAGGTCTATGCATTCAGGTAAGTGTTAGTCAAAGGCAGCAAATAGACTTGCTATGATTAGTTTTGGTCTTCTTGTTGCTTAATCATTATCCAGTTAGAGGTCCAATGCATATACTGAGAAATATTCATATTTTCATTCATGCAATAGTATGTTCTCCACCTGTACTTGTTACTGCTCTAGTTTCATCAAAGATTGTCCTGGATGGTAAATACAAATTGCTAGTAGTTTTAATGCATGTCCTGCTTATCTTTTTATGTGGGTGGCTATTTCTTAAAGCTAAGAATTATAATATATCATGCATCCACTATTTGGAAATATTCTTTTTTTTTTTTTTTTTTTTTTTTTTTTTTTTGGAAATATTCTTTTTTTTTTTTTTTTTTGTTTGTTTTTTTTAAAGTATATTGTCATTTTGTTGTTTAAAAATTGTTTCAATGTAATGAATCATCCATATATGGGCTGGATCATTAAAAGGCACCAAAAATTTTTTTTTTTTTTTTTTTTTTTTGTTTTTTAAATTATATTGTCATTGTTGTTAAAATTGTTTCAATGTAATGATCATCCATATATGTCTTGGATCATTAGGCACCAAAAACTTCACGGCATGCTGGAAAAACATCTAGATCACCTGGTGGCATTGCTCAGCAATCACCCAGTAGCCAGTGGGAGAGCATCATCAAATTTTTGGATACTCTCATGGGTCAATTACGTGAGAATCATGTATGTGCAACATTTTACACTTTTATTATTGTTGTTTCAATCAAATGGCTTTTACTTGGTCGTTATGAATGGAAGAAGAGTACGCATTCAGTTTGGAGTTTAAACTATTCACAAAAGTACTTATTATAGGCAGGGATTATTTGAATTCATGTATGCACAATGATGCATGAAACTTGTTGTAAATGGGGAAATATTAAGTGCTTATAAAATGTCCTAGGATATTCACCACAAGTGCAGATACAAATAAGTATTGTAGTAGCAGAGATATAGGCGCTTCACTTGCAATTTTTTCCTTTATTTCTTTTTGTTTGTTATATATTCACTTTGTTTCTTTTGGAGTATCTCAAAGAAAATCTGCAATTATTACAAGTAAATATGATTTCACTTAGAACTTATAAGCTTATCTTTATCTAGTATTATTCCTTAATTAACTTATGCACTTTCTTCTCAAATTGATTTTGGTTTCTTTTAATTAATTAAATTCATTAATATGATCACATCCATATCTTGTTAGACGATAGTATACGGACATCGGGGGCACAGATCAAGTTCAATTTCTTTTGCTTTGAGTCATTCACATATACGCGCACAGAGTTCCTAATGGACATAAAAAAGGAATGCTAACGAGCAAATAATATATATATATATATATATTCAATAGCATTTGAATTTAACTTGTTTCAAATTATAGACTTTGGGTGGTAACAAAGATCATGTGTGGGATGGCCACATAATATTGCTCGCCTTAAAAGGAAGTTACTGAATTTCTTTATGTTAATAATGTATGTTCTTCTAGATCTCCTACAATGTGACTGCAAAATTATATCACTATTAAGACTCATATGCTATGTAAACATTTTTTCATTGGATTTGTGAGTCTTTGTTAATCTGAAAATTACACATGCAGGTACCATCATTTTTCATCCGTAAGCTCATCACCCAAGTTTTCTCTTTCATCAATATATCACTCTTCAATAGGTGAGCATCACGAATTAAAAACTCTATTCATCATGTGGTAAAAGGTTTTCTTTGTTTGCATAACTCAATTAATTTTCTCAGCCTTCTGCTGAGACGTGAATGTTGCACATTTTCAAACGGGGAATATGTGAAATCTGGTCTAGCAGAACTTGAGAAATGGATAGTGGGATCAACAGAAGAGGTAAGTACACCTAACTCTTCTGTTTGAGTACTTGCTCTGAAAGTCACAGGCTGAACTCAATGTTTTGTGTCTGAATTGGTGTTGAATGTAGTATGCAGGAACCTCGTGGCATGAGCTAAATTATATTAGGCAAGCTGTTGGTTTTCTGGTAACGAAACCACTATTTGTTTATTTGATGTGTAAGCATTAAGTAATAATTAGTATCATCTCCTCATTCTGGTTCAATCTTTTAGGTGATACATCAGAAAAGGAAAAAGTCCCTTGAAGAGATCATGCAGGATCTTTGTCCGGTATGGTCTTGCCCACCCATTGCCCCTTCCAAATTCCTTTCCTCTATCATCGATTAGGGAAATATTTTGATATGCATCTCAACAACCTGGTGTCATGACACTTGTACAGGCATTGACTGTTCGGCAAATATATCGTATAAGTACCATGTATTGGGATGATAAATATGGTACTCAGAGCGTTTCAAATGAGGCAAGTTTCAGTTTTAGAATCTTCAAACTCCAATGTGGTTAATTTGGTCGATTGATGTTTCTCAAAGTCTGACTAATTTCATCGCCAGGTGGTTGCTCAAATGAGGGAGATGCTGAATAAGGACAATCAGAATTTGACATCCAACTCTTTCCTGTTGGATGATGATCTCAGGTAATCTCCAGTCACTATCAACATTATCTGGCATGTCCTACATAGAATAATAGTGGACCAGACTTAAAACTACCCGATGGCCTCGGCTGGTGAGCCTCTAGGATTTATAATAGAAACCTGAGATTAAATTCTGCCATTATGGCATTTTCATAGTTGGGTTTATAGGTATAAGATTTCTGCACTGGTTGTCTTTTGATCAGATTGTAGAAAACTTCCTGGAGTAAATTTTCTGCTGGCTCATATATTGCAGTTATAGCAAGTAAAATATTTTCTTCACAAATTTCTGCATTAACCAAAGTCTACACTCATCGAAACCTTGATTTTTGTGTTGGTGCTTGGCTGTGATTTGGTTTCTAATCATGAAAGATGCAACTGACGATCTCTAGATCTATCTGATGCAGATTTTATTTGTTGTCTTCCTTTTTTATTTTGTATTCCAGGATGTTATAAATATGTTTTATAGAAGATAGCTACTAACTTAGGTTCTTTGTTCATATTTACCAATGAATTTGTTTTAGCTCGTAAATATGTTTGTTACTGCCATCTATTTGCAGCATTCCATTCTCCACTGAGGATATAGACATGGCAATTCCTGCAATAGATCCTTCAGATATTGAACTCCCAAAGTTCTTATCAGAATATCCTTGTGCCCAGTTTCTAGTGCTGCATCAAAACCAATGTTGAAGTATACACAGGAACCAAGTTTTTTTGGATACTTGGAAGAGGAAACATTTTGTGGTGCACATTCGGTAGTGGAGAATAGTCTTCAGCATTGGTTTGGCATTAAATTATTTGTAGGATTAGCCCCTAGTAGTCATTGATGCTTCTACTTTTGACGAAGCTCATTCTTTCTTTGTACATGGTTTTTTTTTTTTTTCTTTTTAAGTTCTAATTGCATATATGTTGTATCACGGTGATTTTTCACTACTTGGTGCGTTGTATGTATAGAACATCATCAAGTTTCTAGCATTAATGGATGTTGAACTCTATATTTTGGCGGGCCGCCGACGCCTCAATGTTTTGGCCATTCTATTTAAGAGCGTTGAGTACTTGAGTTATTAATTGATATTGACACCTCTTGGTTTAACTTTTCAACACTTGGCTCCATCTTACTACGGTTTTGATAACAATTGATTCTTTGATGCCCGCAAGATCGCAAGTATTGTTGCTCTAATGAATTCTTTAAATAGTAAGTTCAAACATGAGGACCAATTGCCTTTCTCTTGATTCAGGGGGAATTTTGTTTCATTGTTTGCTGGACTAGGATTAGTGGTGTAGCTTTTGAAGGAAATCTGTTTAATCAGTTCGAGGAAAAACAATGTACAATTTACGTTGTTACTATTTTTTTTTTTTTTTTTTTTTGCTGTACTCTTGCCGGAATTCGCAATTCTTTTTCTGGCTCATTTTCTAGAGCCAAGCTGATTCTGTCAAAATGAATTTTCAAGAGATTTTTTGTTTAACAATTTTATTATCAGAAAATGTTCACTCCCCTAAACCACCACCATAAGTTCAAATCATTTCCTGAACTCAATTTTATTTTTTTTTTTTTTTTTTTTTTCGCTGTACTTCTGCCGGAATTCGCAATTCTTTTCTGGCTCCATTTTCTAGAGCCAAGCTGATCTGTCAAAATGAATTTCAAGAGATTTTTTGTTTACAATTTTATTATCAGAAAATGTTCACTCCCCTAAACCACCACCAAAAGTTCAAATCATTTCCTGAACTCAATTTTACAAAACATTAAAATCATTTCTATCTTGCATACCTACGCATCTTCAATCTCACTCATCAGGAAAAGGGGAGAAGTCTTCAGGATATAAATTTAATTTAGATTAAACAAAAACTGTAGAGCATCTTTACAAGGCAATACATGCGATATGTCACTATCAACCTCTGAACCTAGTTTGCGGCTTCCTCAGAAAGCCACGAAAATGGATGTGCCAAAAGCATTCAGATAAGTAAAGGTCACCCTCTGTCAAGTAAGGGCACTACCAACCCACTCAACCACACTTGCCGACCAGCTGATTACAGATCAGCCTTGCTGCTTAGCTTTCTACGATGTTAAAAACTCCCAAGCCACTACAGTTACTTGACCAAAGTGACGTGTGAGGATCGAAATCCCCTATATTAACATTCTCATTATAGTTAAAAATAAAAAATAAACAAACATGAAGCATACAAAGGGGCAACTAAAATGGAAACTCTTAACTGAACTGAAACAGAAAAAAAGAAAAAAACGCCTTCCATTTAATAGCCCATGACAATGCCACAATATTTTGGATAAGGTACAAGAAAATGTTAGGTCAGTGGTCGGTTTTGCCAAAGCTTGAAGGTGTAGTAGTGGAACAATATTGTAAATCAGCCACCGAGAATGATCGCCAGGGAGAAAAATTTTGCTTCGGAGATGGTAGTGACGCTAAATTATTATGAGAAGTCCTCGATTGTGGGTGCAGAGGTGGAAGATGTGGAGGAGACTTTGAATTTGAGCTAGAAGTTGAATCCTCACTCGTGCTACTAATACTCTCAGAGCTGCTCATGGCAACTGCTAGAGCCAATGTGCTTTTGCTTGAGCTAATTGGTCTTTTTGATATCCCACCCCCATTATTTCGATAAGGGAAACTTCTATTCTTTTCCCAGACATGACTGAAAGCAAGTAGATTTCTCCGTCTCCTGGTATATGCATTTTCTGGTTTTGTTATATCTTTAATGGAGCAAGAAGATGATGCCTCAGCCAAACTTGTGAAAGACTTTGATTTGCCATCATAAAATTTTGATATTCCTCGCCTGCAATCCAATTAGATGTTCCAACTATCAATTTGTTGTGTACTAAACGAAGATCAATTGCTTGGCAAACTAAAATTTTCCTTTACTACTACTATCCGATCCCTATTCTAATCTTCAACACGGCCATTTCAGGAAACAAGCTGCAACACCCTAATTCATACCTAGCATATAATGAAAACATAACCCCTAAAGATTTCTATAACAGAACCACAGGTTTCGCAGAGTAAGAGAAATAACACAATATTAGGCGTTTTAAGTAACCTAATTAGGAAAGATAATCAATTTAACCCCGAATCCTATATAGTTCATTCTCATCATCTATACAACCGAAAAGGCACCATCTTTAGCCTAGTTCATCTGTTAAATCTACCACTTCACTTTCTTAACTGGAAATTAATTTTCCCTAAATAATAACCTAATTGTTCCAAAACAAATTATCATAACAAAAAACATAAAATTAGAAAAGAAAAATATAACTAATTACCTCATAGGCAAAGCCTCCTCCAAAGCATCCATAGCGTCAAGAGTTCCCTTATACGCACTTTGCACTTCATTTTCTTCCTCACAATTTTCACCATCTGACGATTCTCTCCCTGATAGATCGCTATCCTTACCGATCGACGAAGTCGTCGAAGACGCAGCGGATGAGCTGCATTCATTAACTTCCGCCCTCTCCTCCTCCGCATCTACCACTCTTGTCTCCGTCGGAGACTCGAAGATCGCAGCCGTGGCGACACACGCGATTCCTCCACGCGCGTATCCCGAAGGTCCGATCTCTCTCATTCCTCGACTACTCTCTAACGCAATCGACATAACAAAGTACAAACTCTCAAGAACGATAACCAAAGGATAGAAATTGAAAAGATCGTCTTCTACAAGAGATGAAATTCGATAGAAATAGAGCTGTGATTTGTTGAATTCTGATAAATACCAATTACTGAGAGAGAAAATAATACAAATATATAGAATAATTAAAAATATTGATGATTAATAAATAAAGAAGAAAGAGAGAGATAGGCCTTATCCTCATCCACTGGATGTTAGAATATTCGATAATTTTGTTTTCTGGTGAATTTTAATACAACGAGTAATTATCCTCTGCTTCCAGTCTCATAGTTGCATCACTCTTTTTGAATTTTTTTTTTATTTTTTAATTTGCAGCTTTGGATTTTACTGTCTATGGTTTTAGGATAGAGAAGATTCTTTTTCTTTTTTTTTTTTTAACATTTTTATTTAATATTATATAAAAAAAACTAATTATAGAGATTATTGGTGGGTTGTGTTATTTGGAAATTCCAAACTATAAAAAAGGATCTTTTGTTTCATATAAAAATTAAAAAATTTGTCAATTTTAAAGTTGCCACATAATTTAAAAAAAAAAAAAAATCTATCTTGTTGTGTTTTTTTAAGCAAAAAATTAAGGAGAGATTATCTTTTGTTGCTTGTGAACAAAATGATACTTGTCCTTGTTCTTCTTCCTACTTGGGAAGTTGCCAAATTTATTAAAGGACAAAAGGGTGAATCAAAATACTGTAGTTGATGCAAAAGAATTTTTCTTACACGTATTTTCTTTAAACAACCAAAATTATCTTCTACTTCTTCCGTTATATAATAATCTTTTATACATTACAGTCTTAAAAAGATATGGGTTCCGAAACCGGTGTTGGTGTTGCCCGGACATGGATTGCGATAGCCTGAAATGAAAGAATACACGTGTCGCCTTAAGAAGGAACTGAGCAGATGGTCTCAAATTATGACACGTTGAAGGATATCCTTGGTCCGAGAAATCTATTGACGCGTTGCTGACGATACTCTTTCTTTGGGTCTGGTGAGCCTTATCCATATTTGTGGTCCCAACTAATGTCTGTCTTGATAAGATCTCTGTATCCCCACCTTCCAATTCTAAATAAAATTAATTTATAATAAAAATGAAAATTGCTTTAGCTTGGCTAGGCTTCAGTCAGTTGTTACATTACAATCAAAGTTTAATTAGGCTATTAGCTAAATCTGAGCAATATCAACCATTAGGATTTAGATGTGGCCCCACCAAAGACCAAATGCGTTTGGATGGTCTCGAAACGATAATGTCGCGGGCTGGGGTCCCACATGTCTAGAGAAAATAGAATACCATACGACCACGTGTTGATGACAATTCATCTTCATCCAAATCGCATTTCACGTGGACTTATTATACACGTATCCCACCATCTAGAGCGTGTCATAAATTAATTAGTTGGATAATGATATGTATGTATTTTTCTCCATTTCGGGTGACAAACCAGATAAGATAATGTAAGCTCTTCCATGTTTCAATCTTCCACAACTCAACTTGACATCCATGTTCTTTTTTCTTTCCTATTCTGTCAATTCCGTTTATATAAATTCATTTCTATTTTTGCACGAATTGATTAAGATATTCTGAATAGTAATTTTATTTATAAAAATTAATAAGATTTTAGAAAATAATATATGCTTCTTTTTTTTTTCATTTTAAATGTTGGGAAATAAGATTTTCTTCAAGAGAAAAGGAAATTGTTAGGGCTTGTATTCAATTGTGATTGGGCTTTGGTGTTGGCTGTTTGTGTTGTGTGCTTGTAAAGCCCAATAATTCAGATATTGAATAATTCAATTTCTTTAATATCTTCTTTTCCATTCTTCCTTTCCCCTTTCTTCTAGTTTTCTCTCTAATTCCCAACAACCAAACATCAGTTAGGGATCATAGATCTGCAAGTTCCTAATAATTAGTGTAGCCTATTAATTTTTATTGTCACCAAACATGATTATTCAATATTTCTCACAACAATAATGAATTTTGATAGCCATATACTCATCCAAAATGGAAAATCACAAAATTGGTCTCATTTTTTATCATGTACAAAACGACAACCAGAGCTAGTTGTTTTTCCGGCGAGAACTAGTCGCAATTCAGGCAAGGAGAATGATCTCCGAGGAGTAACATTCTGCTGGGAAAATCGTAATGAAACTAAATCATTATGAGATGCCATTGAACGTAGCTGCAAAGGTTCTGGTGAGTCTGGAGACTTACGAGAATTTGAGCTAGAATCTGAATTTGTACTACCGATGCTTTCAGATCTGCTCAAGGCATTAGTAATCCCTAAAGCCAATGTGCTTTTGCTTGAGCTAATTGGTCTCTTTGATATCCCATGCCCATCACTTAGGCGAGGGAAACTTGTATTCTTATTCCATAGATGATGAGCAAGTACATTTCTTCGTTTTCTTGTGTATGCATCCTCTGTCTTTCCGATTTCTTTAATGGAGGAAAAACAGGATGCCTCTGCTAGACACACGAAGGATTTCGATCTTCCAAGTGTAGAACTCTGATATGCCTCTCCTGTAATTATTATATATATCGATATTAGATCAAAAGGTAAAGTATTTTCATTCAACTTAGAACAGAAGAAAAGAAGAGAGAAAAGTTTACCTGATAGGCAAAGCTTCCTCTAAGGCATATGTGGAATCACATTTGCCTTTGTATGCGCTTTGCACTTCATTCTCCTCCTTGAAATCTTCACTGTCCGATGAATCACTGCCCCAAAAATCGCTATCCTTGCCAATCGACGACGTCGTTGAAGACGTTGAAGAACTAGATTGATTGCCCCCATCTTCCTCTGCCGGGTACTGAAAAATCCAGGACATGGCAGCTTGTTCTGATGGGGGATTTTTGGAGGTATTGGATGGTAAAGATGAGATAATAAAGATTAAGTAGTTATTACAATACAAAACAAAATATATAAATGGGTGTGTGGAATGGAGATTGGTTGAAAGTTGACTTTGGAATTTGATGAGTAACGTTCTGGAAACTCGCCAAGGCCTTCATCCTTATCTGTTTGATACTGAAATTTTAAATGTTATCTTCAACATTATTTGAGAATTAACATTTTTTTTTTAATCATAGTTACAGGGAGGGTGCACCTTATACATGGAAACTTCTAATTATAGGCGTTTTCGTATTAAAAATACGTTTCGGGGAATGTTATTTTTCTGTATCGATTTCACAAATTTATGCATTTCTATTTTTATGCAATATGCAATACAGATAAATTTAAAATAAAAGAATACGATATATTTATGATAAACTTAAAAGGTAAAAAAATAGTGCGATATTAAATAAAATGAAGATTAGCACATTTGATGAAGCAAGCAAAATCCATTTAAATCGTTTTGGATACACCATAAATAAAATAATTTTGCATTTTGCTTGCAAAAATTCCCTTAACCTTCTACACCAAAGAATTGAAATGATATACACATAATTAACTCCAACAATTTTCATACCCAAGATGAAATAAATTGGAGGAGCCGCATTTTAGGCATGATGCGCTGCCAGCTTTGCCAGAACTCCAACAGCAATAGAATTAACGTAAGTACATGGTTCAGTATACGTTGAACTTGACCGTTTGTCGACGAAGCCGTCATGTTTGTCCGGTCCACCAACAAAGGCTCCGGTTAGCTCATTAGGGTTTGGCCCAGGTTTATTGAACCAGTTCACAAAACTCATAGGGCAAGGCACTTCAAGATTTGCGTCACACATTGGAACTGAAGCTCCTCTATGGTGTGGTTCTGTTGGTGGATTGTGTCCAAACCCGACCATGTACGATCTTTTTTGTGGGTTGTCCCCTAGCAAGTAATCCATCTGCAATTTTTACACCACTTATCATTAATGGGTTATCAATCAATTAATTAAAATTAATGCGTCACTAATCTATGCTCGAGCCAGGTGATATTCAAGTAAAGTATTCCGAAATCATGTATTTTATAGCTATATACCTGTTTCTTGGCAAAGTTCATAAGGCAGGTGTGGTCAATTTGCCTGTCTCCGCAACAGACCTTTTGATCGAAGTGTTTGAGGTAGTCACTGTAGACACTTAGCAACATAGCAGTAGCAGTAACATATTGAGTGTTGGCTCCATCTCGCAAGTGAAGAACACCACCTGGGGTCATATATATTTGATGGTAAGGGCTATCGGGAAGAACTGAACATACAAAACTGTCAGCTCCATTTTTTTGAGCGGCTAAACCTCCCTCTCCTTGAAAGAAGAACTGCAAATCAAAGAAAAAGAAATGTTCAGCTAATTACAAAATTAATAGTTATATGATCCAAAAAAAATGAAAATTGATTATTAACCTTAGAGAGTAGAATTTGTGCTCCAGCATATTTAAGGTCCCAGCTAAACTCAGCAACATTAGCATTAATAGATTCATCCAAAACATAGCGCAAATACTCGTCTTTCTTGCTAGCCATATATAGCCAAGTTGCTGCCCACATTAGCTCATCCTGCACACAAATTTATTAATCTTTATTTAGGGACTAAAAGTGCCATTTTAATGATCTAAAACGTCATAAATCGGAGATTACATTGTAGCCGGAGAAAGAGCAATAGAAGGGGCATTCTCCATCATAGGTTCCTTTATGTGATTTAGCAAATTTGAAAAGCTGGAAAAGAAATTATTACGACCCAGAAACAGATAAAAAACAAGAGTAATGTTTGATTAATAAAAAAGGAAAAACAGAGATCACCGATTTGGCCTTGTTGAGGAGACAACGGGAATAAGTACGATTTACAGGTCTAAAAACCATAGAAGCAGCAGCCATAGCAGCTGCAGTTTCTGCTGCAATTTCTGTTCCAGGACAATGATCGTCAATTTGTAAAACAGTCCTTGGTGTCTTCATATTTTCTGGTCTAACCCAACATTGATGATCCTTTTCCGGGTCTCCCACCTAAATTATACAAATCCCATTCATTAGCCAATTGAAAAAAAAAAAATAAATAAACGAATTAATTTGCATGATTAACCATTATCACCATCACCTGCACATATAAACGGTTGCGTTTACAAGAAGCTTTTAGGAAATAATCTGTACCCCATTGCACACCGGCTCTAACATTTTCCAGTTCACCGGCTGATTCTAACTCTTTATGATAAGCAATAGCACCCCATGCTAGGGTTGTTATTGTAAAAGCCATTGGCAATCCATATTTCACATTGTCTCCTGCGTCATAATATCCCCCTGCAAGGTCTACATTTGCAAGTTTACCGTCGTCCAGGGCAGAATCTCCTCTCCAAGGAACTCTATTATTTGGTGGTAATTTTCCTGATCTTTGTGCTTCTAGGAAAATAATGCACTTACTCAGGGCTTCCTTGTAATTAAAATGACCATTAACAGAAACCAAAAGTCCTTGAAATAGAGTAAACCATGCAACGATAATGGTCAAAGAAAGCTTTCTTAAATTACCCATGAAGAAAGAGATTCAAATACACAGGAAACAATAAAAATTTATTAACAATATCTACTTTTCCCCCTCAAAACAAAGAAGAAAGAAAAAAAAAAAAGAATTTATTGAAAGGAAAAACAGTGCAGAGAGGAGGAAAAGGAAAGAATTACAGTGGAATGACAGGCCCTGTCTTGTGTTTCCAACTTAAATAGGCCAAAAAAAAAAAAAAAAAAAAAAAAAACAAAGAAGAAAAGAAAAAAAAAATGAATTTATTTTGAAGGAAAAAACAGTGCAGAGAGGGAGGAAAGGAAAGAATTTACAGTGGAAAATTGGGCACAGGCCCTGTCTTGTGTTTATCCAACTTAAAATAGGCCAAAAAAAAAAAAAAAAAAAAAAAAAAAAAAAACAAAAAGCAAAAATTCAGTTAGCGGTTTTTCCTGTTTAAAGATTGCTTTTTTTAGAAGAATAATGTAAAAAGAAATGGTGGTTCTGGTTTTAAGAGCTAGTTTTATTATTTTTTATTATTAATTTTTTAATTTTTGTACTTAGCTAGGTTACTGGAGAGATTTGGGGGAGCAAAATTGGTGGTGTTAGAGAGGTTTTGGGACTAAAATGTCTCCTATCTCACAACATTATTTACCTAATAATTAGTGAGGTTAGAAAAACAAATTTGTAATTTTCCAAAAAAAAAAAAAAAACCAAATTTGTAGAGTTAATAGAGTGAGCAATTGCAAATTGCAATCAATAGCTATTAGGCCATTAAATTTCCCGTCTAGATAGGCTTGTTTTCATTTTTTTTTTATTTATCCCAAATTATAGGCTTTTTAATACAAATAATCTCTTAATTCAATTCTTTATTGGAAGTTATGGATAACATTAATTAAGAAATATATTAAGAAAAGTGTATGTAAAATTAATTGTTCAAACCATGGACCCAAGGTGAAGAGGAGGAACTACGCCTTTCCGCTAACCAGTTCAAAGCCTGGACGGCACTCCGATATCAAAAATAATAATAATAATAATTGTTCAAACTACATTAATTAATTTATTTTAATTTTGTGAAAGATTTAAGCAAGTCTATTTTTTATGAGACGGATGGAACACAATAACCTTATAGGCATATCCTTTTTTCTATATTCAATGAGTGCTTTCTAAATTTGTTGATAGTGGCATACCACCTTTTTTCTATAATACTGGTTACGTTTAGAATTTCACGTTCCTTAAGAAAATATTAAATTTGTCTAAGGTATAATAAATTTTTTAACTAAATTAACTATATTACCCTTAATGTAATATTAATTCTCTGGAAAAATTATTAAATTGAAGTAATAACTATTTGTGATTATAAAGGGTAAACATAAAAAAAAAAAAAAAAAAAACATAAAAAAAAAAAAAAAAAAAAAAAAAAAAAAAAAAAAAAAAAGAAAAAAAAAAAAACAAAAAAAAAAAAAAAAGAAAAAAAAAAAAAAAAAAGATTTCTCAGTCCTTGAAACCACAAATGTGACAAGTATTATAGAATGAAAGTAGTATATCATTTTCTTTTCTATAAGAAATTTAATTACAACATAATAACAAGAAGGATCATTTTGTAATTAATATAATAGTATATAGGAAAAAAATAAGTTAAAAAAATTATAGTTTAACTACGTTAACATATAGTATGAAAGCCAAACTAGGTCGGGAATTAGGGGGATGGGTGGAGTATATATACAAACTTTGGAATTTGTACTACATAATTTGTCTAAGAAAAAAAAGGTCTTAAATAATGTAAAAATTCAGTAAAATTTATTCCGTGTTTTTTGGTAAAAAAATGTGATTATTTCCCTCTGTAATGTTTAATTTCTTAGAGAGGAAATTTTTATAATGAAAATTTTGAAAAAAAATAAATTTCAGGCTCCGTTTGTTTCTGTAAAATAACTTACAGGAAAATAACTTGCTGAAAATATTTTTATTTTCCTTGAAAAATATTTTTCAAATTACTTATTTTCCGTTGTTTGGTTGTAATATTAAAAATTAGTTAAAAATATTAAAATCTTTATCTCATAATACTGTAAAAAAATATTAATAATAATAGAAATACTTTAAAAATTTTATTGTTAAGCTATTGAAAAAGAATGGCATAATTATTCATATATATATACTAATATATTATATATTATAAAGCCGCTGATGGTAGTGGTGGCCGCCGGAGTGCGCTAGGATGGTGCCGGCCAATGATTAATTAAATTAAAAAATATGAATTTATAAAGTTTACCGGAATATCCTGAAAATATTTTACTTCTCAAAAATGGAGAAATGTTTTCCATAAAAAATAATCTTTAATTTTTTATTTTTTATATATATATAAGCCGCGGGTAGTGGTGGCCGCCGGTGGCTAGTGATGGTAGCCGGATGATTAATAAATTAAAAAATATGAATTTATAAAGTTTACCAATATCCGGAAAATATTTTACTCTCTCAAAAATGAGAAATTGTTTTCCATAAAAAATAACTTAATTTTTTTTTTTTACTAGAAAAATATTTTCCGTTAATTTATTTTTCTGAAAGTTACAAACAACAGAAAATTGTACAAAATATTTTCCTACAAATTATTTTTACGAAAACAAATGGAAATTTAATAATAAAAAAAGCGTGATCATTTCCCTATATCAAAATGAAGGATAATTTAGTTAAATCATATAAACATTTTGTTGTAACTTATGTAATTTAATTATTTTCTTAATTTCAGTAAAAAACATTAAATGATAGATAAAAATGGATTGAAGGCATATTTATTAAGCCTGAACATTATAAACACACAATTTGACAAATGCAGCCCACTCCGTTTGTCTAAGGGAACACTTTTATCACTTGCTAAACACACGTCCATATCTATATACTGATATAAAAGCAAAATTTGAAGCAATCACTGCAGAGATTTCAGAAAAAGATAGTAAAAAAATCTTTAAAAATGAAGTATCACACAAAATGGTAAATTGATAGGGGGAATGAATAAGCACCTAAAATAAAAAAAATAAAAAAATAAAAAAAAATAAAAAAAAAACACAAAATCAGGATAAAACTACCTGCTTAGGCCTTTTATATAAATGGCTCCAAGCTTAAGGTTAAGTTTCTCGCACCATTATAACTTCAAACTATATTCCCCTTTGATGGGGCCTGGGGGCAACCATTTAAACTGGTAACCACCATAAAAACTACAAAGAATCAAAGACTGTTTCTTTATATCTGTTTCTCCTTTTCCTTCTCCTTCCTGCTTTTGGAGTATAAAATTCAATAACCTAATCTATTGTAATAATCATATGGCCAAGCAATTCATTGCTTCCGAACGGCATGCTCCTCTAGAACATGGAAATTCCATACAGCTGCTGAACTACAGCCAGATGCTGAAGCGATATACGACCGGCCACCCAATAGTACATTGCATCAGCAATCAATTGCCCATCTAAAAACTGAGACAATTGAAATGTGTGATTAATCAGGTTAGCACCTCCTAATAATACCGCCTACGTTTTGGCCAATCTCTTCCTTTGTTTGCTCTGACACAGGAATATCTCCAAGGTACATGTCAAAGAAAGCCCCTGCCAAGTGAAATTCAAAGTCAGATTCTGTTAAATTCTTGTATTCTCATGTTTTGTTAATTTTCTCCACATAATTTTTCACATTTATTCACAGTGCTGCATCCTACCACTCAATTCTCAGGCATAATAGCACACAATAAAAGACAACAAAACAGAGAATTCACTTACTACATAATTCCTTGCTATGAACTGCTCCAATCTCATTACCTTCAACTGCATGAGAAAAAGCACCAAAGTTGGATATAATTTTGGTTATATGTCCAAACTAAAGTCGTTGATTATTTCTTGATTTTGGTAGAGTAGAGGAGAAAAGGAGAGGGGGAAGAGGGTGAAAGAAAGGCTTTCCTGCTTTTTAATAAATCAGGAAACCATAATTCTTACATGGCGACAACTCATCTTATATGAACAGAATAAATTTCTCTCTGAAGCAACTTACTTTCAGTTATTAGTTTCCCATCAGCTGTTCGTCGAAAATCAACAGTTGTTCCCTGAATAAATCCCATTAGAAGTTGAAGTCACTGTGTGACCTTGATATAACAAAAGATATGAGGTATAAAACATTGTATAGTTAAGCATCAAAGGAATTACCACAGGTAGTGGAATATCTTTTGTGAAGAATGAACCAAATGTTCTCAGGCAATTGTAATCAGTTTCGGGGTTTGTCTAGAATAAATCCATAGAAGTTTGAAGAGTGAGAAAACTATAAGCAAAAAATTCCTTCCTATTTCAAGAATAAATAGGAGTCAACAACTCAGATATTCGGTCAAATAATTTACCTTCACCAAACGGGCTCGAAGGGATTTCTCGAAAGCACTGCAAATACAAAACAAAGCACATGAATAAGTACTAATTTACCAGTATCAACCATCACAGGGGGCACATCTAAAACTTGAGAATGAACTTTTACTAGCTCTAGCAACTCAAGGCAAACCTATAGAATCTCAGTTTCAAGTGTTGTTAAAACCACATAGCAGAGTGTCTACGCGTCAACTACATTGAGACAGGCCCAAGCCTGAACTAAGGCTGTTCAATCAGTTGCCATTGGGTCCAACATAACCATTTGTAAGCAAGGCATTGCAATGTTGATAGGGCTGGCATTTGATGTTTATAAAGTAATAAAATGATGTGCAAATGTTCAATAGGGTCCTAGTGACCCAATATGAACAGTACTAGCCTGAACTGTGACCCGACTTATCTAACTAGTGGCCCAATCCGACCAATTTGATAAAGGAATGCTTTGAAACTGCAGTCAACATTCAACAATATGCTAACCAACACAATCAGATAAGGAATCAATATAGATACTAAAATTCATAAATGATAGTTTTTCCATATTGTATCAGGAATTTCCAGCTCATTCCAAAGCATTGCTCAAATCAGAAACCAAATACACTACAAATGCAAATAAGATTTGACTTACTCTTTCACGGAACTGATCTTCATCCCATTGCAGTTAATGACAAGCCGAACGGTCATGCCAACGTCCTCCCTGCAGCAAGATCATAAAAACTGCGGTTAGAACAGAAACAGAAAAAAAAATCATCAAAAATGCACAAATACTGAGCTATAGCCTATAGGTTCATGAAAATAGAGGTCTGAAATTTTGAAGGTAAGCAAGTGGCTGATCACATGACACATGCCATGTATTGCTTAGGACTTGATCAATAGACCACAGCAAAGAAATCAATGAAATAGTTAGCAACTCGCTTAGGAAAAATCTACACTGATCTAATTTCTTTAATGCCCTTGCCTAAATAACTAGATCCTGGAAAAACAACTTCATTAGTAAATATCATTTAAAATTCATTTTGTGTTGTAAATGAAACTTTTCAAAAGTGGAAAAATATTTGGAGTAATTATGGACTGATAGTTTCAAACAAAATATTACATTCTCATTGGTTTTTGTACATAAGTTAACAAATAACAAAAATAACACAATATGAAGCAAAAAAGTCATACCTCAGAAGATCCTCATAAAAGCCGTGACATTTGTTTAATTCATCCACCGGCACAGAAGCATATTTTGGGCCCAATTTCTCACAGACAGAGTTAGGGTGAACATCTACATGAAATAACAATTCATTTAGAATTCAAATAAATTAGTGATGTAGAATTCATTTAGAATGATTTCTAGTTAGAATTCATTTAGAAATTAATTCCTACATTTGGTGCGATACAACTTAAAATGCAAATTCAATTGAATTCCATATAGTTGGTGTTTGGTATAATTCATAATTGAAATTCATTATCCTCACTTTCTAAGCTACCCTCGATTGTAACATCAAAAAATAATAGTTTCAACTACTCCAAAAAATTCTTATAGCTAATAAATTGATGATGATTAATAAATATATAAATCAATGGATAATATATTAATAAATATAGAATAATATGCATGCTTATTAGCAATTTCAATTATCATGTTGAAGACTTACAATTTCTTCGTGATTGCTTATTATTAATTATTTTTAAATTTTACTAATTTTCTTTCCTTTTATTATTATTCTAAAATTTTCATCAATAAAATTTATTAACACTCAAATTCTCATTAATTTTTTTTTCCCAAAAAAGACATGCTTAACACCGAGAATGTGGTGGAACCTTGACCGGAATTGAATCAAAACCAATTGGAACAAAAACCAAAATCGGCGAATCGGCAATTCACGGGCCACTTAAGGTTCCTCCTTGAGAGGAACTTGAACCCCTGAGACACCAAACCCACCAAATGCCTATTTGTGCATGAGTTTGACATGGGCATTTTAATCCAAAAAAAGTTGTGTTAATTTTGTGGAATTCATTTCAAATTCCATAAAATTTAACAGAATTTGAGTTTTATTATAACCAATTCCATGGAATTGAATTCTAAACTTTTTCATACCAAACATATAAAACATGGAATTCCATTGAATTCATCAATTTTTTGTAAAATTCATTTAAACCAACTATAGTGCAAATAATATTCGATAAAATTGTGTAGTGAAATGTATGATACTTACAAAAACCAAACGCATAAACCTTCAAAGACTTTATTTTTATTATTTTCACAGTTCTAGATCCAGTCCCAACCAGGACCTGAAAATATGGACAAAAGTTCTTCGTGGTAAATGGCAAAAGACAGGACAAAAATGGTCATAAAGCAAGAAATAACAGATGGAGATGAATGCCATTTACAAAAACTTCATATAAAGGAGTTAGAAAATTGAGCCAAATCATGGAAATTGTAATAATAATAATAAAAAAAATAAGGGAAATTCTACAAGCTTTGAGGTTGAGGGAAGGAATAGTGACTTTCTTTTGGCTCCTATCACCAAAAGCTATTTTAAAGAATGAAGTGCATTTGAAGGATAATCAAAGTTATAAACTAGAAAGGAGTCTATTCAAGGATAACAGCATAAGAAAGGTGAAAATACCCCCAAACTCTACTTGAAAGGATTGTTAGAAAGAAACGGGAAAATTTTAGCCTGTCAAGGATTGCACCACCTCATGGTTTAGGATCAGCAATATATATGATGTACAAGTAGCAGAGACAATTTGAAACATGCACACAGCATCAGCAGCCAAGAAACTCATGATTTACCAATATCCTTGACAAAAATTATAAAACACTAAAGATATGCAATCTTCACCTGCATATTCGAAAACTGTATAACGTTAAGCGGTAAAACTGGCAGGCAGCAGCTGCAACAAATAAAGGGCACAGCAGAAAGCTAATAATTTCTAGATTGTTTCACAAATCACAGACAATATTAAAGAGGTGGAAGGTCAAAAAATGACTGACTTCAGAGTGGGGAAGATCAACATAGGCATCAAATTTCTGGCAAATTTTCAACATTAAGAACTTAATATCTTCAGACTTTTATACATTATTCCTAACAATCATTAACAAGTGATGAAGCGTCAGTAAGAAAATATATAACTTGTTTAACCAAAATGCAGTTGGCATTGATTGGCCCATATAGTAGAGAACAGAAACAAATTAGCTTCATAAATAGATAAATCTACATAGCATTCAATTCAAGGAGGAGTTTCATTTGCAAACTACAGTAATTTTCAGGCCTCACCAAAACCCTCACATTGGCAGAGCCATTGTCAATATGCATTAAGCATTTAAGCGCACACAAAAGAGTACTAATTGAGGTGCAATAACCATGAGAATGAAGTTTTGATGGTTACCTCCGAAGTTAAACTGGATTTGTTCTCTCCAGCTAAGATGTTGTTCAAAATCACCGGAAACTCAATGCCAGTTTTAGGCTCAACAGCATGCCTTGTCCAATTTAATTCAGGAAACGAGAGCCCTGAGCATCTTTGACGCTCAACTTCACAAGGCCTTTGATCTATGGACTCATGAACCTGTACGTCACCACTCTCAAATGGAACAGCTAATACTTTTGAAGGTCTGACAACAGAAATAGCAAAACACTTAAGTAGCCAAATCCCTCCATAAAAGTATGACAAAGGTGAGCTTGAATATTTAAGTGCAAATTACTGGATTAATCCATTAAATATCAAATGACTCACAATTTGTCAAATGGTGGTACAAGGGCAGCAGCTAATGAAAGCACAGGGAGTGATTGAAGTCTTTCAGCTTCTCTGCACAGAAGCCTTATCATGAAACTTGAAATCCTATTAAAACCCACAGGAGAGGAAGATTCGCCTTTTGGCCTTGAAACAAAGTGAAACCCAGCAAGATTATGTCTAGTGGGGGCAATGTGTTTAATTTGTGCAGGTGACCGGCTGCTTCCAGGTCTTGGCCCTTGTTGATTGCCTGCTACTTGTTGACTCAAATTTGAACTGGATGCACTAGTGAACCAAAGGAGTAAAGCTCCTGCAATCTTTGACATGCAGTTAAGAGCTTCTTGAAATGCCATGCCCCCAGGGATGTATAAGAATCTAGATTGGTGTAGAGAATTATCCACAAATGAATTTAATTGGGAACGTTGGGATAAAAGGGGCTCTATTGGTAAGATATATGGAGATCCATCATCTAGATTCATGAAAAACAACCAATTATTCCGCATTTTTATTTTGAGCGTGTGTTTGTATCCAAGCTAATGCTGAATTTTCAGAAGCCTTAAACTTTTATGCCAACAACCAATGTCAGACAAATAAAAAACACCTGCATGGGAAAATTTATAATATCAAAGTTCATCGATGCAGCTAGTTCCAACAAAACATCAAATTAACATTATGTTACGTTATTTGAATTCTTAACATAGATATTGAGTTGTTAGTTTTCATCCTTCAACGATTTTACTATATCAATCCTGAACTACGAAGAACCTCGTTTCAACAAAGAACTCAATTTATCAAATAAAAGAATTCGTATTTTAACTCCTCAATCAGTTTCATATAATCAAAATCCAATGATTTCTTTTTAATTTACTACAATTGTAAAGGAAATGCATTGCAGACTTGAAACCAAATGCCAAGGCTCAATCCAGTAAACCGAAAGATAGTATGACAATTTACAATACTGAGAACAGGAAGCAGCAATCTAGCTTTAGATCATACAAGACAAATCCTTAACCTTTCTCTTTTCACCTTCTACATAAAGCTGACATTTTTAGGTCAATTCATGTCAATGACAAGGTAAATTAATTCATTAACAAAAGCAAGGCTCTTTTCAAGAATGTAAGCCAATTAGAATGAAAAACAAAAAAGGGTAGAAAATATCTTTTTCAAAAGCAACCTTTGAGCAGTAACCTCAATTCTGTTTCTTTTCTAATGGAATCCTTTCAAGAACGACAATGCAAACCATCAAAAACCATACCTGAAATTACAAAAGGAGAAACTCAATGACAAGGTAGAGAGACAAAGGTTTCAAATTTTCCTCGTCCTTTTATTTTTCCTGTAAACGTGTTTCCTGTAGATTGTGACCCTGAAGAAAGAATATTCTTTGATTTATGAAATGGGGAGAAGTCATAGCCAAAATCAAAATGGCTTAAAAATTTTGCAGAGAAACTAATGAATTTGGCTTTTGGTAGCGTAAAGCTCACGACATTTTCCTGATTTGTTTGGACGGCGGGGAAGAGAGAGAATTGTACTGTTGTTTTCCAATTCTCTTCTTCGTACTCTCGTTTTTTTCAAGTATTTTGAGACTTTTGCAGGGAAGGGAGGAGAATTTTCACAATGACGATTTTGTCCTTGTATTGGTATCAAAGTCACCTAGGCTCCATTTATTCCGTAAAATAAATATTTTTCTTGACAAATATTTTCTAAATAATTTATTTTCTAGTGTTTGGTTATAATAATAAAAATTAGTTAAAAATATTAAAGTCTTCTATCTCATAAAAATATAAAAAATATTAATAATAATCGAGATTTTATAATTTAAAATTTTTATTCTTAAATATAAAAAGAATGTAAAAAAATATAAATTATGAAAGCCGATGGTGACTGGTTGTAGTAGACGGTGATGGTGGTCAATGGTAAGTGGTATTAGTAACTATGATGATAAACAAATTAAAAAATATAGATTTATAAAGTTTGACAATATTCGAAAATTATTTTACTCTCTAAAAAATCAAAACTTATTTTACTTAAAAGATGAATTTTTTTATCAAAAAATATTTTTTATTAAATAAAAAAAATATTTTCTATTAATTTATTTTTTTAAAATATCCAAACAGTGAAAAATTATATAAAAAAAAAAATTTCTACAAAATATTTTACGGAAATAAATAGATGCTAAGATTCGGGGCATATTATTTGCACGCGACATGAGGCGTCGTAGATGGACGAAAAGCTTTCTGTCACTTTGACGCCACCTTTTGTCGTGGAGAATTAAAATTTCTTTAACGTCATAATCTTAAATCTTCTTTTTTATTTTTTTTCCTTTTATTTTTTCTGAAACAAATATTTAGTTTTATATTTAAGTATTGATAAGGAAAATTTCAATCGCTTCATCCATTCCATATATACATGCTTACTTTTTCTTTTAATTTGTCTAAAAATATAATCTTATTTTTCTTTTTAAAATATCATTTAAAATACATATATTTTCAATTATATATACTATAATTATTAATAAAGGATATTTTAGGAAAAAATTAAAAAATATATATAATTTAATTCTATATTTTTCTTTTAATAATTATCATTTAAATACATATATTTTCATTATATATACTATATTATTAATAAAAGGATTACTTTTACGGAAAAATCTAAAAACTATATATATTCTAATTATTTAATAAAAATTTTTTAACTATACGGGAAAATCTTAAACTATAAACTTATATAAATGGGAGGAGGGTTTTATGAGTATTTGGGGTTTTTCTTTTTTCTAATCGCAAGGTTGAAATCTTTTCTATTAACATTAAGGTAGATGATTTTCTCTCTGTCTATTGTAGGTCTATCTTATCTCTTTCTTTGCAGGATTTCTCCTCACATCAGAAAATTGGAAATTTTCTTGAATCTTTTATCTCATTATTTTTAAATTAATTTTTTTTTTTTTGTCTTTTTTTTTTTTTTTTTTTTTTTTGTGATTGATTGAGAAAATATAGACTATTTTTATAACTTTTTATCTATTGGTGTTGGTGTAAAAATGTTTTCTTTATATTTTTGAAGGTGGAAACTTTTTTACCCTTGTTTAATCTTAAAACTATTATCTATATTAGCAAGTTGGATTACAAATAATCAGTGCATGAAAAAAAATTTACAATTTGGGATTTTTTGAGTGTTCCAAAAGAAAAATATTTGTCTAGATCACTTCATAATCTCATATATATGGATCAAATCAATGCGAATAAAAAAATTTTAAATATTATTCCTTTTTTTTTTTTCAGTGTGTGATCTCATTTCAACAAAAATTCATATTTTGATTGGTTTGATAACATGTGAGATTATGGATCCAATTTAGGCAAACCCTTTGCAAAACTAGAAATATTTTAATGTAAATAATTATTTTCAGACGGTTCCAAGTTGTCTCTTGCTCAATTATTAGTTCTTTACATAGGTCAGTATCAAGCCATTTTAGACATTTCTCTCATTTTATAACTATATGCTCAATAAATAAGTAAATAAATACTCGACTAGGTTTGGTCTTTTTGATCGTTTTACTTAAATGTGAAGCGAGAAATCTCGAGTTTATTTCAACTCATTGGACTTCCATATAAATAAATAAATAAATAAAAATAAATAAATAAATAAATAGAACGTTCTAAAAGAAAAAAGTTACTGCTAAGTTAAAAGTTCGTAACTCCGCAAAGTTTTATTTTCTAGAAAATGGACATCAGAAAGAGAAATCATTGGTGTGACATTTTTCTACTTTCTAGTAAGACGCAGAAAAACAGAGCGTTAGGGACCATAGTTGGTGGGTGGGGCTAAACCTCGCAGGCAAGTCGGCAGTCGCATCATCGCATGCACGTTGAAGAGCAGCAAACGTGGAATGCACCTAATCTCATTGGAAGCATGTAAGCCTTCCACAACTGCAATGCAACCGACGAAAATAACCATATTTTTCTTTATTAAGGGTTGGGACCCACCAAAGTCTCATTGACAACGAATTTCACGTGTAGAAAAATGAATAATATAAGCAACATCAACATCTTGAGTTGGTATCTTGTTGGTATGCTCAAACACCAATGTCCATTGATTTGACAATACACGCACCACCAAATCAAAATGATCAAAAAAAAAAAAAAAAAAAAAAAACAAATCAAATGAATCAAAAAAAAAAAGAAAATAAAAAAATAAAGCCAGAGAACCAAAAATTTTGACACCATTAAAAAAAAAAAAAAAAAAAAAAAAACAGAGAACAATAAATTTTGACACCATTGAAATGTTTGACAAGCTGCAAGTAGAAAAAAGATCCAAGAAAGATCTTCCTAATAAGAAAGTTGCACTTAGACAAGCTGATTCGTATTCAGGGGATTCATCCTAAGGGAAAGATAAAAACATAAACCAGCACAACATAGCTAAGAATATTCCTCTGATGACTGCAGAAGCTGAATTTTTTTTAAAAAAAAAGTTAATTAGGGCAGAAAAAACATGATAATGATCTGTGTTGGAATAGAAAGAACACAAGGTTGCTTTCATATATATGTTCTATCTGAAAACAGAACAGGCAAGAAAACATTTCCTCTCAGAAGGTCTTTCTCTAGACAAATTACCAGTCAAAGGAAATCATGTTCATGGGGGGTTGGTAAAATATTCTTCTTTGGGCATGCGCAAGTAAAACCAAATGAAAATTCAAAATTTTTAGCCTGCAACGCCAGCAGTCATCAGATGAAGGTGTTTCTTCCAACTCTTAATTTTCAAAGTACTAAGTTCTGCAAACTATGAACATTTCCTTTAAAAGTAAATCCTTCTTGGTCACAATAAGCCAGCTTCGAAGAGATTTCTTCGTCTTAAAGTCTCATCTACAAGCTTGAAAGTTTTCTTCACAAGTTTCTGATCAAGGGCAGTGGTCCTATATATTTTAAACACACGATCCACACGATCAGGGGTTGTGCTCTGAAAATACAACTCCTCAAACTTCTTCTTGACATATCTGAAGGATAAGATCAACAGTAATGATCAGTGAGTGCCTGGAAACAAGAAAGTAATTTTGGATGGTTCAAAAAGCATCGATAAGCCACCAAGGATTCACCAATTATTTTGGCAAGTTCCTACAATTGGCTGTATCATCAAGCTCAATAAACTGTCCTAACATTAAAACCTTAATTCTAGCAATGTACTATATAGCTATCAATTGAAGCTCATCATACACCCATTAACTAATCTAAAGTTGAGCAAAATGTACATCACTAGAAAATTGTAAAATAAGATTGTTGCATTTCTTATCCATTCAATGTGTCAATATCGTTCGACCAAAGCAACTAACTGGAAAACATGTACAAAAATGCTTACTCGTATGCATGCTCGATTTCTTGTTTTCCTGTTGAAACTGGCTGGTAATCTTTGAACCAATCACATACATTCAGCGGCACCTACACAATGTGGAATGTCACAGGTTCAAACTAATGCTTACTTGTATTTACTAATAAAAAATGAACCATGTAACTCTTACTTTTAGAACCTTCTTTTCAAATATATCAAATTTGTTAAGAAACAGCATGAAGGATGTTTTCTGCACACAAGAATTGCAACCATCTAAATTCACAAGCCTAATATAACAATGTAATATTAAAGAAAAAAAAAAGAGAGAGAGAAAATGAAAATAAGTGGCATAAAGGAAAACCTCGAAACATGGCTGCTTCAGGACCCATTCGAAAAGTTCCTTTGTTTCCATCATACGGTTCTTGTTTTCATCCTCAAAGAGTGTTTGATCATACCTAAATCACAAATTACCTATTCAAGGTCTGTTCCAATTGAAATATGCCCTGGTGCTATAATTTTCACATTTCAAACTAAATGTTAAGCGCTCACTCTGGTAAATTTTAAAAGAGACTGCTCTCAGACAGTAATGACACATGTCACATAAGTAACAGTTATTGCACAAACTACTTAAAAGGGAATCAAATATCCCATATTAAAAGGGAATACTTATCGTTGCTTAAAAAACAAGGTTCAATGTCCTATGGATAAAATGGGTAATCTTACTCGCTAATCGCGGCACAAAAAATTACAGCTGTAACTCCTTCAAATAGATGAATCCATTTCCGTCTCTCATTTCTCTGGCCACCAACATCAAAAAGTCTATAAACTTCACCACTTTTCTTGTTTTCTCCAACAGGGCTGCCAAGTTGAAGCCATCACGAGTTATTGATTTAACTATATAAAGCCATTGTGCACATATAAGGAACATATGGATTAAATAAATGGAAGATTATTCTTTTGTGATGCCAGACGCACAGAAAAACATACTTTTCAATCATGTTGTAGTTTATTTGCAAGTAAAACTGCTATAAGACAAAGATGTTTAGTGTCATGATCCCATGTTAAAGGGTCAAGATCAGTCAAATTATAAAACTTAAATGTTCACCTGAACTGGATCTCTACAACACCAGTTGTACGTACTCTTGCATAAAGAACATCCTCCTGAAATATCAAAAGTACACTTAGAAGCGGGTGAAAATAACTGTAAATGTCATATCAATATTTAAGCAAAGTTTTCAAAATAAGCTGTCCAGAGAAGCTGGCTATAAAAATTTAAAACCCAATGCATAATAGAAACAAAAGTGGAACTAATTTAAGTCTTTTGTTAAATTATTTTAGCATTATCATATATGAAATAGGAAATTTATTAATGTCCCTGCACCCTCCCCACTGACACCCCAACCAATAACCCATGCTTTATAGTCACTCGTAAAGTTTTCATGCACGTTTCAAAATACACGTCAAGGAATAAGCTCCCAGTTGAGCTATATTTATCAATTTCCATCACAGGTTAATGATAATTAAAATAGTTAACTAAGTTTAAATTAGTTATTCTTTTTCTGGCAAGCATTGTCTATTTATCAGAATCCAGGAAAAATATGAAGGATTTCTTTTGCAACATAAAGAGTCATTGAATCACACTTCAAGCAAAATGCACTAATTTTCTCTTCCTCACCTTTTTCATCATGTTTATTTTCTTTACTTATTTTCTATCAAACTTTAGTCACATTGATGAGACATGTAAATTTTCTCATTAATACTTATACTGGCAAATGAATAGACTTAGAAAAACAAAAATACAGTTACAATTTTTAAAGTTTGTAATTTTAATTTATTTTCCAACTTCATTTGATCATGTATTTTTTCAATTTCTCAATGGTATTATCAGCTGACCAAACTAAAAAAGTTCTAGCCCTACCTTGCACCAGCTAATCCAATATTCCCTCACAATATAAACAGTAAAGAAGCAGGGGCGGAGCTACACTCCAAAACCAGGAAGGGCCAAAGAAAAGTATTCAAAAGTTAGGGGACCAAATAAAAAAAATTGCACTATTTTGTAAAGTAAATTTTAAAAATATTTTGGAGTCTCCCCCAAATCCACCCCTCTAGAGAAATCTAAGATCTATATTTTATATTAGCTGTTGCATCAAGACAGTCTCATCGTGATTAGCACACGCATCAGCATGAGTCAGAGCAATCCAGATGCTTTTTTGATAATGTTATCAGTATATGCTGCATTTGGCCAATAGTTTCACTTCATTATAAAACGTATTATCCCGATATGGATAATTTTGTCTAAAGATATGGATAAAATTTGCATGATATGGAAAGAATAAGCAAAATTCACTAAATACCTTAGTTGGAATATAATTGCCATCAGACAATCTTTGCAAATTTTCCATGAAATAATGGGCACAGTCTGGAACTTGAAGCTCATTACCCCGGGAATAAGTTTCCTAGAAGTATAAACTAACATTAATACTAGGAATGCCCCATTGATAAACAATTGAAAAGATTAGTTTCAATTATCTAATAGATAAACATAAAAATAAAATCTGAAGCCATCAGAAAGATGCTTGGCTGTTGGTAATCAATATATGTATTTACATAACAAACTGACTACCTGAATTGCAGCATCTTTCCATAAAGTTTCAATTTCCTGTGCAAGATCTTTGGTGAGACATGGATAATCCAACCTACCTCCAATTTCTGAAAATTTATCTCCAATTTCCTGATGTACAATGAAAAACGAATTGATTATAGCAGCGAATCCTCTTAAAAACAGGACTCTCCAACATTCTTCAGGAAAATAACAAAAACCGTCAAATTTTCGCAACATTCCATTCCAACAATGGGTGCTAGATGACTCACAACATTGCATCTCTAATAAACCATTGCTGACCAAAATAGAAAGAAATGCCTCACTTGAAACAATGCAATAGACATTGAAATGGTGAATTCAAACCTTATTTTCACTGGATATGACATACTTTGATGAATCTGTTTCATTTTGAGCCAATTCCTTTGATCCATCATGCAATATCTGTTCAAACACATTGTTTGCAGTCTCAATACAACATTCACAACTCTAAAATTCAAATTGTTGCCATCATGGCCGACTCTACATATTCTTTACATTATGCAAAAAGGGAAATAACCAACACACCCTGTCAAGTATTGCATACTTTTATTGTCTGATAGACATTGGCATGTATGACTGAGATATAGCTCTTCAATTCCGACTCATCAAATCCACTTTGAAACAGTAGCTTTATCTGCATCATGCATGAAAATTTTGTATAAGTAGGATTTCAATAAACATAATTAAGGGAGTAAGATAATATCTTACCTGCTTAAATATTGTGGACTTCCCAGAGTCTCCAGCTCCTTCATCATAAAAGGTTGTAAAAAACAGCACATTAAACAATCCAGAAAGGGAAAGAAAATGGGATAAAAAAAATGGAAAAGGAACCAAAGCATTTGAAGGCACACAAGAGAAAGGAAAGAAGTCAAAATAAAATAATTGCACTACCGAATTTCAAATAAAGAAACTATACTTGAATATGCAGGCTGACATAAACAAGCACAAGTTTTTTAATCGGTCACAGCATCAGAAAACAGAAACTGTGTACTAAGGAAAGCAGTCAAATATTTATGTTACTTGAGCACTCCACCTCAAGTTATCTCTATCCGTAGCCTAAAGATATGAAGAGAAAAAAGAACAAAAACTTTTTCACCAACAAAATGAAGGAAATTAACGTTCAAGTCTTCAGGTAACACCATAAGCCATCCAAAAGAAAAGCATGTGAAAGTGATGAAATTCATAATCATTGTCCCACTAAATGCAGGAAGGAACTATTTCATGGAAATCATGCACGGTGCCTCCTGTTGACCCTATTTTTCTAAACCATGTATATGGAACTCTCCTACATTGACAAGCAACTACTTTATAGATGCCAAACAATTAATGCAATCACAGGTTCATTCAAATTGGAAGTACCAAGTAGTAGGAGTTTTTGAATATGCCTTTCAGCCTTTGTTTCTTGCTCAATCCGCCTTTCAATTTCTGCAGCCTGAAGATGCTTAATGTTAAATATCAATTTGCGTTACGAGAGAGAAAAGAATAAAGCATAAATACTGTTGCAGATTAAACTATTCAAGATTGCTCTAGTAACTGTGAGTGGAAGGCAAAGAAGCTTGTTTTTCATGAAAACATAATTCACCTGTGCATTCTCTTCAGCGTCTGCTTCATTATAACGACGCTGTTTACTGCAGAGCATGCCCATATCTTGTATTCCAATAGACAGCATAGACAAGGCAATGATCAAGCTTGACCAGGTACCAAAAAATTCTTTGAATCCCTTGTATAAGTATCATTCATGACTGGTCAACCGAACCTGAACACAGTGCTGTAAACATATACAAGACGTTTAAAATCATACACGTCTTTTTTGAAAGAAAAATAAACGTTTAAAGCTTAATCAACAGTATAACAAAACGCCCACCCCATCCCCCAGCCATTAAACTGTTGTGCTTGATTTCGTTGTGGGTGACAAAGCGTAAGGTTCAACTCAAATGCTAAAATTCACTGTTCAAACTGCAAATTCTTGTCATACAGCTAGAGACTGGATTAAGCATTATGACTTCATACATTGCGTATGAGAATTAACCGGCATTTGATTATGCTCTTGCGTACATAAGTTGGAATATGCAAGCAAGTCCCCAAAATTTACATGTCATTTCTCGTGAATCCAAAACACACCATGGACCAAAAATATATGATGTAGACACAATTAATACACATATAGAATGCCCAGAAAATGCATCTGCACTTATGCCACAATAAATATACCGTGTGCACTCTGGAAGTGTACCCAATGTTTCAGGCCTAAGCCACGCTCTTTCCTTCCCCCGTTAAAACGGCAACACTAATTGCTCCAAATTCCAAAAGAATAATTTATTGTCCAATTCAAAAAGCAGCCAAACTGAAAAGTTTTTGTCTTGAAGAATATTGAGAAAAATAAATTAAAAAAAATGAAGCAGATTAATCGAATGGCCCCCATCAATTTCAAAATCAAAAGACACAAGCAAGAAGCATTATAAGCCAAACCCAGAAAAGAATCAATAAGAAACAAGCAAAAACCTCTTGATCTGCTACTGTTAGAGCACAGGAAAGATCCCTCCAATAAAACGAACCCAGAAAAGGGGAAGATCTAGAAAGAGAGAGTGAGCTTAAAAAAAGTTACCTGCTTGTGGTAAAGGAAACCAATTTGCTAAAGATTAGGCTGATTTGGTTTAAGTAGAATATAAAGAAGCAGAGGAATTGGCTGGTCCTTGTTTGTTGTTGCTCTAATAACTAAAAGAGTAGATATATTTTTATAATAGTGTATATATAAATAAAAAAAAGGGGAAGCAAGAGAAGAGCTGGCCAAATCTGGAAGGAGGGAAAGAGAGAAAGAGCGCCGAAAGCTGCAAGGAAAGAAGCCTCTTCTCTCTCTTGCTTGCTTGTACTTGCCTTCTTCTCAGTCAAAGTTCAAAAGAGAAGAGAATAGTAACAATAAAAAAATAATAATAACAATGTGATGTAATATAGGCATTATTGAAGGAAATGTAGAGGGTTGATTTATATATGATTACAGTGTGTACATGGGCAACTCTTTTCTTGGGAAAATACACACACTTAGATACAAAAAAAAAGCTCTGTGACTGTCTTTGTGACTAATATCCTAACTAGACTCTGCTCCTCCTCCTCCCCTCTCCTCTTCTCTTATCTTCTCTTCTCCTCTCCGCTTTCTTCTCTTTCCTTTCTTTTCCTTTCCTTTCTCTGTCTCTCTCTGTGTACTCGAATATCTTCCCACGCTTACGACCAAAGGACATCACGTCCTCACCTCTGCTACAGGACAAGTTTCGCATCAGCATTTCTTTTGTCTTTTTATTTTTACCTGTCCGGTAAAATTAATTACTATTTAGTTATAAAATGAATTAACTGCTGTAAATTGTTTTTTTAATATTTCATCTAACATAAAAAATAAAAACATTTCATAATAAGCCTCGTCCATCTCTCATTCTCAAAATTAATATACACGTTACACCTAAAAACTGTTAGCGAAAAGAGTCTATTTAATTCTATTTTTATTTAAATATATTATTCCTCCTTAATTTTAAGCTACGAGAAGAATATTTTTGAATGATTAGTTATTAGAAATAATTAGATACTTAGAATTTACAGCTATATATTTGTAATATGATTTTCTATTTGGAACAAATCTGTAAATCTATTCATTTATTCAAAGATGAATTTCAAATTCTTGACTTTTAATGGGTTCTTGAATTAATTATGAATTAGTTAAATTGAAATATAATAATATTGTGTTCATACATATTATTTGAAGATTACTAGTCCAATTAATAATTGTTTATGACTTAACTCGTTTTCTTTATACTTTAGTAGAGAAAATTAAAATTTTATGTTTTTTACTTATAATTGAATTTTTATTAAAATAGCATATCCAGTAATGAATTTTCATATTCATTTTGTTTTTAAAAGACTAAAAACCAGTCACATGTACCTCGAAAAATTATTAATATAGGATATAAAAAATGAAAATTTAGTCTTGAAGGCTTTGAACTCCAATCTGTGTGCTCGATAAGTTTTTGAATGCATGGATCAAAAATTAAAAAAAAAAAAATTAAATACTCCCAGAAATATAATCATTTTTAAGCATTTAATGAGAAATACTTATCTACACCTAACAAAATAAATAGAATAATTAAAGACAGTTAGATTGGCATTAAGTCAACATTCATATTTCATTGCTGATCACCTAATTACTGTGATTAAGCATTAAATATTTTGGATAATTTTTAATAATTTTTTTGACTAATTGAAAATAAAAATTAATTTGACTTGAAAATTGGCTGTGTTCATCATGAAGGGAAGAAAACATAGATACTGCAAAATTAAAATCAAATGAGAAAATGATTTATTTGTCAATATCGTAGTAATTTGGGAATTGGGATCGTTTCCTTTCTTTTCCAAGACTTGACGTGTTGACCTCCATTTTGTACGTATTTGTATTTTTATACAACTCCCACTTTCACACGGCTAAGAATCCCAATACCGCTTCAAACTCAGTACTAAAGCATCTTACAATATACATTTTGTACGTATTTATTGATACTGTAACGGTTAATTCTTGCCCTTGTAAACAGAATTTTTAAATAAATTCAAGTGTCTAAACCAAATTTGTATTTGGAGTGTTTGAAAGTCCACATCAAAACCTTAACTCTTTCATTTTAAAATTTGGTCTGGAAGTAGTTGAGGCCCAAGAAAACAAAATCAATCTGGAATAACCCAATAAACCATGGAATCCACGTGGCTATCATTCTAATTTTTTAAAATCTTTTTTTTTTTTTTGGGTAGGTGTGAAATTAATACGGTTATAAATAGATGCACAAACTGTAATTACATGTAAAATGGAGGAAATTCATATATATACATTAATATCTTAGTTAATAAAATCATTTCCTTCTTGATACTAAAAGGGATAAATTAATAGAGGGGAAAAGCTTGCATTGCATACAAAGTCTACATACACAGTCCTTGGGCCTCTATGAGTAAAGATGATAAGTAATGTATAAGTATAACTGAACTGAAGCTAGAGAAGAAGCCCTAGCTAGTCTATTAATTATAAAAAAGGTCCCCCCATATTCTTTTGTATGTAGAGCAGTAAACATCTATATATCATGAAGAACCACGCAAGAAACCATTGACAATGTAGTTGAATTTCTTTGATCTTTCAATTTGAGGTACATGAGCTGCATTCTTTATTGATTCCAACTTCACCTTCTTCCCAATCAACCTGCATGCACCCAGTGAAAAAGCTATATTAATTATCCAATAGATTGAGTTTATCCAGAAAGAAAGTATTTAGGGTAAGTGATGAAGTTGAAGTGGGTGGGTACGTACCCTTTGAGTTCAATTGCCATTTTGAAGGGGAATATCTCGTCATGTTCTCCCCATACCAACAGCACATCCTAAATGGAGTTAGATATTTATATAGATGTTCAAAAACAAATTTAGCTATCAAAACTATACTACTGTAATTACCTGTTGGAGTGGAGAAATATTTACTGTTTCATCGTGTCCAAATGATAATCCCTTTAGGAGTTCCATCTTCTTGCTCCTGTTTTCTGAGTACAATTTCTTCACCCAAATAAAAATATTTCCATTAATTTTCAGATACCATGGAGATTTCAATTCAATTGTTAGGAAAAACAAAAATTAATTGCAGAATCAAGCCAAAGAAAAAATAAAACAAGAACTGAGCTTTATATATTTGTTTTGTCTTAATTATAAATATAAAGATTATGCTTAGTGAGCTGTAATGGAACCTAATCAAAATATTTCCAATGTAAATATTGAATTAAAAATGTTTTTAATTACAATATATTGCGGCTCTCCCAGCACACACAGCCTGTGTGTTGTCCTAAAAATCTTCACGCATTTCATTTGTTAGTTAATTAATTTAACACAATTACTTACTAACTTGTATTTTAAGTTACTATGGAGAATCAAGAAGTTTAGAATTATTGTTGATCACTTACATGAATGAAGTCATTCAAGAAAATATCAGGAATCATATTGAGACGCCAGTTGACGGTGAGGCCAAGCAAAGATCTCAACTCCGACGCCTCTTTTGGCAACATAAGATCGCCAATATTTTCCAACTTTGACTTTCTGACCAACTCTTCGTTATCACTTCTCTTCATGTTAACACCGGAGCTCGCTATTACAACTTTCTCTACCTTCTCCGGCCACATTCTGGCCATGTGGTACGCCACAAACCCGCCGTAGCTGGTGCCAACTACAGAATACTTTTCTACTCCTAATTTTTCAAGACATTTCGCGACGGACTTTGCCTGAAAGATCTCTGATCTCTCCGATGACTTGGTCGTTGATTCCCCGAAAAAGATTAGGTCAGGCACGTAAATATTAAAGTGCGGCCAAAAAAACTGAACCTGTCTCCGCCATTGCCAGAGAGCGACAGGACCGAAGCCATGGATGAAGACTAGAGATGGTTTGTTTGCGGTGGAGGTTTGATTTGAACTGGGAGCCCAAAGGTGGATTGTCGTTTCGGTGTCGATGTCAACGGAGTGTCGTGAAAGGCCGGCGGAGGTGAAGCAGGAACGGAGATAGTGAGCATATAGAGAAACAGGGCTAAGAAAAGAGAGTGCCATTGGAGATTAATTTTTGCGGTCCAAAAAAGTAACCGTGAGAGAGGATAAAACCCTTTGGAAGAGTAGGAGGGGTTGGAGAGAAAAACACGGTTACTTGGGCCGTAGACTTGCTGTAATTAAATAAGAACTGTTTTTTCTTTTTCTTTTGTTTTTTTTTTTTTTTTTTTCGTAGACTTGCTGTAATAAATAAGAACGTGTTTTTTCTTTCTTTTGTTTTTTTTTTTTTTTTTTTTTTTTTTTTTTTTTTTTTAATTACTTACCTACTTTAGTTTAGTGTATCGAGCGACCCATCCATAATACACCAAGCCTATCAAATAACTACTGTAATTAAAAAATATTTATCTAAATCAGATTTACTGCATATCAAATTAATAAAAATATAAATTTAAAAAAAATGTTTATATTTTATCTTTTTTATTTTTCCATGTATAATTAGAAATGTTATTATTCTAATAAAAATTTATATTTTTTCAAAATTTTTTTACCATTTTTATGTATTTTTTTTTTCATCACTAGATTGTCTTGGGATATGAATCCATTCATGCACTAAGCTTATAGATTCCTATGTATATAGGAAATATTACAAATATGCACCTAATTAGGAATTTCTCTTTGCTTCTTCCCTTTTTTGAATGATTAATTTTTATTTAGGACCAATCTTAATAACTGGCCTCCCAATTAGGCAAAATTACATTTGCTTTGCTGCATGGATAACAGATGTTAACAAATCTGTTAATGATAATTAATTATTAATTGGATATATGAGCAATAAATATATAGGCGAATATTTTCTATAAATGGTGATGCAGAAGAATAATTATTTAAAAAAAAAAAAAAGAAAATATTTCAATATCATGTGCCCTTAAAACCATATAAGAAAAGAAGATAAACCATTTCCTTTCGTGATAGTTTGGAAATAGATGAAGTGGATGCAGAAAGAAAAGGAAAGTCCGTGAAAATTGGTTTGGTCGGAGTCTTATGGTGACCGGCTCACCAAATCCTCTTTTAATAATAATTTTTTTTTTTTTTCCCATAAACAAATGGTTCTCAGCTTTTAAGTTTGAGAAGGACTGAAGGAGAAAGAGTGAGAAGGTATTTTAATTTTCAGTCCTGACGCCAAAACGTACCAACAAAGACAACTCAATGGAATTAAATGTCATTAATGATATTTTAAATAAGAAATAATTTTCAATTTTTTTAATGATTAATAAAATTTTAAAACGGTTTACCTGTCATAATATCAAAACATTAAATCGTTGGAGTGACAAGAGAAATAATTTTTAAGGTGCTAATTGACAAGGAAAATAATTGAGTTAATATGATATTAAAATATTTTAATAATGCTAAATGTTCTTCAAATTTTTCAATAATTAAATAAATAATTAACAATATCTTTAATATTATTTTAGATAATAAATTTTATAGTTTTCTTTTAATTTAATAATGTTAAATGGTTCAGTTTTCTTCAATAATTAAATAACTAACAATATCATTTATATCATTTCATATAATTAATTTTTCAGTTGCTTTTAATAATTAATGAAGTCAATAATATTATTTAATTATTCATCAAATAAATTTTCAAGATCATTTTTTTTATAGTATTACAAATTTATAATAAAGTGAATATGAATATGAAAAAGTAATAAGTAAATATGAAAAAGTAATAAAAGTAAAATATATATAATATATATTAGTATGATATATAATACGGGATACATTTTTTCCCTAAGAAGTTGATTGTTATGTTGGCATATCCACTTAGTATTTTAATTTGACAGTGGCATGATTCCTCCAATTTGTTCGTCCACTTGGCATGGTTTGATTTGATTATTCAATGTAGTAATGTTATGGCTTTAGTTTTATACGGGATACATTTTTTCCCTAAGAAGTTGATATGTGGCATATCCACTTAGTATTTTAATTTGACATGTGGCATATTCCTCCAATTTGGCGTCCACTTGGCATGGTTTGATTTGATTATTCAATGTATTAATGTATTGGTTTAGTTTAGATTTATTTTGAGTTTGTGTCTTTTTTTTGATTTGATTTGATTATTTAATATATTAATGTATTGATTTTGTTTGGATTTATTTTGAATTAATGTTTTTGATTTGATTTTTATTTGGTTATTTAATGTATTGAAGGCTTTAAGTAATTATTATTAATTATTAATTTTTAAAAAATGATAAAGTTTAATAACAACGAATTATTCAATTAATGTGTTAATGCATTGCTTTGTAATAAATGTTTACTTTTAAATTTGTGAAGTAGCAAACGTTTTCTTTAACAATCGGTAATATATATTTAACGTTTCCAATCTAAACGTTTTCATTTTTTTTAAATGATGTGTTAATATATTATTTTAAAATTTTAAATTACCTCATAAACACTTTAGTTTTTTTTAGAAATACTATATATAAGTTATATATTTTTCTGTATTCTCGGCAAAGGTATATTAGTCGTTGCATTTAAATATATTATTATTTTTTTAAAATTCAAAATTTTCTACATCTCAACTATTTTCACTAATGGGGTTAGTAGTTTTTATTCAATTTTTTTTTTGTCTCCTTTTTTAGAGATTATTTAATATGATTTTTTTTTTTTTTGTATTGCCACATAGAATTCCAAATTAATGACATGTATATGACTTAATTTTTTTATAATTATTTGAAAAGAAATTAATTTATGAATCAAATTAATGAATTTGACCATCTTTCATTTTTGCTTTTCTTTTTTTATTTATCTATATAATTTTCAATATTTTCAATCGATATTCCTGAACATATGTCTATCTACTTATTTTTACTTTAATAATCAAAAATTTAATATTCAAAAGTCACGCTGTATTTTTTTCACTATTGATATATCTTTATAATATTTTTTAATAGCATAATAAAAAAAATTCATTCAAAAATCTATAAATTATATATATTCTCTCAATTTTACTTTATTTTACTTTTTTTTCAAACCATGCATAGCATGGTATATTGCTAATTAGTAAAAAAAATGAAGAGTTATTTTTTTTATCAATGCAATAAATTTATTGTTTGGATTATTAATATCGAAAAAAAGAAAATAAGAAATATTTTCACTAATACAATAGACTTATTATAGGATTATTAATTATTAAATTCATTTAATACATACAAATAACTAAAATATTGTGAACATTATTTATTTATTCTTTTTTTTTTGAGTAACGAGGAAAGTAAAATCGAATCTGGATCCATTACCAAGTCGTATATGCACTTACCACTAGGCTATATCTTAGTGTACACATTATTTATTTATTCTATTTATTCATTAATGTTTATATTTTCAGTTTTGATTTAATAATTTTGATCTTCAAACTATAATTAATTTTACAAAAACTACAATTTCAATTAAAATGCTTGCATGTTTTAATACTCGTTAGACATTTTGTACTGTTGAAAGAACAGAGTCATGATACGGGCAAAATATAACTGCGCCATTTGTTCAATGAAACCAACATTAGCCCACCTATTACATCACATAAATTATTATGCATTTAATAATGCAATTCAATTTTGATTTTTGATTTTTTTTTAATAATATAATTAATCTCTAGATTATTGATAAATCCAAAATTATCAAAATATAAGAATTATACATAATACAATTTGAAACGAAAAAATTTAAAAAAATAAGAGTAAAATTAATCAATTAGATACCATTGGTTTTTTTCTCTTTTTATAAAAATATATCATATTTCATTGTTTTTTATTTTATAACTAAATAATAAAAAAGGCATAAATTTCTTTATAAAAATCCCAAAAAACAACATCTTCTCCAAATACATGGGACGGAGTAAAAATTTGATCTGATGACTTTGTATGCGGATAAATGAGTTTGAGAGTATGAAATTTTGACTTTCATAACATTTAGATTAAATTCATGAATATAAATAGATTAGTTATGTACATATATAAAAGTAAAATTACAGAAAACAAATAATATTTACTACGGTCAAAATTATAAGAATTAAAAAAACATTGAAAACGTGAAAATTGATTCAATAGTTCATTTCTTTCTTCGACTATAAGGCAACAACTATTGATTTCTTAGATCAATGAAATTGGTCTTTAATTAATTAATTAATTAAAAATAGTTGTTGTCAGAAAAAAAAAAGGAACATAATAAAAAAAAAAAACAGTAAATGTTCATGTAAAAATTGTTGTAAAAACTTTATTAAAAAAAATTTATTTTAATACATGTTTTGTATAGCCAGACGGCACCTTATAGTTTGTGTAACATGCACTGAACCTTTTAGTAGAGAAACATACTGCAATACTGCATCAAACAAACGGCCTAAATTTACCTAATTTTTCCTATGCTTTAAAAATAAAAATAAATGAGTTGTGAATATACATGTTTGGTCATGTCTCTAACAAATATTCGTAATATAAAATATTTTCTTCTTTCTTTTATTAATATTTTAGTTTCCCCGTAATTTTTTTGTCTCTTTAATTATACAGGTTAGATATAATCTTATTAAAAAATTAAATAAATCGAAATAATATTATAAACATAAAAATTCTTACAAACCAATAACATTTAACAATATTATAAACTATCAAACATAAAAATTTTAATCATTTGACGTCAAATTAATATCAAATCACTCCATTTGTCGCGGTGATAGGAAAAAGACCGATGGGCTCAACATATTTTCTATTCTTCTCATAATTTGCTGGTTTTATATTGGCCAGTCGACACGTGGCAATAATCCATTTAAGGAGTATACGTGTACAGCTGTTGATCAACCATATAAATTTCAACTAAAAATCAGTTTAATAAAATTAGCTGATTTAGTAGTATTTAATAATTTTTATATTGTTTGAAGTTTTTTATTTTATCGACGAGGGAACCACGGTAGTTAAAGTGGGAGATGGGTTGTATAATATAATCCAGTACTTGTGATTTGTCAATGACAAGAAATACAACATTTAAGGTGATGTCATTATTTATCAATTTAATTTCCAATGATAATGGCATCTAATTAATTAATTAATGGTTATTAAGTCTTATCACCTTTCTTAATACCAAATTTAAAAGGCGTGCTTCATGTTTTAAACCATGGCGGCTGGTAATCACTAATCACTGTGAAATCCACTTTACATTTGCATTTATCATGCATAATATATAATATTTTTAATCCAAAGCATATGTCATATATACATATATATATATATATGCAAAGTGTTTGGTAAAATTCCCTAGAGAGACTGGGGTGGTTGTGGGTAGATCGATTGGTTCACCATTTTTCCTTGACCTTAATCTTTGAATTTCATAACCATGTACCATTAATAATCAGATGGTTATCAATTGAATTAGTTGAATTGCTATATTTATAGATGATTTAATTTCAAATGAGGTCAAATATTCAAAATCAGTGCTATATGCACTTCAAATGGATCAAGCAAGAGCTGTTAATTTTTAGATTATAATTATGAGGACAAATTTGTTCTAGAAGCTTTTCCTGTAGGTCATCAATACACAAAATGTTCTTAGAAAATTCTACAAAAGTTTATACTTGTCTATTAAGAATGGATGACCTCCCTCCCTCCTTCCTCCCAGAATATAAAAGAATTAAGATCTTGTAAATGCATTTCATCTTTTATTAAAACCATTCTTGAATTCTAAATCAAAATTTTTTATATGAAAAATATTCACCATTATTTAAATACTTGCAAATATTCAGTCATTAAATACTAATACAATAGTAAATCACACAATTATGAAATTATCAACCCAACAAACAAAATAATTGTTGACATCTCATATGCTTATTGTAAATAGGAAGAGGCTTTGAGGGGATTCACATGGACTATCAATAGCAAAACAGATGAAATGGAACTGTTCAATTTAAAGAAAGAAAACTAGTATACAAGTAAAAAAAAGCAACTTGAAAAGACATTTGTTTGTCTTTCTTTGTTTTCTATTTGGTGTAGAAGTCAAGAGGTAGCCAAGTCATCTCTCCCTAACTAATATGTAGACTCTCATCTCAGCTTGATATTTTAATCATGGAAGCTATCTTCTCCCCCCAAAGATTTTTTTCTTTAAATGCAAGTCTTTGGTTCCCCTCTCTCTCTCTCTCTCTCTATATATATATATATATAGCCTCAAGAAGTATTAGTAGTAGGCCAGTGAAAGAGAGAATATAAGTTTAGGCCTCCTCTGGTTCTTTTGCTTTCATATGGAAAAGAATTGATAGTTTCTTTACAATTTTTGTTGTACAAATTGTAGATTTGGAGCTTTAAAGATGACAATGAAAAAGGGTACATGGAACTGTATGATCTTGAGTTGTTACAAAAGTGAGCCATTGGAAGAATCTGAAAATCAGGTATTCAAGCATAATTCTTTCAGGAGGTTATCTCTAACAGATGTAAGTAATCCAAGTAGCCCACTGTGTGTTGAAGATCTCTCCAACTCTTTCGCGGGTCCGAAGCTGCATATTTTTACATTTGCAGAGCTAAGAATCATAACACAGAGTTTTGCAAGAATTAATCTTCTTGGTGAAGGTGGGTTTGGACCAGTTTACAAAGGGTTTATTGATGATAAGCTTAGACCTGGTTTAAAGGCTCAACCTGTAGCAGTTAAGTCTCTTGACTTGGATGGTATGCAGGGTCATAAAGAATGGATGGTTAGTTTCTACAAGTTAATTAGTCTCTTGATTGATCTCTAATCAATTAGTGATAATGATTAATTTTCTTGCAGGCAGAAATAATCTTTCTTGGGCAGCTTAGGCATCCGCATCTTGTTAAATTGATTGGATATTGTTGTGAAGAGGATCAAAGACTCCTGGTATATGAATACATGCCAAGAGGTAGCTTAGAGAATCAACTCTTTAGAAGTATGTTGCTTCTGCTTACTGGAAAAATGCAAAATTTTTAAATTTTCTTTTTAGAACTAGATGAATTTTTGTATTATTCTTAATTCTCCTGAGTATATGCAGGATATTCAGCTGCATTGCCATGGTCGACTAGAATGAAAATTGCATTAGAAGCAGCAAAAGGATTAGCCTTCCTTCATGAAAGTGATAAACCTGTGATATTCCGAGATTTTAAAACTTCAAATATTTTGTTGGACTCTGTAAGCTTTAAATCTCTTCAGCTTTCGTTTTTGTTAATATAATATTTTGCTAGGCTTTAATCGATGTTTCTTTGTCCTTCTACAGGATTACACTGCAAAACTCTCAGATTTTGGGCTTGCAAAGGATGGTCCTGAAGGAGAAGAGACACATGTGACCACACGTGTAATGGGTACTCAAGGTTATGCAGCTCCTGAATATGTTATGACAGGTGATGTTGAATTGTTAATAAATCCTGATATCATCCCTGAAGTGACTCATCCCCAACAGCACATTTTTTTTTCTGTAAATTTATTATTTATCCTGAAAACCTAACCCTAGTTTAATAACCCGATAATTACAGGTCACCTTACAACAATGAGTGATGTGTATAGCTTTGGGGTAGTTTTGTTGGAGTTATTAACTGGTAAACGATCCATGGACGATACTCGGCTGGGGAGAGAACAGAGTCTTGTAGAATGTACAAGGCCATTGTTGAAAGATCAACATAAGCTTGATAGGATTATAGACCCTAGACTTGAAGGGCAATTTCCTTACAATGGAGCACAAAAGGCAGCTGCATTAGCATACAAATGTTTAAGTCATAATCCAAAGGGTAGGCCTACAATGAGTTGTGTAGTCAAGGTCCTGGAATCTCTTCAGGATTTTGATGATACATTTTCTGCACCATTTGTGTACATAGTTCCTGATGAAACTTCTGCCAAGAAATGCTTTGAAAAGGAAGGAATGGAAAGCGAGGAAGAAACCGAAACCCAGAAAACCAGGCGCCGCGGTTGGAGAAATCGGATCAAACTGCCACTGTCTCGCATAGCCTTTTCAGATTCTGCTATTTATGACAACATTGGAAGTGGTTTTAACTCTCCTTACAATTCAAGCAAAGTGGAAGTATAGATTATAGAAATTAATTACTATTGAGAATATAGCAATATACTTCAAATTTTTTTGTTTTGTTTTGTTTTGTTTTGCAAGAACTTATTCAAATTCCTCTAAATAAGAGGAAGATTTGTCAAATTGTATAAAATATTTTGTTCAAGAAATGGCAAATTGGCAACTGTCGAGTTCCTCAATCTCCATGTTAACTACTAGAATAGACAGGTACCCAATGTAAAATGTATCTTCCCACCAAGGATGATATTACGTTTTAATTATATAATCAGATGGAAAAGGACAAGCACCAACCTCTATCTTAATCAGAGGAATAATTCCACAATATCCAAGAAAAATTTGAAGCAATTTGATTAAATGAAAATTACAAATTTCAACAACTACTCACCTGCTCTAACTGTGGATGTGTCCATTTCTACCAAGCCGCCCCCAGATTCATTTTCCTTGGTTAAAATTTCAAAAAAGGTCCAAACTTTATGTACACTGAGAGCAACCCAATTGAAGTTTTTTACTTTTTTTTTTTTTTTTCAATGGGGTTGGCATGTTTTTCTTTTGTAATTAATATCTGATCTTACTTGATTAAAAAATAAAAAGAAAAGAAAAGAAACATCAGCCTGCAAAGGGTGAATTTTGCGTTGAATGAGAAAAATTAGACAGAAGAAAGGGGAAGCCCCAAAATTTATACTCAAGAACATTCCAAAGTCATGCCAAAGTACAGATTTTTTCACAGGCAAAGAAAGACACACAGACACAGCAAAAACCCAAAACAGAATACACAACTCTTTGTAAGTATCTAAGCACAAGCACAAGGGCTATCACCAAGAGTCAAATTCTCATCTTCACTTCTAAACATCAAATATCCAATAGCCAACCCCAACACTATTGCCAAAAATACCCCTCCATTAAACGACATCACAGCAAGCATCAATAAATACCCGATGGCCGAATTCACTCCGAAGAGTAAGGCTCCACAGATCCTCGCAGCCGACCATTTTTTTGCACTCTTTTTCGGTTGAAGCAAAGGCTCTTCGCTCGTCTCTGGCGATGCACAGGTTGTAGATGAACCGCCGGTGGTGGTAATGACTTTGAGTCGCATGCGACGGTTCTCTAGGTATTGGTAGACGGCGGAGACCACTAGACAAACGAGAAGAGACAGAGAGTAACTCAGCCACGTCTTTGTACGCCACGAGTTGACCAGGAGAGTCACCTCCCGGCTCCAGTAAAAGGTCATGTGCATCATTTTTTATTGACTCAGTGAGTTACAGAGTAAAGAGAGAGAAAAAGTTCCGTGTATAGAAGTTGTGACGGAGAGAGAAGCGTCAATGCAGTGACGGAGACGACGATTACAAAAGGCCTTGTGGTTGCCGAAGTAAATATGTCAAGTACAGTGGAGTACGCTTCGCCGACTTGTACTTTCATTTCTTAGATTACGATTACGAAAGTACCCCTTATACGTGGTTGACTTAAATTTGAGAACACCAATCAAATTACAAACTAGTGCTAATTTGTATTTTTAATTTACTTTTTAAATGGAAAATGAATTAGAATAAAATTACTAGTTGAGCCAATTATTGTTTTTATTCTTTTGCTGGACCGGGGCATTTTGGGGAAGTCGGAAATTTGTATGTGAAGAGTACAAGGACAAATGAGGTGGGATTAAGGGCGGTGGTGAAGGAGGATTAATAGGTAATTAAAGAATATCTAGTGGTTATGTGTCAATATCAGGAGCATTGGAAGAAATTCTGCTAAAAGGCAAGTAAATTAAGGAGAGAAAATAGGCCATTATTTAACAAATAAATAAATAATTATTAGTTTTAAATAATTAAATATTTAAAATTAAAGACAATATTTTGAAACTTTACCCTTTATTAACTGATTTTATTTTTTATTTTTTACATTTTAATTTATAAAATAATAATGGAAACAAAAATTGCATGGAGAAGGCGAAAATGTAGTACGATGTACTGCACAAAAGAATCCCATTCCCAAACAAATTCCGTAGATAAGTTGCACACTCCATATAACAAAATAATATAGATTTTAATTTTTTTTTTTTCTGTTTAAGTGCAATTTGTCCTTTCCAATTAGGCAATCACAAGGAAAAATTCAGTTCATAAAAAAAAAAACAAATACAAGCCAAAATAACTCGTAACTTTGAAAGCAAAGAATTCTAATGGAAAAATAAAATAAAACAGTGTTAGAATTAAGGTTTGAGAAATCGAGTAATCAGTTGATTTAATTGGTTAATGAGTATCAAATCAAATGAAAACTGAATTTTTTTATCTATCATTTTCAACTTGCAATCTTATCTTTCACATTAAAAACAAATCAATTAAAACAAAGATATCAAACTTCAAAATCTCCGAATGGATAAGTGCAAACATGATAATTAATGGAATGGGGTTGGTTCAACTGCTCAAATCTTTTTTTTAAGTAAAGGTCCAAGTGGGATATTCGACTATAATGGAATTTAAAAGCACATTTTGTTTCGAAGAATCAAACTTTCTCAACAAAATGAGGATCAAATGTCATAATTCAAATAATTGATCTGAACCAAAGATTATACACCCACCACCAACCACCAAGCAGCAGAGCAGGATCTTTTGTCACTGTCAATGGCTACCTTCTCCGGAACAACCAAAAGCAATGTCACAAAGACACATCAAACAACTACTTTTTCTTATATCTTCTAGAATTCTTCATCTATAGTTCACATTTAACATGTTAAACAATAATTTTATTAATTCAAATCCCATCTAAATGTCAGTACACTGACTAAAAAAAAATTGAAATGACTAACCTCTTGCCTGATAACATAGTAGTCAAACTTCTACCTTTTATACTAGAGGAGGTTAAAGATTGTTAACTAATCAGATGGGAAAACCAACGATGCCTTCTTCCTCTTCGGCGTGTCCAAGGTTCGCCGGAGAAGCTTTCTGAGAGCCGAAATCAAATCTCCAGTAGGATTTGTCGGAGGAGTTGATGATTTGAATTGTTGACAAAATTTCATATGAAGCTCTAATGCTCCTTCAGAACCAAGATTATTTTCTGATCTATTTACTTCGTCCTGAGTAGCTTCTCCACAAAGTCCACAAATCCATTTCCCTCCATATCTCTTCCGCACGCCAACAACGTAAGCCACTGTACATTCCTCAATCAAACCACAGCACTCGCATCTTGCAAACTCAATGTCTGCTCCCGTTGCCGGATTCTGCTTTATAGCAACACTGGACTCTTCCATAACTGTAGCGATCCTTTTCTCCGAATCAATAAGAAAACTGGTATTAAAGTTAAAAGATATCAAAATTTTCAAATTTCAAAATTTAAACTTTCTAAGAAAAAGAAACGTACAATAAAAAGTCACTCTGGCAGAGAATTTCAGACATCATGGAACTGGAATTTGAGTTTCTCTGCACTTCCTTAACTTGTGTTGCTTACCATGTAAAAGTGTAACTCTCAATCATCGCCGTTTTAGAAGCAAATGCGATTGCTTCCACGTCAGCGTTTTACGTTGTCTCCAATTTCTGTTCCTTGCCTTATCAAGCAACACTTGGAATTTTAATTTATTGTTAATGTTAATATGCCTAAAAAAATTCATTGGTGAATAGTAATTGTTTACGGTGTGTTTGAATGCACAAGATTTTGGCTTAATTCTTTGAAGCTGAAGAGAGCATGTACCATCTTAGGATCTGTTTGATAAAATTAATTGTCCTGATAGTTATTTAGTAGTGTTTACATAGTATTGTTTGGCAAATTAGTTATCCTAATAGTTGTTAGTGTTTAATTTTTCACAAAATATTATTATAACATCTAAAAGTTAATCCAAATATTATGTTACCAAATAATTTTTTAAGTAGCGGTCAAAAAGTTATTTTCGAACACCGTCTAGGTATAGGTTAAATGAGTTAAATCAAATAAAGGGTTGTTCGGAATTGGCTTGAAAAATTTTGAAAAAGTTCGAACTCGAATTTAATGATATTTAGTGGAAAAATATGTGAAATCTTATTGAATTTTTTATATATATATACATAATATTTATTTTAGATTTGCTCCAACTAAGCTTAAATTGAAAATTTTATGAGTTAGAATTCAAATTTAAAATCTAACTCGAACTTAAATTGTATAGACTTATTGACTTTAGAACCAAGCTCCAACCAAATAAAATTTTATTGAACCGAGCTTTGACATAGGCTTGGCTGGTTTACATCCTACACCAGCTGTCGGAGTAAATTTTGCTGTGGGTCTCCGAAGCTAAAAAGTGCGATTTTATTGGGTTACTTTTCCACGCGCGTTGAGGCCCCGGTCGTTTAAGATAGTCACGTTAAGTGGGCCAGGCTTTCTGAAGCTTGGCCAGCCAGGCCCAAAGTGAAGCATAGCAGTTAAAGTGTGACGTGCGCGTGGGTAACACTTTTTTGTCTTTATGGAATCGTGTCAAATCCACGCACGTGGAGTTATTGACAGACCATACTATGGTGCCGTTGCTTTTTTTTGTAGCCGAAATAATATCCAATGGCCTAACAGCGCCGCAAATCCTTAAGGATTATATTGTAATTTCAGTAGCTTAGTGCAGCAGTGACAGCAAGTGTTGAGCTTAATAATTTGATTTTTCAGTGTTAATAAATATTAATTATTAATTTTTTGACATGAAAAGGAATGATATATTAAGTAAGAAAATAAATAAATTATTAATGATTTCATTAAACTATTACAGTTTGATAAAAAAAAAACTCAATTTGAAAGTAATACATAATATTAAATTTTTATATAATGTACTTCTAAACTTACACAAAAACAATAAAAAGTTTAATTTTTTTAAATAATTTTTTAATGTTTTAATTACAATAATTATTTAAAATTTTAAAATTAGGAAAGAAAAATCATTTAAAAATACAAAAATAATTGTAAAAATTATAATATCTTATCTTTGATTTTAGAAAATATTTAATCCAAAAAATTATAGGATTAAAAAATATTTGATCATATCGAATATTTGGTTTAAAACTATTTATTATTTAATTATATTTGATTTGAACTAAATATTTATTTTTAAATAAAAAATATATTTTTGCTTTTTTTAGTGTAAGTTCATGAGTACAAAAAATTGTGATTATTAAAAAAAAAAAAAAAGACTTTATCCAAATACTCGTCTATACAAAAATAGAGATACGTATAATAGCTTCAGAAAATACCACTCATTGGTGGGCTGGACTCGAAGGGTGCCTGGACATGCTACCTATGCGTTGTCACTGAATAGAAATGGCTCGTCAATTTTCAGTCTTTGAATTGATTATTTTAAAATATTTATTTTATTTTATGAATAAAATTGGACCAATGTATATCAAACCAACTGGTTTAATTTTATTTCTAAAATAACTTCGATTTGGTTCGATTTAAAAAGAATAAAACTCCTATTCTATACCCTTACAAAAAATCATTATGTATCTTACACGGGGCTTATATTAAACCAAGAGCAGTCAACTCTCTCATTCTCGTTTGTTGCCTTGTGTTTGTTTTGATGGATGGCACAATTTTCACATGCATCCATACGGCTTCTGATCTTCTCCCCTTTTCTATTTCTCGAGCTGGGTTTGGATAAGGCTTTTCCGAATAAAGAACAACGCAAGCGAGACCTGCAAGGTATCTTAAAAAAATGTATATACACAAAATTTCGTTTTCAAACCATATTAATTAATTTTTATGATGTTTTAAAAATATAAATAGAAATAAATTTATCTGGGCTGGATAGAATATCCTTTAATTTATAAAATTTATTATAAAATAATTTATAATTTAGCATAATTAATAATTTTATTTCTAAAATTGTGTAGTATAACTTAACTATTCCATTATTATTATTATTATTTTTTGTGTTAGTCATATCTGAAAAAAGGTAGTAGTCAAAAATTCAAAATACATACAATTCCGTGAATATTATGTAAGTCCATAAATCATATTGAATTATTTTTTCACCCCCTCCTTCCTTTCGTCTGCTGGATGGCTGGCTTGCTTTATATGATGCAGTCTTGTTATGTGGCAGCAAGTGATTGGTTTTTTTTTTTTTTTGAAAAAAAAAATAATAAGTAAGTCTAAGAATTTCAGATAAACAATCAAGATATTTCTCAAAAAAATCTACTTTATTTTAAAACATTTTAAAATTTAAACTACTTGTTCATCAATTCATTTAAAAATAATCTGCTTTTATAATTTTTTAATGAAAAACATCAAGTTTAATTCAAGAAAGAAAAATAAATTTTTTTTTATAATACTATACTAAGAAAAAATGTTTTTATTTTTATTTTTCAATTCATTATAGGTCCGATAAATTAAAAGAACATTATTATAGACTATATCTTATACTCACTAAATTAATGAAAATTTTAATTTATTGTTAGAGATTAAATTTGAGACCTCCATCTTTTATACAGGTGAGAAAACGAATCAGTTTACACTCGAATTTTAATTTTTTTTTTCAATTTAAATTTTAATGCAACCCACTTGTTGAATTAGGTAAAGGAAAGATTGGGGGCAAGCATGTATTTTCAAGCTTCTAGATAACATAATCAAATAAAAATGCGATAATTACTGAGATAATAATATATTGAGATAAATATAAATTATTTTATTAAAGAGACTTTGTTAAAAATGAAGAATTAATTTAATCCCATAAATAATGTCCAAGCTTAATAAAATGTTTATCTGATTACCATAACAGCATATCTAATCATCATTAAACTGAAAATTAATGACTCATCACCATTTAAATGAAAGTAAAAAACCATTATAGTTAAGGAAAAAATAAAGAAAAAACCCGACAATTTCGTATAACTGCGGTCTGGCGTCAAGGTAAAGATAGAAAAAGAGAGAAGGCGTCTACTTTCTCAAATCCCAAACGCTAGATTAGATAACATTTAATTAAAAATTAAAATTAAAATAAAAGAAAATTAGAGAGAGAGAGAGAGAGAGAGGGTAGGGGTCAAATCGAGTGGCGAGGGGTTGGGTGTCTTGTTTTATATTTTTGTGGTGGTGGTGCCGATTTAGCCTATTAAGGGTTTCTCAATCTCATTTACAGAGCAGCGAAATAAAGAGAATTTCTTTTACAAAGGGAGACCTCTACCAGAGCTCATAGCTTCATTAAGCTCCAACACCGATACACCAAATAAGCTTAACTATCTATCTATTTATCTGTTTCTTTTGTCTTTCTTTTACTGTTTTGTTTCTTTTAGTTTCTTTTATTTTTTGATTCTACCCGATCTTGACTCCTTTCTTCTGATATGGATCCATTTGATTTGTTTCGTAAAGGTATATACCGTATGCTCTTTTTGACATAGATCTTCTGAATTTCTTATCAAGTTCTTGTTTTTGTGTTTTTCTTGAACTAGTTTTGACTTTTTTTGTTGATTTAATTCTTCTTGAGATCTCTGTTAATCGATTGTCTGGATAATGCCACCTTTTTGTTCTTGTTGTACTTCTTTGGGTCTTTTAATTGTTTTAGCTATTTGTAGTTGTTGGTTTCGCCGGATTTTTTGCAAAGTTTGCTTTTTATTTTTTATTTTTTTTGTTTTTTAATTTCCTGGTCAGGGTTTTAATACATGACTTATCTTCAGGTTTTTTCTACTTTATTTTTTCTGTTGGGAATTAAGCTAATGTATCCCTTATTGTTTCTGCTAAATCTCTTTGATTTTTGAGTTTGTGCAATTCATTGTCGTTGGTGTGCTTCCTCAAGTTACTCTTTTTCCGTTTGTTAGTTCTGCTTTTGTGAATTGAAATGTTTTATTGAGATCTTATGCTAATTTTTGATCGAGTTTTTGGGTTGAACTGATATGCTGTATGGTTAAAGTTCTGTTCTTTTGTGTAAATAAGGATGAATAGCAGTATATAGACACAATTTTTACTTTATTTTGTGTGGCTTAGTATTGTTGAGATATGGTAGTTGCAGTTGTTGGTATTGTTTGTGATAAGGTTGTTGTGGTCATTTGAGGCATGGACTGGTCTGTATGCATGTGATAGTGTCATGAAATTTGGCTCTTTTGTCTGTTTTACTGATTCCAAGTGATGAAATGAAACTGTTTTTGCAGGTTTTGGATAAAGCCTGCTAAAACTCGAGGTTGTTCTCTGCGTCTGTATCTTTTTATGCATGTAGAGTCTTTTGGTTTCCATTTTGGTATAGAAATGAGCTTGTCCAAGAAAGGGTCTCAAACCAGTAATACGAAGGTCAGCATTCCAAACAAAGCAACCGCTTTGAATCCAAATGCAGCAGAGTTTGTTCCTTTTTCCCTTAGATCATCAACATCTCCTTCTGGAAGTACGTCAAGTGCAGCTGCTGCAACAGCAAGGTTTGCTACTTGTGGTGCAATTGGGAAAGCAGTACTTGATCGGTCAGAATCATCTATTTCTAATACTTCTGATGATGAGGCACATCAATTCTGGCGCCATCAGCTCCCTGATGATATCACTCCCGACTTTAAGGTCATGGGTGAAGACGAGTCTCAAGCACTGGGAGGGCTCTCTTTAGCAGGCTTGTCTTTACATGATAGCAGTGAAGTGCCAAAGTTCCCTGCTCCTTTGGGTGGATATATGTTGACTGATCAACAAGAACCATCCCCACGGCATATAAATGGTGGCAGCTTCGGTGAAAAGATTAGATATGCTAGTGCTAGTGCTTCTTATGGAGAAGATCCTAGTTCAGCTAGTTATTTGAATTTGTCGGCTAAGCCCTGGGACAAACAAATTGTTGGCAGTGATCAGCTTCTTGGCAATGGTAGGGAAGTACATTCATACAATGGGAATTCAAGGCCTGGATTTTTGAATGATGTGCTAGGTGAGCATGCAATAATTGATGATAACGACATGAACCCTGTGGAATTTTTGGCTTCGCAATTCCCTGGGTTTGCTGCTGATAGCCTTGCAGAAGTTTATTTTGCAAATGGATGTGATGTAAATCTCACTATTGAGATGCTTACTCAACTAGAGGTAAATTTCTTCATTTAAAAGTATTTTGCCTTTAATCTGATGTTCTTGCATTTGTATTGCAGCCTGAAGGTAATGAAGTAGAGCTGCTAAAAAATTTGTGAAGTCTTTGTAATTGCATCGCTGTTTAAATCTTCAGGTGTTTGATTGTTTTCCTGCCTACTAAGTATAAGACTTCGGAAGAATGCTCATCATTATGGGAGCTATTTGCTATGCTCAAGAATTAAATCATTGAAAATATTTTTTTGAGAAGCAAACAGCTTAACATTTTTAGGGTTTGTTAATTCATATTTAATAGAATAATTGCTGATGGCTAGAAAAAATGCCTATGTGTATTTTGCTGCGTCATAATGATGTAATTTCCCATCCACATCTAATTTATATTCTTCCTACCTTAGGTATTGCAATTATTGCAGGAAGAAGCATTTTTATTGTTACACATCTTATAGTCTAAAGACTTGCCATTGGTCATTATGCTGACTTGGATTCTAACCTGGTGAGCAATGCTTCTTATGCCTTATTTTGGCAGGGAAGGGCTCGCTCCCCTAAGAGTTTTGAGATGGCTCAGTTTGACTAATGTCTTTATATGTAGCCTCCAAGTCATAAGACATTGCGACTTGGTAACTGGGGGTTAGTGATTCTGTTTTGGTTCCTTATTCCTGTTGATGTTTCGCACCATTTTTCAGTTAAAACAAAAATCTGTGCTAACAGGTATACATTATGGTTTGATGTGTTTAGAGGCTCTTAATCTTAAGATTCACATCAATTTAGGATATGCATCTCTCTTTGTAATTGTTGCGTTATATGTTTGATCTGTTAACTGTTGTAGTTTTCTAATTCCTTTATATCGGGAATATTAATGGTTGATATTGTCTTAAATTATAGCTGCAAGTAGATGGTGGTTTCAATCAGAATATGAGCTCAAAGACAGTATCAGCTCCCAATCTCAGTGCTCTTGACTTTCCAGCACTTCCTGTGCCGGAGAGTCAGAACGGTCCTTCTAAATATGGAGGAGATGATCTTCAGCAAAGTGGCAATCCTTATCGTTCTGACAAAGAGAACATACTTTTATTCAAGTCTAGTTCTTCCATCCCATCTAGAGTTGGCGCAGTGGATTTTGCTTCAGCTGTCAGGAAGTTGACATCTCAGGATTCTGGCATATGGAAGTATGACAGAAATGGTTCTGCTGATTCAACTGTTGGCTCTAGCAGAAGTTCCCATGTTTTAGCTAGCTCTTATAGTAGTGGGAATGGGAGAGGCATTTATGCTGATAGGACGCAAAATCGTGGTTCAGCTCGAGCAGCTCCTGTGTGGCTTGAAACTGGAGAAGCAGTGGGTAATGTGCCTCATCTAACAAAGCTACTTGCATTAATGCACCTTTTTTTGTTTTGTGGGACAAATACTTTCTGCATATATATTTGCTTTAACTTTGTTGGATGGCAGCAAATATGTATTCTGAATTGCGGGAAGAGGCTCGTGATCATGCACGATTACGGAATGCCTACTTTGAACAGGTAATCCTCAAATCCAAAGCAGCTGGGCTATTCTCATTCTCGGGCTGAACATTAAATACCTGAATTTAGAACAAGCTACAGTTATGCATGGAGACAAGCTACTAAAAGCCAAAACATGCTTGGTCGCTGTATATGATGCCACTATGCCACTGCTTTTAGACGTTTCCTACTGGGGCATATGCTGACTATTTTACTTCCTGTTTTATAAAATTCCTTGTTTGTGTTTACTTCCTATACTAGAATGCTTCCTATACTAGGAATGTAGAATTTTTCCTCTTTAAGGTTTATAATTTGTATATATATAGAAGCTCTTTGTATAGAGGATAATCAAGAGAAATAAGAATAATTTTTTCTTTTGCAAATCACCCAAAATCAACATCATATTCGGTGTACTTACAAAAGGATGTTGCTGATTGCTCAGATGAATAATATGTGGGAGTCTGCTTTAATCCTCTGAATTATTTTGGAGTCAAATGATGTGATGGTGAAATTTAATTGTCATTCAATAGATCACATGGTTTTTACTTGTTCAAACAGGCACGACAAGCATACCTCATTGGGAACAAGGCTCTAGCCAAGGAATTGAGCGTGAAGGGGCAACTGCACAATATGCATATGAAAGCAGCACACGGGAAGGCTCAGGAATCTATATATCGTCTGAGGTTTGTTAGTTCAAACTTGGTCTTACTTTGACAAGATCTTATGTCTGGCTTAATGGTTATTAGATTTTTTCCTATTAAAGCATTGATTTTAACTTTTAGATAAGCATCTGTCTTGAGCTTCTAATTTGATTTCTTTTATTTCTTTTTCATTTCTTCTTCTTTTTTTTTTTTTTTTTTTTTTTTTTTTTTTTTTTTTTTTAATGTCTGGCTTAATGGTTATTAGATTTTTTCCCTATTAAAGCATTGATTTTAATCTTTTAGATAAGCATCTGTCTTGGAGCTCTAATTTGATTTCTTTTAAATTTCTTTTCATTCTTCTTCTTTTTTTTTTTTTTTTTTTTTTTTTTTTTTTTTTTTTTTAAATTCTTTCAAGTGTCTGTTTTTTTTTTTTTTTTTTTTTTTTTTTTTTTTTTTTTTTTTTAATTCTTTCAAGTGTCTGTTTCCTCGCTGAAGTATGTGATAATACTGGTACGTGAAACCCTTCATTATCATTTATTTCAACTGAACCCGTCATCAGATTCTTCGCTCATTTATTCTTGTGTGGGAATTATCCTTTATGAGTGTCAAACCCTGACAGCGTAGTTGTAAAGTAGTTGAATTCTTAAAATGCTGTGGCATTTCTTCATTATTGGCAAGCATGGGTGGATACCTGTAAAATTATTTTCTCCTGTGCCATGCCTAAATTTTTAATTCAGAAATTCAATTTTGATCCTTGCATTAGTTCCTAGAGTTTTCTGATAAAAAAAAAAAAAAAAAGAACTTGGATTATGTTGGTTTTGTTTGGATGTGCTAATTGCTGGTTATGCTGTGTTTATAAATAACTATATTCCCCTTCAGGAACCCGGCTGGTCCGGAGATGCAGGGAAATGGGAGAGGACATGAGCGGATGATAGACCTTCATGGTCTGCATGTTAGTGAAGCCATTCATGTGCTAAAGCATGAACTGAGTGTTCTGAGGAGCACAGCCCGAGCTGCAGAGCAGCGTCTGCAGGTCTATATATGTGTTGGGACGGGCCATCACACCCGGGGTTCCCGCACTCCAGCAAGACTTCCTATCGCCATACAGCAATACCTGCTTGAAGAAGAGGGCCTTGACTACACTGAACCACAGCCAGGGCTGCTTCGAGTAGTGATCTATTGAGCTGAAGACTGGACGGTGTAAGGTATAGGAGTTTTTTTGAGATGCAAAATCCATCCAACTTGTAGTCATCAAATTATTCTTGTATCTGTACATGAGAAGAAATGGAAGACAGAGTAGTTGAAAGCCTGAAAAACGGAAAGGAAAAAAAAAAAAAAGAGAAAAAAAAGATTGAAAAAAAGAAAAGAAAAAGAAAAGCTTAGTGAAAGGAAGGGTTAAGAAAGGAAGCAGAAGTGTATCATTAAGGTTTAACCGGTTGACAGCAGCATTACTTTGGGAGCCATCAGGGACCCTACATCAGCAGATCGTTGGCAGCTCTTTTACATTTTGTTCATTTTGTACCTTATTTTTTGTTACATTCCTTTTTCCTTTTTTTTTTTAAATTCTCAGATGTAACTGATAGAATTGAATTACATGATAGTACAATTTTTCAAGCATGACTATTATGCGATGGCTGGATACAGTTTGGAACCCCATCTCAGCCTGATAACTTGGTCAAGCAGCGCAACATGCTGATGCTCGGTAAATCTCATCTAAGGTGCACTGGTGGTCGAACTTAGTTAAGATGGATTGGAATTTGATTGTCTTGGCTGCTTTTGCAGAAGCGTTTTTTCGAGCTGATTTTTGCAAGATGCATAAATGGTGAGGATTCGTGTACTTGCGGGTGGCTGATTCATTCTTATAATTTTCCTCTGGTTATAGGTATGACTAGTGCATGCAGTCCCAAAGCTCATTTAACCAGAAGAGTTACACATCTTTTGCTTCCCAGATGTAGCCGAGGTTTTGGCGGAAGATAATGATGCATTTTGCCTTTTGACACGAAGAAAAAATTAAATCTTTTTGACCTTCACACACGAAAAGGAAAACATCGTATTTCTGAGTTTGATGACCCTGAACATTGGAGTCGGACCACAAATAAATTTTCACTGCACGTGATCTCAAGAATGTTCCGTAGTTGGAAGTGAAACAGGGAAAGAAACTATGGATCCATTATAGGTGTCGAACTTCCTCCATAGACATGTTTTATGCAATTAAAGTATCTCTTAATCTTCTATAACCTCTAGTTTAATGGTGAAGTAAGATGATTTATAATGGAATGGTTCAACTCTCCAAATTTGATGACAGGACGTTGATATCCTTATTTTGGACGGCCTGTCGTTTTCCGCTTAAAATAATCGTTTATTAACTGTAACTCAACGGTTAACCTCGGAACCGCGGGAGTAAAAGACAGAATGTACGGCAGGGATAAACGGAGGTCGACGATAAACCACGTGTACAAATTTCAGTGAAAAAAGTGAAAAAAAAAAAAAAAAAAAAAAGAAAAAAAAGTTGGAAAAAAAAAAAAAAAAAAGAGTTGAATAAACAAGAGAATAAACGACAGAACAAAAAAAAAAAAAAAAAAAAAAAGAGTTGAATACAACAAAGAGAATAAACGACAGAACGTAACTGATCAGAGAGTTAAAAACGACATTGTTTATCTTCAAACATGTATCAGATATTTGAACTTTGGAGGGAAGCTCAAACCATACGTGCATGATGCACCTTCTCTATCTAAGCAATGCTGTTACAATGCAATCTCAGACCCTCTGCAAAATCTTCAACTTCATACCCCCTCCTCCTTTCATTTGGCTCGCGTTTCTCTTCTCTCTCAGAACCCATCTCTCTCTTTCCCTTGTCTTCTCCGTCCTCGCAATCCTCTTCTTCCTCTCAATGCTTCTCTTTCCTCCGCACCGCCATCTCCACCTCCGACTTGCCTCTCGGCAAGTGCGTCCACGCAAATATCATAAAATCTGACCTTGCTTCGGATCGTTTATTGACCAACAACCTGATTACTATGTATTCCAAATGCGGTTCTCTCTCCTCTGCACGCCGAGTGTTCGATAAAACTCTTAATAGAGATCTCGTTACATGGAATTCCATTTTGGCTGCCTATGCGCAATCTGCAGAGTCTAATTTTGACCATGTTACGGAGGGTTTTCGCCTTTTTCGTCTTATCTGTGGTTTTGTCTCCACTAATAAATTTACTCTGGCCCCTATGCTGAAGCTATGCTTACTTTCTGGACACGTTTGTGCTTCCCAGGCAGTTCATGGATATGCAGTGAAAATCGGTATGGATTTGGATGTGTTTGTTTCAGGATCCCTGGTGAATATTTATTCGAAGATTGGATTAGTTAGGGAGGCTAGAGTTTTATTTGACAAAATGCAGGTGAGGGATGTGGTCTTGTGGAATGTAATGCTCAAGGTATACGTGGAAATGGGTCTGGAAGAAGAGGCAGTTAGTCTCTTCTCTGAGTTTCATCAGAGTGGCTTACATCCTGATAATGCTAGTATCCGTTGTGTGCTCAAAGGAATATCTGCTGTTGGTTCTGATATAGGAAAGAGGCACAAGGAGCAAATTCAAGCCTATGCAACTAAATTATTTTTCTATGAAGATAACTCAAATGTGGTCATTTGGAATAAGAAATTGTCAGAATATCTCCTGGCTGGCAGATATTGGGCTGCTGTTGATTCTTTTATAAATATGATTAGATCATATGTGAAGTATGACAATGTGACATCAGTTGTGGTTTTGGCTGCGGCTACTGGTACTGGTGACATAAAGTTGGGGCAACAGATTCATGGTATTATTTTAAAATCAGGCTTTGATTCTGTGGTTTCTGTTGCAAATAGTCTTATCAACATGTATTCGAAGATGGGATTTGTTTCTTTGGCACAGAAAGTGTTTACTGGGATGAATGAATTCGATTTAATTTCATGGAACTCAATGATATCGTGTTATGCACAGAATAGTTTAGAGAATGAGTCGGTGAATCTATTTATATGTTTATTGCATGATGGCCTTCAACCAGATGATTTCACACTGGCAAGTGTGCTAAGGGCTTGCTCTTCACTTGCAGAGGGACTGTATCTCAGTATGCAGATTCATGTTTATGCTATAAAAACCTGTATAATCGCTTCCAGTTTTGTTTCGACTGCTCTCATAGATGTTTATTGTAAAAGTGGATTAATGGCTGAGGCAGAACTTTTGTTCAAAAATAAAAATGATTTTGATTTGGCGACATGGAATGCAATGATGTTTGGGTACATAACTTGTAATGATAGTCATAAAGCATTGGAACTTTTTGCTTTAATGCATGGAAGTGGAGAGAGTTCTGATGAGATCACATTAGCCACTGCAGCTAAAGCCTGTGGTACCTTAGTGAGGTTGGAACAAGTGAAGCAAATTCATGCCCACGCAATACAATTCGGGTTGGACTCAGATTTATTTGTCAGTAGTGGTATTCTTGATACGTACATCAAATGCGGAGACATAGTAGCTGCTCACTTTTTATTTAATGATATTCCTGTGCCCGATGATGTTGCATGGACAACTATGATTTCAGGGTGTGTTGAAAATGGAGATGAAGACCGTGCACTTTCTATATACCATCAGATGAGGCTCTCTGGGGTCCTACCTGATGAATATACCTTTGCTACCCTTGTCAAAGCCAGCTCATGTCTAACAGCACTGGAACAGGGGAGGCAAATTCATGCAAATGTGATCAAGCTGGATTGCGCTTCAGATCCTTTTGTTGGGACTTCACTCATTGATATGTATGCCAAGTGTGGGAATATAGAAGATGCATATTGTCTATTTAAAAGAATGAATGTACGGAACATAGTTTTGTGGAATGCCATCTTGGTGGGCTTAGCTCAACATGGACATGGTGAAGAAGCTCTTGACCTTTTCAAAGAAATGAAATCTCATGATATTCATCCTGATAGATTTACCTTTATTGGTGTCCTTTCTGCCTGTAGCCATTCCGGCTTTGTTTCTGAAGCTTATGGGCATTTTTATTCAATGCAAAAAGAATATGGTATTGAGCCTGAGATTGAGCATTATTCTTGTCTTGTTGATGCCCTTGGCCGTGCAGGGCACGTTCAAGAGGCTGAGAGGCTGATTTTATCAATGCCCTTTGAAGCTTCTGCTTCAATGTACAGAGCGTTGCTAGGTGCTTGCCGGATTCTAGGCGATATGGATACTGGAAAAAGATTAGCAGGACGGCTTATGGTCTTGGAGCCGTCTGACTCATCAGCATATGTGCTGTTATCTAATATATATGCTGCTGCCAACCAATGGGATGGCGTAACTAATGCTAGAAGAAAAATGCAGAGGAAGAATGTAAAGAAGGATCCAGGGTTTAGTTGGATAGATGTGAAGAACAGGGTGCATTTGTTTGTGGTAGATGATAGATCTCATCCGGAAGCCGATTCAATATGCAAAAAGGTGGAAGATTTGATGAAAAGAATCAAAGAAGAAGGGTATGTTCCTGATACAGACTTTGTGCTACTTGACGTGGAAGAAGAGGAGAAAGAGCGCTCTTTATATTATCACAGTGAGAAGCTAGCAATTGCATATGGACTCTTAAGCACTCCTCCGTCCAGCAGAATTAGAGTGATCAAAAACCTTCGCGTCTGTGGAGATTGCCATAATGCTATCAAATTTGTGTCAAAGATTTATCAAAGAGAGATTGTGTTGAGAGATGCAAATCGCTTCCATTGTTTCAAAAATGGAAGCTGCTCTTGTGGTGATTATTGGTAATATCAAGATTGATGTTTTCTTGCTAATCTTTAATAATGGTTCCTTTTTGTTTTTTTTTTTTTTTTTCATAATACCAATTACCAACGACTAGTCGTTCTAAGTACAGGTGAAGTAGCATGGGAAATCGACTTGTAGTTTAATATATTTCCGCCGCCACTGGTACAAGCCAATTCTGTCCACGTTACATGCATTGCCATATTTTTACATAATTCTAAATTCTAATTAGACGAATTACTATTTAGCTCTCAATTATAATTATAATTACAATCAAATACAATAAATTACATTATAAGTTGATGAGAGGGCAGTTCATTGGATAGAAATTATAAATTATAGAAATTTTAGGGAGTAAAATCGAACTTAAAAACTAATTTAAGCCTTAAGTCAGATTCTGATATTCAAAACTTAATTTAATGGTTCCTCAATTTTAATTTCATTATACTTAGAGGTTGAGTTTTCGGTTAGTCGGATCCAAATTAAATCCAGCTAATACAAAGTATAAACCGAAATAAACCGAAATTTGTACGAATAAAAATCAAAACCAACTGATTCTCAAGAATCATACGGATACTGAATCAAACAAAACAATAATCTAACCAGAACCCCTCAACAATAAACCCTATTTCGAAATTTAATATTTGTTTTATTTTAATCGTGATTGAGCTGCACACTTTGCAGTGCATAGCGTCTGATAAACTCGCACCAACTCCATTATTGTTTTACTTCTCCAGTTCTTCACGTTTATTGTCTTTCTTTTGATTTTAGTACTTCTCTTTGTTCGTACTGGCTGAACTGTACGGATGGAGAATCTTTACAATAGAAACAGTTAATTTTATTAGTCTCCTACTCTTCCCACTGTTGTTTATATAAGAAATTTCATATTTCAAGCTCAAAAATGGCAGACCTTACTCCTCTCAAGAGAAGCTACAGTGATATGAGTAATGGCTCGACAGAATATCTTAATTTGGGTTCGGACGTTCGTGACGGTCAAGATAATGCTGGTCAAGGACTAGCTTCTACTGTTAATCCTATTGATTTTCACCCCAGAAGGTTATCAATTTCAACGGGTTTTGTGATTATAGTGGCTTGGTTTTGGTTTTTGTGGCTGCATCTCTTATTTGTTTATTTATTTATTTTCATTTGTGTTATGATGTTTGCAGTTACCAACTGAAGGTTTTTGAGGTGGCTATGAAGAGGAACACTATAGCAGTGTTGGAGACGGGTGCTGGAAAGACAATGATAGCAGTAATGTTAATTAAAGAAATTGGCCAATCTATCAAGTCCGGTGTTCATAAAAAAAAGATTATTTTTTTAGCTCCTACCGTTCATCTTGTCAATCAGGCATGCTCAACTTTTTAAATTTCTCTGTGTATAGTACAGCAATGGGTGCTTATTAGATGGTTCTTGCTTCTGTTGCTCCCATTACTTATTTGTTTTTTGTTTAAATGAAAGAATAAAAAGATATGCTTTGTTGGTATCTGTAGTTATTTCCCTTGCCTTGTTGTCCGAGTTTAGTTGTCCGCATGCTAAAAAGTTGTGGGTTTTCTTCTTGCAGCAATATGAGGTTATTCAAATGCATACAAATTTTGATGTGGGAGAGTACTATGGAGCTAAAGGGGTTGATGAGTGGACTCAGAAGTTCTGGGGAAAGGAGATTGATGAGCATGATGTAGGTTTGCTTTAACATCTGAAATACGCTGTAGCATCTGCTGGTTATCTCTGTCTAAACTTTAGATACGGTATTCTAACGATTTAGCTTTGAGCTACCTCTTTTAATGGGTTTGCCTTGCATGTCTCGTACAATAATTTTGACCAGTTTTCTTCCATATGCATAAATTCTTGAGACTCTTAGTTATTCTCATGGATCTCATTCAGAATGCATCTGCCAGTATGTTGATGCTAGAATTATTTGATTGAATTTTCCTTCAGAACCCAAGAAGCCCTATTTACTCTCCTGAGTAGACTTCACTTTGATTTTTCTGTTTTTGTCTTGCCCCTTTTTTTTTTTTTTGGCAATGACCACATTACTGCATTGCTATGTGGAGAGAAATAAAATTGCAACATTTGTAATTAAAATTTGGTCCATTTTGAATTTCACAGTCAAGCTTATCGCTAATGAAAATTACAACAAGGAGCAAAATTGGTAGAATGCTTTTAAGAACTTATGAGCACATTCAAACGTCCAAAACATTCAATATCATTAACTAATGGCAACGTTAGTGTTATGTTAATGTATGCCCTTCTTTTTTATTCCATAGGTATTGGTTATGACTCCTCAGATCCTTTTGGATGCCTTAAGAAAGGCATTCTTGAATCCAGAAATGATATGTTTGCTTATAATTGATGAGTGTCATCGTGCCACGGGTAATCACCCTTATACAAAAATAATGAAGGTCAGCATCTCATTCTCACGAGTCACATTCATGTATCTCATCTTTTCGCACAATAGATTTCCTTTGTGTCGTGTAATTTGATTTCATTTTAGAAAATGACATTAAATTGATTGGTTAAGGAATTCTATCACAAATTGAATGACAAGCCAAAGATCTTTGGAATGACGGCATCGCCTGTTGTTAGAAAAGGTATGGCTTTCTTCGGCGGCATGTTTTGTTTGGTTTGATCAAATTGTCTGAAAGCATAAACATTACTTAATTCTTTGTGTGAAAACCCTGTTACCTAATTTGTAATTTGTTAGGTTCCTCCTTCATATGTCTCTCTATGTTTTCTATAGCGTGTCTCTGGAGTCAGTCAGTGATCACTTGCATCTCATATCTCTATGCTGCTACTTGATTTTAGTTGATCATACTTTAGATATGGCATTTCCTGTGGAAAAAATGTTGTTTAAGAGAATTACTCTGGTTTAGGTTCCTATAATTTGAATTAATTTGTTTGGGTAATTGCTCTAAACTGCATAACTTGTTCTCCGACTGATTAAAAAAAAACATATCCATGAAAAAAGATTTCTTTATATAATTATTGGCAGCTTATCATTATTTGCAAACTTGCTTCATCCTCTCATTACTAAACTGTCTTTGAGACATTGGGTCATTATCATGTTTGTGGTCTCTGAAGTTACTCCTATCCTGTCAACTGTTACTTGCTAGGTGTCTCTTCTGCTATGGATTGTGAGGATCAAATATCAGAGCTCGAAAGCATATTGGATTCTCAGGTATCTTTTGATTTTAAATCGTGATTGCCTGCAATGATCATGCGATTTGGGTTATTATGCAACCATATCTTGCTGGCGTTTGCTTCAGATTTATACTATTGAAGACAGGACAGAAATGGATGTCCACATTCCCTCTGCAAGAGAAATTTGTAGATTTTATGACAAAGTACAGCTTTATGGTTCAGATTTGAAATCAAAGATTGAAGCTTTATGGACCAAGGTATTCCTGTATCACATAAACAAACATATGTAGGTGGAGATTTCATCTACAAAAGTTGCAGATTTTAGACTGTGATATGCATTTTTACCTATTCAACGCTGAGATATTTTATTTGTATGGGTAGTTTGATGCTTCGATGCTCAGTTTGCAAGAGTCAGCACAAAACTGTTACAAAGATGTGGATGATAAACTTAAAACACTGAGACAACGGCTTTCCAATGACCACACAAAAATATTGAATTGCCTTGAAGATCTGGGCCTTATATGTGCGTATGAGGTATGATTCTTCTCAGACTAAATTTTATTCTGAGAGGAGAGGATTGATGTTTAGCAAGAAAGCAATATGATCTCCAGTCAACTACAGTACATTCTTAATTATGAGTTTCATGATTACTATTAGGATTTCTTTTTCTTCCTTTCAAAAACTTGAGAGGAATATTTTTTTTCATGCATATAACAATTTACTTCCAGTGAAACATTCATATAGACACAAGTTCTCCTAGGGCTTCAAGAATATTTAGTTTATTACTGTCTTCTTTTCTGGTTAGGCACTTCATGATTGTCTTTATAATTTATTACTTTTGACACTTATCTTTTTAGGCTGTCAAAGTTTGTTTACAAAATGCCCCCAGTTCCACTGAAGAATGTGAGATTTATAGAGAAATTTCTCTGAAGTGCAAATGTTTCCTTGAGGAAGTGTTGAGCGTAATTAGCGAGTCTTTGCCATATGGTATGCTAACTCTTGGGCTAGTCTTTGTCTTGTTTATTGTTGAAAAAAAATGAAAAAAAATAAAAGAAACATTATCCACTTGCTGCTTATGTTATTTTTGCTGCAACCAATTGAGATTTCTTTCCTTTGTTTATCCTGTATTTTATCGATGTTGACATTTGTTCATGTAGTGTCCTTCCTCTTTACATGGCATTAATGATTATCTTGATACTGATAGCTTCTGCCCCAGTTCAGTTAATTCTCTTCTTAACCTGCACAATATTCAGGTTATCATAATACTAATTGTCATTGCAATTGTTATCATCAACATTTCTTTTTCATTTCTCTAATTTTTGAGTAAGCACTCGGAGATTGGTAATCAAATCCTTGCAATGCTTCAAAGTTCATTATTTTTGTTCTTTTCTAACTTCTTATTGTTACTTAATGGCAGATCCTATAATGGGACATGTTTTCTGCCATTTGCTTGTGCAGTACTTGCTTTTTGAGGAGGCTATCTTTGACTCCTAGTTTTTACTCTGCAATGGTTGATTTGTTTGGGGTTGAATTCAAGTATCTCATCGACTTGGAATTATCTGACGTCCATTGGGTTCTTGGTTATAAATATTTGAAAATTTTCAGAGAACATTAGTGTCCATGTTAAAAGAAAATAGCAGCCTTCTTTCTTTACTTCTCTTCTCTTCCCTTCCTCCTCTTCCTTGTGTCTTATTTCCACCAATTTCCATTATAATTATTATATTAACGAATCTCATATTTCCACCACTCCTATGAATTTCCTACTTATGGTAAGCACATAATTCATAATGCCAATAGAGATACAACTCAAAGCTGATTCTTTGAGCTAAAAGTAATTGTGAGTGGAAGTAGTTTGTTTAACAGAAATTTTTTTTTTTTTTTTTTGCTGCGAGTCAATTTCTTGCATTTTTCATTTCTAGATGAATCCATCAGTCATAGTTTCATGTTTGAATTGGTTTAAACAAGCTGCCATTTTTCTGTTTTAGCTTTGACTTTGAGTATGATTGTTTTTGCTAATAATGTTCCCTTTCACTGGTCAGATGATGATTCTTTTTTCAATCTGGGGTTTGACTACTTAGAGGCAGTAAGTTTGGGTTACATATCACCAAAGTTATATGAACTTCTTCAAGTTTTCCTATCATTTGGGTAATGGAGATTTTAGTTCTCAGTTTGTTTAAGCATCATTGGTTGCTATAACCTTTTACTTACATTTTTCATTATGCAGCGGAGGTAGGAAAATATTATGCCTCATTTTTGTTGATAGAATTCTTACCGCTAAAGTAATTGAAAGATTTGTGAAGAAAGTTGCAGCACTGGCACATTTTACAGTTTCATATGTTACTGGAACTAATGCGTCAGTCGACGCATTGACACCTAAAATGCAAAAGGAAACCTTGGACTCATTTCGCTTTGGGAAGGTATCTGATCTTCTGCATCCTGAATTACCTCATAAGAAGTTATGGTGTTTGAAAACATAATAACTGATTGATATACACATATTTACAGGTAAATCTATTATTTTCCACTGATGTGTTGAGGGAGGGAATTCATGTGCCAAACTGCTCCTTTGTTATATGTTTTGATTTGCCCAAGACAGTTTGCTGTTATGTCCAATCTCGAGGAAGAGCTCGACAAGATGATTCCCAATATATCATCATGCTTGAGAGGTGGTGGCCTGTCCATTCTCACATACTTCATGGGTCTTTATGTGTTTGTATGTCGTCATATGTTGATTCTGTATTTATGCTGTAACATTTATGCTAGAAGTCCTTATCAAGTCATTGAAGTTGTTAGTGTTCTGTTAGTGTATTATTGCTGTCTTTTTTATAGTATCACTGATGACTAAACTAAGTACAAATGTATGCATATCTATAGGGGAAATGTGAAACAAAGGAATCAACTATTTGATTTCATAAGAAGTGAATGGTTAGTAACTAATACGGCTATGAATAGAGATCCTGATGTATGGACTCTTAAAGCATGTATGGCTGAGGAAACCGAGGCATATATTGTGGAAGGTACTGGAGCTTCAGTTACTGCAGACTCTAGTGTTAGCCTCATACATCGATACTGTGCAAAGCTCCCTGGAGATAAGTATGTAAATGTTCTGTAGACAACAACAATGTTACTGTGATTTTTTTTTCCTAGTAGATATTTTTAGAAGCAACCTATTTGGCATTTAATCCTAGTCGGCTACATCGTGACTTAGGTACTACACACCAATGCCGATTTTTGAGTTCAAATTTTCTGAAAAGTCATGCCAGTGTAACCTAAAGTTACCTGCCAGTGCAGCTTTTCAGACAATAGTTGGTCCAAAATGTAGGAGTCAACAATTAGCAAAGAAGCTTGTATGCTTGGAGGCTTGTAAGATGCTGCATCAAATGAGAGCCTTGGACGACCATCTCCTACCATTAGTGGACGAGCCTACTGAAGGTGATCATATAATGGCAAGCAAAGAAACATCAGCAGGTCCTGGTACGTATGTACTTCAAGCTTTTATTAACATAAAGTTCATAACAGACATTCTATATATTACAATATCTTATCACTCTTAGTTCATTTTTCTTTTTTTGGTTAATTGTAGAATTGGACCTGAGAATATTTCACCTTCCTAGTTGCAGAGCACATTCGATGGCAATATATAGAATGAATAGTAATAATATATAAACAAAGTTTATGGTATTTGAATATTGACATCATATTCATCAATCTCAAGCAATAGTGAAATGATCTATAAAAAAAAGCTTCAATTTGGCGTAATGATTGACTTGACAAGGAATAATAATGAAAATAAGTGGCTTATAAACATGATTGTCACTCACTTAGCAAACACTTGATTGGGATATATTAATAAGATTTGCATAAATTCTTTGAATTATCTGATCTCACTTCTGAAAGCTTTAGTTGTGTTTTACTTTTACATTTATTGTCATCTTATTTGTATCAACTCATTTCAATGTTTCCGTTTATGTCTCCCTTTTTATGCATCTAATTCCCAACATAAGAAATGATACAACAACAACTATAGGAACTACAAAAAGGAAGGAATTGCATGGAGCAACCAATATTCATGCATTATCTGGAAGCTGGGCGGAGAAGCTTGATAGAGTCACATTTCATGCATACAAGTTTGACTTCTCCTGTAGTATTGCCACTGAGATTTATTCTGGATTTGTTCTTCTCCTTGAGTCGAAGCTTGACGATGATGTTGGAAACATTGAGTTGGACCTTTATTTGCTCAGGAAGATGGTTAGAGCTTCTGTTGCTTCATGTGGACAAATACAATTAGATGCTGAACAGGTAAAATATGCTTTTAATTGAATTTTTACCTTTTATTTTAGGAAGTTATTTGCTTAATGCCACACCCTTCTCTTTTTATTTTAGATGACGAAAGCAAAACGCTTTCATGAATTATTTTTCAATGCATTATTTGGGAAGTTGTTTACTGTGTCCAAATCATCCGAAACACCAAGAGAGTTTCTACTTCAAAAGGAAACAAGTATACTTTGGATCCCATCAAACATGTATTTGCTGCTACCACTCAAGACACTCAGTGCTTCAAGTGATGAATCTTGGAAAATAAATTGGAAGGGGGTTAATGCTTGCACTTATGCTGTAGAATTTTTGAAGAACTCACTTTTGGGTGCTAAGCACTGTAAAGATGCCAGGGGAAGTTCACTTTCTGGGGTTGGCTCATTTGTGACGGAGTGCAGTGGCACAAATGAAATCCACTTGGCTGATATTTTGGTTGATGGAGATAAACTGAAAGATATGGTGGTATTTGCAATTCACACTGGAAAAATATACTCTGTTGTTAAAGTGGTGATTGACACATCTGCTGAGAGTCCTTTTGAGAAAAATGCTAAGGGTAAGCCAGCAAAGTATTCTTCCTTTGCCGAGTACTTCAACCGAAAGTAAGCTGTGCTCCCATATGATGTTTTGTCTTCATCCTCCTGGTTATTTTTTATGATCTCCCTAGACGAACACTATCTGTTTCAGGTACGGGATTGTGCTGAAGTATCCAGGACAGCCTTTGCTGCTGTTAAAGCAAAGCCATAAGCCCCATAATCTACTTCTTAATCCTGATGATGAAGGTATGTTCATTTGCATGTTTGAGCATTGTCATAAATGGAATTATCTTGTATGTTGAGCTGCTGAGTCCTGTCCATGGGAGTGTTGATGGGGGATAATAGTACATTTCAGATTGTCTAGTTGGAGAAGCTGGGGGAAGTTGGACTTTTTTAATACACCTGTCAAATTAGATTTGGCAATATTATTCCTTTTTCTGTTTATCTGATTTCTAATATGTTCTTAAGTAGGCGCCTCAAAAGATGGCCTGGATGTTGAAAAACAACGACAATATGCTCATATGCCACCAGAGCTTTTAGTCAGTATTGATATTCCAGTCCAGACTCTAAAATCATTTTACTTACTTCCATCTGTGATGAACCGTCTAGAGTCTCTGATGTTAGCCAGTCAACTTAGACAAGAGATTGGCTGCCATTCTCCCGACTTCCATATCCAAAGCTCCCTGGTTTGTCTGATAAATCAGTTAAATTGCCCGCTTGATTTTGCTGCATTTTCATGAATCATTCACTTTGTGGTTAATCTAATCTGATTTTTTTATTATTTAGATGCTGGAAGCAATAACATCTCTTAGATGTAATGAAGCATTTTCCATGGAGCGTTTGGAATTGCTTGGGGATTCTGTTTTAAAGTATGCTGTTAGTTTTAACCTCTTTTTAAGGCATCCCACAAAACATGAGGGCCAATTGACTGCTCACCGCAAAAAGATCATTTGTAATGCAGCCCTGCATAAATTTGGAATAAGTCGCAAATTGCAGGTATTTGGCATTTTATCTGATACCCATGGCCAGGTGTTGCTAATGAAGTTACACTGGTCCCCTGAAAGTTTGCACATCATTGTGTTTATTTGGTTATTTGCATGTCCTTCTGTTTATTTTGTTTTTGCAGAATTTAGTTATTTGGCTATTTTGTCTTTTTATCCTCATAATTGTGGAATTTAAGAGTCTCCATTCTACTAGCTATTTGATATGATACTAGTTTCTAACATTTAAGCATTTTCTCTTTGGTAATATGATACTATATATATTGATTTCATTTGATCTGTAGGTGGAAGTAACTTTACCGTGGTTGTAACAAGTTTGAGTATATTAGTTTCGAGTCAAATGTAACTTGTCTGTGATACTAAGTTATATTTAACATGTGAATACATCTATTATAGAAATTAATTAAAATTTTATTAAAGATTTATTCTTGGTGTTTGTATAATTAGCTTATTCGTATATAAGATGTAATAAAAATTTTCTTACATGTGTTACATAAATTGTTATCTGTATTCTGTTATATTAATATTCTTTATTAAATGATAAGGTCATGTTATTAAATCTGTGGAATTCAAAATATTTCAACTAACTAGCAAATCATCCTATAAATGATTAATCTGTATAATAATTTGAATTCTTCAACTATGGTCTTTTCGTGCACATAAGCCAAAAAAAAAAAAAAAAAAAAAAAAATGCCAGGTGTTTTGCTAATTTGAAGTTTTACCAATCTTGGGTTCCCCCTGGAAAGTTTGCCAAACATCCATTGTGTTTTATTGGTTTATTTTTGGCATGGTCCTTCTGTTTATTTTGTTTTTTGCAGAATTCTTAGTATTTGGGGCTTTATTTTTGTCTTTGTTATCCTCAGATAATTGTTTGGGAAATTATTTAAAGGAGTTCCCTCCCATTTCTAACTAAACGGCCTATTTTGATATTGGATACTAGTTTCTAACATTTAAGCATTTTTCTCTTTTGGTAATTATGATTACTATATTATATTGATTCAATTTTTTTGATCTGTAGGTGGAAAGTAAACTTACCGTGGTTTTAAAACCAAAGTTTGAGTATATTAGTTTCGAAGTCAAAATGTAAAACCTTGTCTGTGATTTTTTACTAAGTTTTATATAAAAAACATTGTGGAATAACATTCTAGTATTTAGAAATGTTAATTGAAAATTTTTATTTAAAGGATTTATTCTTGTGTTTTGTATAATTAGCCTTATTCGTATATTAAAGATGGTAATAAAAAATTTTTCTTTAGACATTGTGTTTACCGATAAATTGTTAATTCCTGAAATTCTGTTATATTAATATTCCTTTTATAAGAATGGAATAAGGTCATGTTATTTAAACAATCTGTGGAATTTCCATAAATATTTTCAAAAACTAACTAGGCAAAATCTCCTATAGAATGATCAAAGTCTGTATAATTAAAAATTTTGAATTCTTCAAACATTGGGGGTTTTTTTCCTTTTTTTTTTTTTTTTTTTTCCCCCCCCTTTTCGCTGCACATAAGCCAAAAAAAAAAAAAAAAAAAAAAACAAAATTCCAATGGGGAATTGGCAACCCCACCAAAGTTCATTCTCAATTGGGTCGTCTCAAACATACGCGTTAAATTTTTCAAAGGCAGGGGACATTAACTACTAACTAGAAATTGGGAATTATTTAAGCCAGTTAACGGGAAAATACGGATCCCCTCAGTTCTATCCTCCCAAAAAATTATTAACCCCAAGGAGATGAAAAGGTATTTTCAAAAACCATTTTGAACTTAGAAAAAAAAAAGAATCGCAGAGAAAAAAAAAAAAAAAAAAAAAAAAACAAATCCAATGGGGAATGGCACACCAAAGTTCTTCTCAATTGGGTCTCTCAACATATCGCGTAAATTTCAAAGGCAGGACATACTACTACTAGAAATTGAATTATTTAGCAGTAACGAAATACGATCCCTCAGTCTATCCTCCATAAAATATTAACCAAGGAGATGAAAAGTATCAAACATTTTGAACTTAGAAAAAAAAGAACAGAAATTAAAATTCAATAGTCCTTTTTCTATTTTTTTAAAAGTTTTACCCCCATGTATGCTTCTATTTGTATTGTAGATGTTCATTGTCTCATATAAGGAATTGATTCATACTAATGTACCACAAACTCACTTCCATGATTTTAAAAATTTTGAATCTGTTTGAATTAATTAACACTTTGCGATTCTCTTGAAGGAATATATACGAGACAGCGAATTCAATCCTCGTTGTTGGGTTGCTCCAGGACAAAGACCTATTTATTACATTCGTTGTGAATGTGGGATTGATACTTTAGAAGTCCCTTTAGATGCCAAGTTTCAAACTGAAGAAAAAGTTTTTATTGGAAAATGCTGTTCTATAGGCCATCGATGGATGTGTTCGAAAACCATATCTGATTGTGTTGAAGCAATCATAGGAGCATACTATGTTAGTGGAGGACTGATGTCTGCAATTCATGTAATGAAGTGGCTTGGCATGGGTGTTGACTTAGATCTTTCGCTGGTAGATGAAGCCATTAAAAATGCTTCTCTGCGATCTTATATCCCAAAAGAACAAGATTTGGAAAACCTAGAGTCAAAACTTGGTTATACATTTTTCTTCAAGTTTCTATTACAAGAGGCCATTACACATGCAACCATGCAAGAACAGGGAATTGGCTACTGTTATCAGGTATTGGATTATATAGACGGTCATATTTTAATTTTTTGCCCAAAAAGGACATTGTGCCGTATTGAGCCTAGGTCATGACACATAACTTGGAAGGAAAACAATTTGTGTGCATTTTGATAGCGGTATTTGATATATGATATTTGAAATAAAACTTTCTTTAGTCACCAGTTATCTCAAGGAGTTCTTTTTACTGACATTAAATAATGTTATTATTATGACCAGGCTTTGGTTATTTGTTGGTATTTAGTTGCATAAAATTATTTAAATATATCTTAGACAAGACTTCAGATTAATCTTTCTCTTTAACCTTTCGAATTTTGGATAGAGGCTTGAATTTCTGGGTGACTCTGTGCTGGACTTGCTCATTACGTGGCATCTCTATCAAACTCACCCGAAAATTGATCCAGGTGAGTTGACGGACTTGCGTTCAGCTTGTGTTAATAATGAAAACTTTGCTCAAGTTGTTGTGAGACAAGGCCTACATGAGCACCTTCAACATTGTTCTGCATCACTTCTAAGCAAAATAACAGAATATCTGCAGTCTTTTCATGAATCTGATGAAGCCACCAAATTGTCTCCAGGTCTCAAGGGTCCCAAGGTAAGTGCTTATCAGTTCTACAAACTCAAATTTATTGCTTATTTTCTTAGGCTGCATTCATTATGACGCTGAAATAACGGGGATGAAATATTACTTCCTGTAGTATTCACCAATGCACAAAGGTGAAGGGAACAATAATATTTTCTTCATGTGTTTACTCATGTTTGTAAATGGAGGACATTGGATGAGTTCCATCTGTGGCTGTAATGTTGGTAATGGCAGCACTGTAATGTTACTAGTGGCAGTGATGATGCCAGTAGTAGTGGCAGCATTAGAGGCAGTGGTGTGGTGTGGTGCCAATAAGCAGTGGTTGTGGTAGCAGTGATGGTAGGAAATGTTTTTCCTTGCTTACAACTATTAACCAACCCCTCCTACTTCATATAGAAGAACATTTTTAGAGGACTACCACACTTGTTTGAGTGAAATATTACCATAGAAACATTTCACCCCCATTAAACCGAGGCATGCAGCCTTAAATAAACTGTCTGTTGCATCTGTTATAACTTATAATCATGTGTTAGCTAGTGCATTTAATGACTTAACTTCTTTGCAGTTGCTTTGGATATTAACTTTATTTGCTCTGGCCATAACTTTAAATACTACAGGCTCTTGGGGACCTGCTTGAAAGTATTGCCGGGGCAATTTTAATTGATACAAGGCTTAAGCTCGATGAAGTCTGGAGAATATTTGAGCCTCTGTTGTCCCCGATTGCAACACCTGAAAGCCTTGAGCTGCCTCCTCTGCGTGAACTAATTGAATTATGTGACTTCCATGGGTACTTTATAAAAGAAAAATGTATCAATGAGAAGGACATTGTGCATGCTGAGCTCAGGATACAGCTAAATGACGTTCTTTTGACTGGAGATGGGTATGATCGCAGCAGAAAATGTGCAAAAGGGAAAGCAGCTTCTTCTTTGTTGAAGGAACTTGAGGTTTGTTCTACTTGCATTGATAGTTTCTTATATTTATACAAAGAATTGGGTTGTAGTAATTAACAATCACTCAGTATTTAAAAATTCTGAGGAATTAAAAAAAATCCCTAAGATGTTTTGATTCTTAAGCTCTTTATTTTTAAGAATATCATCATTGTGTTAAGGATTTATCAAGCGATTGGACATGCTCTGATAGCAGCAGCAGAAAATAAAAAGAAAAGAAAGAAATTTTATGGAGAAAAGGGAAAGCTTTATTTGCTTAGTCCGTATGGAGAGGACCAGAGTTGAAAGGGAAACTTTTTGGAGCGGGTTTTGGTTTTTCTTGACTTTGGCAAATTTTGATTAGTTTCTTATTATTTATACAAAGAATTGGGTTGGTAGTTAATTAACAATCACTTCAGTATTTTAAAAAATTCTGAGGAAATTTAAAAATAAAATCCCTAGATGTTTTTGAATTCTTTAAAGACTTCTTTATTTTCAAGAATATCATTCATTGTGTTTAGAGGGATTTATCAAGCCGGATTGGACATGGCTTCTGATTAGCAAAGCAAGCCATGGGAAAATAAAAAATAAAAGAAAAGAAAATTTTTATGGAGAAAAGGCGAAAGCCTTTATTTTGTTAGGTTTCCGTATGGAAGAGGACCAGACTCTTACAACTCTGATTTTAATTTTACTTTCAAATAATAATTATCAATTAAAAGATAACAAGGAAAACGAAAATATTAAATTTACTTGACAGGATCATTAGCAAAATCCCAAAATCCCTTAAAAATTAATTTAAGGAAAGGTTGGGGAAAGCTGGCCTTAAATAAATTGGGAAAAATTGGGAAGGTGGAAAGTGATAAAAACTGCTCAGCAGAAGGAAAAAATTTCCAATGGCATGTGGAAGCGCAGTTTTCTCTACTCCTGATGAAATCCAGCAAAACTGATTTAATTTTCCAAAAACAGTTTTTGGACGGTCTTCCAAAACCGCTCTAAACCCCCATGTGCAAAGCACTTTGAGGAGTTTAAAATTTCTTTCTTGCAATAAGTTTTCAAAAGAGGGCGGGGTTTGGTTATTTCATTTGCTCCTGTGTATTTTTTTGGCATTTTGGCTACTTTCAAAACATGATTCATTTAGGCGAAATTTTTGAAGAAAAAGGCTGTTGCCTGCAAGAGTTTTTTTGGTGATAATCTTTTTTCTCTAGTTTACCATTTGGTTGAACGTTTTTCGGAAAAGAGCTATGTCTGACTGAGGCGAGCCTTTATACTAATATTCTGTAGTACTATATTTAAGCACTTTTGGACAACTACCAGCATTCTTACAGAGTTATCAAAAAAGACACTTTCTCGACGTCCTCCATATTATAGTGAGATCATTCGAACATTGAAACTGCAACACAAGTAAATTAAATGAAGATAACATTTCAAAGCATTCTAATAGATCGTATTTTACTTATCAGCACGTTGCTGAGTATTAAAATTAATAAAAAGATAATTCACGACTTGGCAGTCAGAAACACAAATATGTATTTGTGTTAGTTGTATAAAAATATTCCAGAGCGCACACAACAACAAATTAGCCTTAACAGGAAATGTGTGGAAAAAAGCCCGCTGGAGTGACCCATAAAGGAGGACTAAGTAGCAAAATCATTGCATTTTAGAATATTATTCTTTTTCCCTACACACAATAGTTCTTATTTCGTACTAATAATCCACTTGATATGAAACACATCTATAGCAAAGTCTCAAAATGATAAGGGAAAGCTTTATTTGCTTAGTCCGTATGGAGAGGACCAGATTCCTTACAACTCTGATTAATACTTCAATAATAATATCAATAAAGAACAAGAAAACGAAATATAAATACTGACAGGAAAGCAAATCAAATCCTAAATAATTAGGAAAGTGGGGAAGTGGCCTAAATAATTGGGAAATTGGGGAAGTGGATAAGTGATAACTGCAGCAGAAAAATCAGGCATGTGAAGCAGTTTCTCTACTCTGAGAAATTCCAGCAACTGATTAATTCCAACAGTTTTGACTTCTTCCAAACGCTCTAAACCCATGTGCAAAGCACTTGAGGAGTTAAATTTCTTTCTTGAATAAGTTTTCAGAGGCGGGTTTGTATCATGCTCCTGTGTATTTTGCATTTGGACTACTCAAAATGATATTAGAATTTGAAGAGCTGTGCAGAGTTTTTGTGATGATCTTTTTCTCTGTTACCATGGTGAACGTTTTCGCAAGTTGCCTAGGGAACAATCTGTAGAGACAAGCAAAATAAAAACAAAAAAATTACTTAACTGGAAAATTATGTGGATTAAAATACTTAGATTGGTACTAATGTTTTTACTCTTTTCTCCAGTCAAAACCATTTGAATGAATAATTAGCTCTTCCAGATGGCTGAGAAAGTTAAGTTGACTATTCTTAATTGTCTTTTACCAATATCGATTATTAATTTTTAATGAAACAGAAAAGGGGAATAACATACCTCCGAGGTGATGCAAAGAGGAGGAAACAAGCTGAAGAAACTAGAAATAAAATATCTTCTGCAGACACAACAAACAAATACACAAGTGAGCCAACAAACCAGCAGAATAAACTGGAAAATAAATTGCCAGCAGGGAGCGGAGTTCCTTCCCTTGCCAACAGTCCCCATGGTACGTACCTATTCATGTTTTTTGGTTTTTATTTCTGATGCTGAATTTTGATTTAGACAAGTTATAGTTATCTTAATGCAGAATTATATCATGTTATTCTGGCTTCTGTTTTTTGTAGAATCCTTCAGTTTAACTGCCTTACATCTTTCTCCCTTTTCCCTTGCAGTTTACTTGCTCATCGTTTGGGCCATCTGCATTACATTTGCATCATTTGACTTTTGCCTGATGTAACATTTTTTTTTTTCTCTGAACTGGAAATAATATTTATTTGATTTGCTATTTGGTTAAAAAAGTGGATATATACATTAACTAAAAATATGGCAATGTAGTTTTTAGAAGAAAATGAATCTTAATGCATGATTTTTCTGTCCTCCTTTTGCACTCGGTGAATTTTCAATTTCTGTCTACATGTGTGTTGGCGCTCTGGAATTTTATCCAAAAAAAAAAAAAAAAAATCATTGTTCTGATGCTTGCAAGTCGTGATTATCTTTTTATTTTATTGTTAATTAGCATGCTGCTGATTCTTGAAATATTAAAGCTTGAAGTAAGATCTCATTAAATTCACTGTTTTGCAGTTATCAAGTCGATTGACACAAATAAAGGAGGACCTCGAAAGAGTCTTTTTGAACTCTGTAAAAAAGCGGATTGGACAAAGCCTAAATTTAGTACAACAGAATATAAGACAAGGTCTGCTCGTTCAACCATGTTTTACACAATCACATGTCTTTGTGCACATAAAATGATTAGATTCAAATAGTTCCCTAAAACAATTTATAACTGTTGAGCACACTTCCTTTTCTGCAGCAATTCTTGATCCTCTACTTTTGACTGTCTTTACGTTCTTGCAGCACTTCAAAAATATGTGATGATGGCAGCAAAAGAACAGAGAATCGTATCAATTTCATAGCAAAAATCACCTTGCACATACCCTCTCTTGGGGACATTGAGTGTGAAGGGGATGCTCAACTTGATAAGAAGAGTTCATGCGATTCAGCTGCACTGGCTCTACTTTATCAACTTCAGGAGCAGGGACACATCATCATCAACTGCGACCAGGAATGAACTTGGCTGTTTCTCACTCGAACTAAAAAGTTCGAGGGTATTTAAATTTACATGTTAAGATATACAGGCACTTCAATCAAAGATGAAGTGCATGTAAAAAATAATAGTTTAACGAAATGAGTATATATGATCCAACAACTACAAACATGTGAAGCCATTTTCCTGAAAACCGTTTTTGAAGAAGGCCCCATTCTGGAAAACCGGTTGGGAAACAGTTTTTTCAGGAAGTGGTTCTTAAATACTAACGTTTCGTATAAATATCAGAGTTTTAATGTTTGTATTTTCGATTCGATTTGGTTTCTAAGATATTAATAAATTTCCTTGAAATGATTTTACGGGATTCAGTCAATTGTCTTCATCGTGGGACATCATTGAAAAATAGGAGTCTGTGTTATCAAATTCCTGCTACTCTAGCCTTCCCACTGTACGTCGAAGCAATAGTTTAGATTTTCAAGTTTTTACAAATTGAATCCTAACTGGAAATTTTTTGAAACTTATGTTGTACATTAGTTTGAACGATTTAAACAATTTTAAAGATTTATAAATATCCCAACTCATTATAGATATTAATGAATCCAATCAAACCAATGGAAAAAAAAAAAAAAAAGAAATAGGACAGGTAAAAATCAATGTATGGATGGCATCTCTGAAGCAATCCCCAGGAGACAGCTAACAGAAGACGCGTGTCAACTGGGCAAGCCACCGTGTCTACAGAGAGGCGGACCTAAAAGATTGGGTCTAAAAACCTTGAAAGGACAATTAGTGGGTCCATATTCCTAGTAGTAGCCAATCAACACCTGATAAAAATTGATGGATCTGATTAGCCACTTAGATTGGTCCACGTGGCCCATACACTTTCTTGTTGACCACCTCACGTTAAAATTTTCTTATTTCGACCGTTGGTCAATCAAATTTATTACTAGTAAAAAAAAAAAAGTCAAAGAATAATATTCTGCAGTACAAAACTACCCTTATCTAATATCTTACTTTCAATGCAAGGACAGGACAGGAGTGAGAATTCTCATTGTAAACAAGAGAACGTAACTAGTGTTCAGTTTCTTTTTCTGTTATAGCTGTTACCTTCCCTTTAGTTATACTGAACGAGAGAACCACTTCAGACTTCAGTGGCGGTCCAGTTCTGTTTTTTCCTTAAAGATCAGACGCTTTTGAAATCTCCTTCATCACTCTGTTTTCTTCCTCTCACTGCCCATTCTCTGTTACTGTGTAGCTTAAAGTAGTTGTCTCTTGTTTATGAAAGAAAGGTTTCATGTTTCACACTCACCAATGCCAGACCTTACTCCTCTCAAGAGAAGCTATAGTGATGTTAGTAAAAACGCGCCAGAAATGCCTTCTGTCCTACAAACACTTAGGTTTTATGACAAAAATAGCTCAGATTTGAAACCGAAGATTGAATCTCTATGGTCCAAGGTATTAACTCCTGTATGGCAGAAGCATATTTACGTTGCTACATGCATGTTTAACTTCTTCGATTCTGAGATTATATTTGTGTGGATAGTTTGATGCTTCAATGCTAAGCCTGCAAGAGTCGACCCCAAGCTGTTACAAAGACGTGGATGATAAACTTAACAAGCTGAGACAACAATTTTCTGATCCCCACTCAAGATTTTGAACTGCCTGGAAGATCCTGGTCTTATATGTGCTTATGAGGTATGATTCTTGTCAGACTACTTCTATACTTAGTGGGATATCATTGATGTTGAGCAAGAAACCAATTTACTATAGCATTCATATAGATACAAGTTCTTCCTTTCTGGGTGTAGACACTTCATGATTGTCTTTGTAATTTATTACTTCTGAACTTAATTTTCAGGCTGTTAAAGTTTGTTTACAAAATGCCCCCAACTCCAACAAGGAATGCGAGATTTATAGAGAAATTTCTCTGAAGGGCAAATCTTTCCTTGGGGAAATATTGACCGTAATTAGCGAGTCTTTGCCATATGGTATGCCAACTCTTGGACTTGTCCTTGACTTGTTATCATTGCCATTGTCATATTAAGAAATATCATATTTCCACCAATGTCATATGAATTCCCTAGTTGTGGATAAGTGCGTCATTCATAATGTTAATAGAGATAACTCAAAGCTGATTCTTTGAGCTAAAGTAATTGTGAGTGGAAATAATTTGTTTAATAGAAATGTTCATTTTGCTGCAAGTCAATTTCTTGCATTTTTCATTTCTATAGGAATCCATCAGTTGCAATTTAATGTTTGAACCAACTTTTTCTTTCTCATAAGTTTCAACATCAAATAATAATCTTTTGCAAGGAATTCAGACAACACTTGTTTTTGCTAGAGTGCTTTGCCATTTCATTTCTTTTCTCCTTAATTTTTTTGCCCGGTACTTTTTGTCACTGTGTTGCATTTCTTGAGCTCTTTTGGTTTAGTTTTGAGTAAGATTTCTTTTTGCTAATAATGTTCCTTTTCATTTGTCAGGTGATGGTTCTTTTTCCAATCTGGGGTTTGACTACTTACAGGCATTAGGTTTGGGCTACATATCTACAAAGTTATATGAACTTCTTCAAGTTTTCCTATCATTTGGGTAATGGAAATATTTTAATTCTCAGTTTCTTAAATCCTTTTACTTCCTTTTTTCTGGTTGCAGGGTAGCTCGTAAAATACTATGCCTCATCTTTGTTGATAGTATTCTTACAGCTGACGTAATTGGAAGATTTGTGAAGAAAATTACAGCATTAGCTCATTTTACAGTCTCATATGTTACTGGAACTAATTGCTCAGTCGACACATTGACACCTAAGACACAAAGGGAACCGCTGGAATCGTTTAGCTTTGGGATGGTTTATGATTTTGTGCATCATGAATTATCACATAAGTTATGCTGTTTGAAGACCTAATAACATATGTATATACCTGTATTTATAGGTCAATCTATTATTTTATACTGATGTTCTGAGGGATGGAATTCATGTGCCAAACTGCTCCTTTGTAATATGTCTTGATGTGCCCAAGACAGTCAACTGTTATGTCCAATCTCGAGGATGTGCTCGACGAAATGATTCCCAGTATATCATCATGCTTGAGAGGTGATCACTTCTCCATCCTCACATACTTCATGGGTTCTGTGACTGTGTGGGCGCGCGTAGTGGTATATTGATTCTGTATTTGTGCTGTAACATTCATACTAGATATCCTTACCAAGTCATTGAAGTTTTCAAGTGTTGTGTTAATGGATTATTTCTCTCTTTGGTTTGTAGTATCACTGAAGACTGAACAAAGTGTAACTGCATACATATTTGCAGGGGAAATGTGAAACAAAGGAATCAAATATTTGATTTCATCAGGAGAGAATGGGTGGTGACTAATATGGTTATAAATAGAGATCCTGATGTATGGACTCCTAAAGCATGCATTGCTGAGGAAACTGAAGCGGATACTGTGGATGGGACTGGATCATCAGTTATTGAAGATGATCATCTCCTACCATTAGTTGAGGAGACTGCTGAAGATGATCTTATTATAAGAAGCGAAGAAATATCAGCAGGTGCTGGTATGCATCGACATCAAACTTCTATTTAAGTATAAAGTTAGTAACACATATTGGATTTATTATAATCTCATGTCAAATTTTTTATTTTTTGATTGTTTGAAGAATTGGACCTAAGAACATTTGACCCTTAGAGTTGTGGAGCACATTCAATGGCAGTATAACACAAAAAGAAAGGTTATGCTAGTTTAATGTTGACACTATCTACATTGGCTTATAAACATGTCTATTATTAATTTAGTAAACACTTGATCAGGATACTATTAATGACATTTGCATGAATGCGTTATATTATCTAGTGTCATTTCTGAGAGATTTAGTTGTGCTTTATTTTCTATTATATTTTCATCAGGTTTGCATAAACTCATTACTTTTATATTTATGTCTCCCTCTTGATGCATATAGTCCCCAACATAACAAATGATACAATGGCAACCATAGGAACTACAAAAAGGAATGAATTGCATGGAACAACCAATATTCATGCATTATCTGGAAGCTGGGCGGAGAAGCTTGATAGAGTCACATTTCATGCATACAAGTTTGACTTCTCCTGTAGTATTGCCACTGAGATTTATTCAGGATTTGTTCTTCTCCTTGCGTCGAAGCTTGACGGTGATGTTGGAAACATTGAGTTGGAGCTTTATTTGATCAGGAAAACGGTTAAAGCTTCTGTCGCTTATTGTGGACAAGTAAATTTAGATGCTGAACATGTAAAATGCGCCTCTAATTTGAATGTTACATTTTATTTTAGGGAGTTATTTTCTTAATCTTTTTCTCTTCATTTCAGATGATGAAAGCAAAATGCTTCCATGAATTATTTTTCAATGCCTTATTTGGGAGCTTTTTTCCAAATCATCTGAAACACCAAGAGAGTTTCTGCTTCAGAAAGAAACATGTATACTTTGGATTCCTTCAAACATTTATTTGCTGCTACCACTCGAGACATTCAGTGCTTCAAGTGATGAATCTTGGAAAATAAATTGGAAGGGAGTTAATGCTTGCACTTATGCTGTAGAAATTTTTTAAGAACTCACTTTTGGGTGTCATGTATTGTAATGATGCCAGGGAAAGGTCATCAATTTCCACTGTTGGCTTATCTGTAACAGAGTGCAATGGCACCAATGCAATCCACTTTGCTGATATTTTGGTTGATGCAGATAAACTGAAAGATATGGTGGTATTGGCAATTCACACTGGAAAAATATACTCGGTTGTTGAAGTGTTGAGCAACACATCTGCTAAGTGTCCTTTCTGAGAAAAATGCTAGGGGTCAGCGAGCAAAATATCCTTCCTTCGTCCAGTTTTTCAACAAAAAGTACGTAACTTGTGCTCCCAGATGATGTTTTGTCTTCATCCTCCTGGTTATTGTTTATTATCTCCCTAGACGAACATTTATCTGTTTCAGGTACGGGATTGTGCTGAAGTATCCAGGACAGCCTCTGTTGCTGTTAAAGCAAAGCCACAAGCCACACAACCTGCTTCGTTTTGCCGACGATGAAGGTTTGTTAATTTCCATGTTTGAACATTGTCGTAAAATGGAATTTGTAATTTCTTATTTTGAGCTTTTCAGCGGAGTGTCCAGATTGCCTAGTTGGAGAAGTTGGGGTGGATGAATTTTTAAATAGATTAGTCAAATTGGATTGGACACTGCACTTCCTCTTTCTGTTGCCTGATTTATAATATGTTCTTAATCAGATGATTCAAAAGATGGCATGGATGTTGAAAAACTGCAACACCATGCCCAGATGCCACCAGAGCTTTTAGTTCCTATTGATGTTTCAATCCAAACTCTAAGATCATTTTACTTACTTCCATCTGTGATGAACCGTCTGGAATCTCTGATGTTAGCCACTCAACTTAGACAAGAGATCGGCTGCTATTGTCCCAACTTCCATATCCCAAGCTCATTGGTTTGTCTAATGGATCAGTTAAACTGGCTGCTTAATTTGGCTGTATGCTCTTGAATCATTACTTTGTGGTTAATCTAATCTGATCTTTTAATTATTTAGATACTGGAAGCGATAACATCTCTTAGATGTAACGAAGCTTTTTCCATGGAGCGTTTGGAATTGCTTGGGGACTCTGTTTTAAAGTATGCTGTAAGTTTTTTCCTCTTTTTAAGGCATCCCACAACAAATGAGGGCCAATACTGCTCAGCGCAAAGAGATTATTTGTAATTCAGCCCTACACAAGTTTGGAACAAGTCGCAAATTGCAGGTATATGGCATTTTATCTGTTATCCATACCCCAGATATTCCTAATGAAGTTACCCTGCTCTCATAAAACTTTTGAATCTGTATGAATTAAATAACACTTTGCATTTCTCATGAAGGGATATATACGAGACAGTGCGTTCAATCCTCGTTGTTGGGTTGCTCCGGGACAAAGACCTACTCATTATGTTCCTTGTGAATGTGGGGTTGATACATTAGAAGTGCCTTTGGATGCCAAGTTTCAGGCTGAAGGCCATGTTTTTATTGGAAAATGCTGTTCCATCGGCCATGGATGGATGTGCTCGAAAACCATATCTGACTGTGTTGAAGCCATCATAGGAGCATACTATGTTAGTGGAGGACTGATGCCTACAATTCATGTCATGAAGTGGTTTGGTATAGATGTTGAGTTTGATCTTTCACTGGTAGATGAACCCATTAAAAAAAGCTTCTCTACGATCTTATATGCCAAAAGAAACGGAGGTAAAGAGCCTAGAGTCAAGACTTGGTTATACATTTTTCTTCAAGTTTCTATTACAAGAGGCCATTACACATGCAACAATGAAAGAACAGGGAATCGATTACTGTTATCAGGTAGTGAATTTCAAAAATTATTATAAATATATGTAAGGCAAGACTTCAGATTAATCTTTCCATTTGCCCTTTTGAATTTTGGTAGAGACTTGAATTTCTTGGTGACTCTGTACTGGACTTGCTCATTACATGGCATCTCTATCGAAGCCACCCAAACACTGATCCTGGTGAATTGACAGACTTGCGCTCAGCTTGTGTTAACAATGAAAACTTTGCTCAAATTGTTGGGAGAAAAGACCTATACAAGCATCTTCAACATTGTTCTGTGTCACTCCTAAGCAAAATAGAAGTTTATCTGCAGTCTTTTTGTAATTCTGATGAAGCCAAGTCCCTAGGCCTCAAGGGTCCCAAGGTAAGTGCTTATGCAGTTATATGAACTCATTTAGAGAAACTTAACTTCTTTGCTTTGCATATTAACTTTATTTGATCTGGTCATTCAATTAATTGCTACAGGCTCTTGGAGACATGCTTGAAAGTATTGCAGGGGCAATTTTGATTGATACAAAGCTTAAGCTTGATTGAAGTGTGGAGAATATTTGAGCCTCTGTTATCCCCAATTGCAACACCTGAGAGTCTCGAGCTGCCTCCACTGCGCGAACTGACTGAATTATGCGACTTCAATGGGTATTTTATTAAAAAACGAATTACAAATGAGAAGCAGATTGCGCATGCGGAGCTCAGGCTACAGCTGAATGATGTTCTTTTGGTTGGAGATGGGTATGAGCAGAACAAAAAATCTGCAACAGGGAAAGCAGCTTCTTTTTTGTTGGAGGAACTTGAGGTTTGTTCTACTCCTGTTGATTGTTTCTTTGAGTTTTGGTAATTAACAATCACTCAGAAGCTCAAATTTTCTTAATTGTCATTTATGAGTATTGTTTAATGAAACAGAAAAGGGGAATAACATACCTCAGAGGTGATGCAAAGAGGAGGAAACAAGCCGAAGAAACTAGAAATACATATCTTCTATCGACTTGATAAAGAAATACACGAGTGAGCAACAGAAGAATCTGGAAACTCAATTGTCAGAAGGGTCAAGCAGAGTTTACTCCATTGCTGGCAGCGTCAAACATAGTCCCCAAGGTATATTTTTTCATTTATTTATTGAGAGATCCGATGTACTGAAATAATATTGAAATACAATAGAGACAATTATTCTTTTTACTCAAATTAATGAAAACTCTTACAATGGAAGGGATTGAAATTTGAAACCTTCTGGTTCTCTGTTAGACAAGGTATAATTGACTATTCAATGCAGTTGTATGTCATGCACTCAACTCGGTGAATTTTCAATTTTCTGCATAGGTGTTGGCGCACTGGAATTTTATCAGGAAAAAAAAACCCTTGGTTCCGATGCTTTATCTTTTTTATTTTACTGTTAATTAGCAAGCTGCTGATTGCTGAAATAACAAAGCTTGATGCAAGAAAAAATCTCATTAAAGCCACTGTTTTGCAGTTATTAAGTCGATTGGCACGAAGAAAGGAGGACCTCAACAGTCTCCTTTTGAACTCTGTAAGAAAGTGCACTGTACAATGCCTAAATTTGATACGATCTCAGAATATAGGGCAAGGTCTGCTGGTTCAACCAAGTTTTACACAAATACATTAAATTCAAATAGTTCCCTGAAGCAATCTGTAACTGTTCGGTAGACTTCCTTTTCTGTAGCAATTCGTGATCCTGTACTTTTCACTAACTTTTAACTTCTTGCAGCACTCCAAAAATATGTGATGAAGGTGGCAAGGGAACAGAGGATCGTACCAATTTTGTAGCAAAAGTCACCTTGAACATACCCTCTTATGGCATCGTCTAGTTTAAAGGGGATCCTAGAATTGATAAGAAGAGCTCATAAGATTCAGCTGCTCTCGCTATGCTTTATCAACTTCAAGAGCAGGGGCAAATCATCATCAGCAGTGAAAAATCATCATCTCGCTAAATTTGATACGATTCAGCTGTTTCCTCACTTACAAACTCAAAAGTTCAACAGTGTTTAAATTTACATGTTACAATATACAGGCACTTCAATCCAAAAGATGGAGTGCATGTGAAAAACAATAGTTTAACAAAATCTGTTGGTATTTCCACTTTTTACTTGCGTTGTACAAACTTGAACAGAAGTATTACTGAAATTCAAGGAAAAAATATCATTTCTGTCATGCAAATTAGAAAACTGCATTTCCTTGTTTGGAAAATTGTTGATAAATCAAATTGAAAAGGTATAGCTGTCTTCAAGTGACATGGAATCCTTTATACGAGGACATTTATGCTCTAATCAACAGTTCATATACATTACTGTTGTTATCTCCAGTGACACGCTTCAACATCTCAAAACTCTTTCGGCTCCCTAAAAAATCGATCCGTTTGAAAATCAAATAACCAAGCTCGGACGTTTCTTTACTGGAATACACTGATCGGAGCCGGTCAGCATGTCTTGAATCAGTGTGAATGGCAACTTCTATTTCTGAGGCTGACATATTTTCCTGCAGAGTATGAACAAGTCAAGGAATTTGGCAATAGATTAACCCCAGCTATCTAATTGCCAACAGCTACAAACCCTTTAAAAAAAGTCAAACAGCTGGATATGTTATTGATATGTCTCAATACCACTACAGTTCTAACATTAAAAAACACCACCGTGATTGCTCATAACTATGACTGTAAACGAGTTAAGCCGCTCGTGAGCTGCTCGAGGCGCAGCTCGAAAAAAGCTCCGACAAGCTAAATAAACTAAACTCAGGCTCGAGTTCGAGCATGTAAAAAAAAATATATATATATATATATATTTAACCATAAATTGTAAAAGAGCCGAGCTTGAACTTGGTTTTTCAAGCTCAAATTAAGCTCAAACTTGAGCACACTTTTATTAAGCCAAGCTTGACCCAACATAGTTCGGCTCAAGTTGACTCATATACAACCCTACTTGTAACTTGAAGAAAGTCAAGAATAAAGTCCAAATACACACAAAATATCATACAAACACACTAAGAAACATAATGGTAGATGGTATCTCCAATGATACCTGATAAAATGCGTATATATGATCTAACACCTTCAAACATGTGAAGCCATTTTCACTGAAAAATGTTCTTGAAGAAGGCCCCATTTCGGAGAAGCGGTCAATGGGAAACAGTATGGTCAGAAAGTGATTCTTAAATACTAACTCAGTTTTCTCGCTGCAAGTAAGGCACATAGAAATAAGAATGCAGCAGGGTAACACTCTATTAAGAGAACACCAGTAGATTATAGAGAGAGCAAGAACCTTTCTGTAAGTGGTCGTGTTAGATTTGCAAAGGAAGCTTCTGAATCCTTGATGTCCCCCTTTGCATCAAAGAACACAGATGTATGATGTTCACTAACATCTTCACTGCTAAAAGAGTCTGTATAAATGGAAGCAGTTGAAGTTGGCTCAGATATTGACCAGCAGATTGAATCCAGAAGGCTGCTTGGTGTTATCGGACGTATTGGGGTTTGACAGGTCTGCAAGATCCGAGAGAATTCACAAATGCCATATTTCACATCAACACAGGTAATGGAATTCAAATTAAGCCATATGAACCTTCCCAAACAAGCATTCTTAAAAGGTAGTGACAACTTTGCGAGATATCACTACCTGCATTGCTATCAATCACACAGCGGGTGATGTATAAAGCAGGAATAATCAACGATTAGAGAAAAAGAACATGGCATAGGAATAATCAGTAACCTGCATTCGACGACCACGGCGACTTCTAACCCCATTTTTAGCAAAATTCACAATATGTTGTCTTTCTTCGTAGCTTGCGTTACTTCTCAAACCCTTAGCATCTTGAGGGCCATTTTCCTTGTTTATTTCCTAAAGAAAACATCAATATCAAATATTTTGCATCTGGGTAAAGCATCAGACTTAATAGATCAAATCATTGAACATGTTGAAAAGTACCTGCCCTGCAATGCCATTTTGATAATTTTCAAGCATAATCCCAACCTGCCTGGTCAAATCAGTAGACATCCGAACAAGCCTCTGGACATGTTTCTCCTTTGCTGTTTTCAGAACCCAAAGTGGCTGAGACATCATATGCCAAAAGAACTTGATTGAGACAGAAGTAATAAATAAAGTCCTAGAGTACTTTTTGGTCACAGTCAGTCATATAAATGGCTTTCCAGTTGTAGATAATGCTATCTATTAACTGTCCAAAATTGCATAAAACCTAGATAAGCAAACGTCCAAATGTATTATGGAACATACAATCAGAGTATCACAGGAACACTATATCCAATAAAAAGCCATTTTGGAAGAAAATGAAAATACAGAAATACATAATATTAGGTACTAGAAAGTGATGCGAAGAACTCACAGTCACAAGGTTGTTAGAGTGCCCAAGATATCTTTGGACAGAAGCCCCTTCACAAACTATATAACTTGCACCACAGCCAACAAACCATCGATCTAAAAATGTGGCACCTTCTCTAGTAGCTGCCTCATAAACCTGAAAGCATACTAAGCATCTCAGGAGTTGCATTAAGCAAACTACTACAAAAAGAATCTTATTTAGAACTAGTATTTCAAGTTACCTTATTCCGCATTTCATCAGAAATGTCTGAATCAATATACATGGAATTACCAGACAGAACAGGTTCAATACTTTTAGTAGAACTTCTTCCAGATGATTGTTTATGCAGTGCTTCAGTCACGTCATATTTCTTGGCATCATTAATACTGACAGGAAGACAAGAATTTTCAGCACCACCAAAACCAACAAGTCGATTTAAGTCATCCAAGCGCACATCATTTTCCCCAACAGTCTTGAGACTGTAAAGTGATTCACTCAATCTCACTGCAACAAGTGATAATAATTGCATTTTAGATCCTAAGCTGACCACAAAAATCTAATTTATTGTTTGTTATTTGCTGATTCAGTTTCTGTTCAACAAGGACAATCATTGTCCATTATAGGGAATATACTGATAAACAAGATTGCCCTGTAAACCATCTCCAAATACAATTAAGATGTGGGGGAGGTGGGGAGAGAGAGAGAGAGAGAGAGAGAGAGAAACCGTGATGCATAAAATTAATTGCGTCCATTTCCTAATCCCGTGAGAGGCGATTGAAAGAAAAAGATTAGTATTCAATTTGCAAGAGAAATTATAGGGCTTCCAGCTACTAAGCAAGTTCAGATATTATCACACAATATATGCTGAAATAAAAGAGCAGACAACAAATACCATTCCTCCTGACGCTGTCCACAAACCATCCAAGTGTTACAACGAAGAGTCCATTTTTCGATCCATGCTTCAAAGCATGCTCAAACTTCCGTCCACCAAAGCTGTAACCAGTGTTAAAGTATTGCAAAAGCATTGCATTGGCGAGAAGAGCACACACTTATACAGATATACATTCTAGAATTACATAACGATAACAAGCCTTTCTTGTGATTGATTACTAAGAAAAATGAATCTTCAACAAAGAAATAGAGAAAAAAAAAAAAAAAAAAAATCTTAGAATTACATAACGAATAACAAAGCCTTCTCTTGTGAATTGATTACTAAGAAAAAATGAATCTTCAACAAAAGAAATAAGAGAAAAAAAAAAAAAAAAAACAATCTCAAATGAATTTTCTTTTTAATGTTTTCATTCTTGATATCACTTGTCGATAAACCAAAAAAAAAAAAAAAAAAAAAAAAACAATCTCAAAATGAATTTTCTTTTTATGTTTTCATTCTGATATCACTTGTCGATATAACCAAGGATGATTTTCTTCTAACACATCTATGTGCTAATTCATTCATAATAACCAAGGATGATTTTCTCCAAACTTCCCTATTAAATCGTAAAATGATAGAAACTGTATTCGTCCGAAAAAAAAAAATTAAGGATATCTGGACCACCAAATGTGTACACTGAGGATGCAAATTGGGGCTGTAGTGACCGCCTAATCTCTCTGTTGCTTCCATGACTTGTTTCCTTGCTTCTGCGTAAGGAATATAAGCATGAATATCTACAAATTAAAATAATTAAAAAAAGAAAATAAGACTTTTCAATAAAATATAACAAGCAATACTAACCAAAAAAATATATATATATTGGAAAGAAACAGTAAAATGACAAGCAACAAATCCCAGCAAAGTCAGCTGCCGACTTGGAGTCCTATCAATTGCTTGAAATAAGCTATTTCTCCTACCTTAATTACCATGAAGTGGACAAAGTATGGCAAAAAGATACAAGAACAACTCCCAAAAGAAAAGGATGGAGGGAAATAATTCTAAACTATAGCGTTCACATTCATGACTATTAAATATGTCTTCTCTAATAAAACAGAGGTATAGAACAAGAAGGAAATGACATGCACATATTGCCGAGAACTGAAACGGATGATACAACAAAAAAAGAATCGATATCTACCATAGAATAGAAATAACTGTTTCCTTTTCCTTTCTCCAACTTGCAGGATTGAATCAAATCTTAAGAAAATTTAAAATCAACAGAAACCAAAATTCCTAGTTCTGTAAACCACATACCTTTAGATAGACCAGTGACACATATAACAAGACCGGCAAACGGACCGGATGATCGAACCACCACCGGTTCAGACCCAACAGAGGATGTGGCAGGAGACATTGGCTCGAAAGATTGCAAACCTCTAAAAGAAGGGATTGAAGCAGAGAAACCCACAAAAAGCCTTGAACACCCCTTACTATTAACAACTTCGACTTTACCACCCATAATAATCACCTCCTTAATTTGCAATTAACCAATGAACAAAAGCTAAAACCAACAAAGGAAGGGCCTTTCAAAGCAGAGAATGAAAATTCCATGACTTGCGCATTACAAAAGAAAAAGAAAAAAAAAAGATTAATAGGCGGGAAACAAAGCTTCGTAAGTAATCAAAAAGGTAATGAATACGAGGTAATGATGAATAATTTGAAATGACTAATTATTCAAAAAAATAAAAAAGGGGAATTGAATTCTACGCAAAGAAAATCGTAATGTTGACAAATGAAAGAGAATACTATCAACAAAGCCCATAATTAGACCGTATAGTCTTTGAAGACAAAACAGAACAGGAAAGGAATGTGAATTTTTATTGTTGATAAAGAGAAAAGGAATCAAAGATAGTGGGATTCTGCTGATACTCAGAGGCAGCAGAGGCAGAGATAGAGACAAGTTGAGAATTTTGAAGTCAGATCCCTTTCTTTTGCTTTGCTCTGTTTCTCTGCAAATTTGAAATTGGATTTCGTAAAAACGACTACTTTAGCTCTGCTTTTGTTTGTTTCTTTTCACTTTAATGGTATAAAGAAACGAGATACGCACCATTTTTTTAAGCAGCTAAGCAAGCACGGGCAGTTTATATTTTCTCTGCTAAATTCAAAGCTATCAGAATAACAAAATGGGATTGTAGGTCTGGAATAATTACGAATGTGCCATCGATGCACCGCCCGCAACCGCAAGTGGCGTTTTCGAAGTTAAAAAACTGTGCCTAGTGGTGCGTTCCTAGGCGAACACGAGGCCAATAGAACGGGCTAACCACGCCACCGGATGGACCAGTCCAGGTGCCCTACCAATACACCTCACGCTCTACCATTGGTTAGCTGGTTAATTTATATAGTCCAGTATTAAATTCATTTTTGCTTGGTACCCTGGCAAATTCAATTATTTTATTTTATTTAAATTGTCAATAATTTAATGTTAGAATGAAATAAGTTTTGAGTCTCACGGTTTAGAGTCAACCATTTGAATTAAATTTCTTTTTTTTTTTCGAGAAAAATTAAATTTTATTAGTCTACATCTTTTTTCCTTGAAAAAATGTGTTAGAGATAATTTTCTACATATTCTTATATACATGAAGTCAGTAAAGTGGATTTTATAAATTTTATTTTTTTTTCAATTTTATTTTTCAATTTTATATGAAATCTTAAAGAAAATAAGTTTTTTTTTTTTTTCCGTATAATTTGCTGATTTCGATTATAAGTTTATATAATTCATCTACATTTGATTGCATGTTGTATGAACATAAGCAATGTATCATTGTCCATATTTATTAGTATCATTTTATACCAATGTTTGTACAAGTTTGAGAAAGATTGATAAGGACAAAAAAAATTATGATATATGTGAATTAATGATTGACCTTTTAGGTTTTGCTTTGTAATTTGCTTGTGATTTAGAGAATCATTTACTCATATTTGGTTTATGGATCTACATGTTTGACAAGACAATGAAAAATATTTTTTTTTTTCGTAAAACGATGATATTTCTCATTATTTATTAGAAAAAAATAGATAAAATGGAAACAACTCTTAAAAATATTTATTTTTATTGGTTGGATAAACCTATAAATCGAATTTAAAATAGAACTCTTAAATAATTATTTATGGTAAAATACATTTATCATCAATGAATTTTGTATCAGCAATTATTTTTTATAATATTGAAAAGTTATAAATTTAGATTTTATTGAAGTTTAATTAATTGAAAATTAAAAAAATATATATTAATATAAATACAAAATAATGCAATAATTTATAATTTAGAACTCTAATTTGAAGAATTAAAATGGGGAGAAATGTAAATAGAGAAAAGAAGATGGACATAAAGGTCATTGAATAAAGGTTTATTTTGGTTGGGTCACGGACTGCGGTCGTTTTCCAGAAAGCTCGAAATGGGTCACATAAAGTTAGTCTTCCATTATTTAATGGGTTCCATTATAAAGCAAAACCCATAGCTGCCATCACCGCCATAACCAACCATCAAATAGTTGACTTTCATACAGTACCAAATGCCTCAAATTTTAAAATAAAATACGTATCTGCTGATTAATCCATTGCTGGCGGGTGAAGATAAGTGATGGGTTCGATTCTAAATTAAGAAATTAATATCTAATCTAACCGATGCATTAGAAAGAAAAGCAGTATTTTTTTCTGTTAGAATCCGTTTATGGGATCGAATCCGTAACTTCTAAATTATAAGTAGAGTAACTAAGAAGAGAAAGACGGTAGAGATGTTGCAGGAAAAATAGTGCAATTATACAGGAAAAGATGAGAAGGTGAGCATTTGAAGTGCAATCTCCATTAGGCGTTAGTCCACCATCAAATGATGACTCTGTCTGATTTATTTTGAATCTTGATCCTTCTTTTGCAAGTGGTGGGCCATTAATGGCGTCCCTAACCATCTTTGTGTGTGTGTGTGTGTCTCAGTCTGCATCATCTTGAGGAGTAACAGAACCTGACTTCTTGTCCACAAGTAGATGAGTGAGAGAGAGAAATAATCATTTCAAACAGTAAGAAATGAAATTTTAAGACACACATAGCTTAGTTAAATTTGAATTCTTGGCTTTTCTTTCTACTCCTATTACAGGGTACAACAATGTTTTTCCCTTTTGCTTTGAAATGTTAAATGGGTAGACAAAAACTTTTCAGACTGATTTTTGAGGTTGGAATTGAAACTATTAAAATTGGTTCTGATCTACTTGTGAGAAAAGAAAAAGACGGAGAAAATAAAATTATTTGGAAAACTTGGTGGAAATGATAAATTTGACCCTATTAAGGAAAGACAACAAGTTAAAGTTAACATCATTGACATATTAATAATCCAAGATATTGTCGTTTTATATAACAATTGGATGTGACAAATTAGATATATATATATATATATATATAAATTTGTACCCTATTAAGGAAAGACAACAAGTTAAAGTTAACATCAATTGACAATATTAATAATCCAAGATATTGTCCGTTTTAATATAAAATTGGATGTGCAAATTAGATATATAAAATAATTATATATATATATACTCTAAAATACGTATCATTTACATATATATATATATATATATATATCTAAAATACGTATCATTACAGCTCAACGGGAAAGTGGCATTAATGTACTAATTTCTTTCTCTAGTTTATTTCAGTTTGTAAAACCAAGCCAAGTGAGCCAACAAGTTCCTTTTTGTCATCTTGGCACTATGCTCATCCACCACGCACGTGCCATATACTATATTATACATATAATGCAAGTACATATTCTACTTTTTATGGAACTGGCCCATAAGATAAGATTTAATTTATTTTTAAAAGATTAATTAAGCTAACCTCGACTTTCGATATTACAGTCAATGGAAGTGGCCAAATACGAACTGTCAACTTCCCAAAACCAATAAAAAGTAGAGCCCAAACGAAAAGATAAGGAAGCAGAAGAAGGAGATAGTAGAGTAAAGAAGGATACAGGTTTCTGATCAGCTTTTGGCGGCAAAAGAAGATCAACCACGCCTCAGCCACTCTCTAATTTTCAAGCTTTCGTCGTTCGTACAAAACGACATGTCAGGTTTATTTTGGTCGTCAACCCATCGCCGGAGCATCATATCTGTTTTAACTTTTGTTCAAGATAAATACATGCATTTGGGCTCTACCTTCCATCAAAAATATTTACCGGCTGCTGATCCGCTTACAGTCCTTCTTTAAATGTCCTGTTCTTCCACAACTAAAGCATCTTTTCCCTTTCATCTTTTCTTCTGGCTGACCATTCCCAATCCATTCTCTATCACAAGAAGCTGAATCATCTCTATTCATCATGATCATACGATGCACACTCTCTGCTCTTTCACACTTGCATATTAAGTCGACCATTCCCCATTTTTCCTTGGACAGATCGTAGTTAATCTGGAGATTGGTAAACTTTTCTGTAGGGAGAGCACCAATTACTCCTTCAACAATCAATTCATCAGAAACAGATACTCCTGCAGTTCTCAACCTATAGCCAAAACTGGATAATCTCAAAATCTGGTTGGTCAAACTCCCTTCGCCTTCATATTCAATCCCTTCACCACCATATATCCTTAGTAACTTGGTTTTCTTCTCAAAGTGCTTAGCTTTCTCAATTTTCAGAAATAACTCCTCAAGGGCAGCAAAAAATTGTTTAGCATTATTACCATAGTCTGTCACAGGAACAAGTGCATATAGACCATCATGCATTTTCTTTCTCATCATTAGAAGGCTTAATCGATTACTTCTCTCCCATTTTTCATACTGAGCTATGGCTGAAGAAGAGCTAGTGACAGTAGGCTTCTCGGGTTCGTCTTCACGAAGGGCAAAGTCCAAATCCATCAAACCAAAGACAAGTTCCATATTTAGTTTCCAATCCATCCAGCTTTTGAAATCTAAATCATCAAGAATCTTCATGCTAGAATAGATTTCCATAGCTAAAACACTCCTAGCTGCCATATACAACACAAACCTTCCTATGAATAAAAAATTCGAAGCTACAAAATTTCCTGCTGAGCAGAATTCTTGATGTATATATAAATGAGATTGAACTGTGTCTAATAACAATTTCAAATTTCCAAAATGCCGATTCAAGTATATCAGGTTAATTAGAAACCTAAATCTTCCCTATAACATAAAAACAATTAATTTTAATAGGTTTTAAACTTAGAATTTCCAAAGTCAGAATACCCAATTTTTAAACAAAAATAATGTACATAAGCAGATACAACAAAATAAACAATCAACCAACGACAATAAGCAACGATTATTAATTAAGAATAATAAAACGGATAAAAACTGAAAAGCAAAGCGGGAACTCACATCCTTTCGCTCCGAACTCAGTTGTTTCTTCTACTTCGATCAGCTAAAGAAAACCCTACTACAAGGTGCTCGCTGGCTGTATGCCTCGATCAGCTAAAGAAAACCCTACTACAAGTGCTCGCCGGCGGTATGCTTTATGATGTGCCTATGTATGGGCCTCGGCATACGCTTAATGAGCTTATATATGTAATTCGATCAGCTAAAGAAAACCCTACTACAAGTGCTCGCCGGCGGTATGCTTTATGATGTGCCTATGTATGGGCCTCGGCATACGCTTAATGAGCTTATATATGTAATTTAAGCTCGGCCCAAAACGGTGATTTTGAAGAATATCAACTAAGCCCAAATGATGATTTTAATTTATAGTTTTTTTTTTCAGAATAAAATAATAAATTTTTTTTTATGCGGTGAGCGTGGATCGAACACGCGACCTTCAGATCTTCAGTCTGACGCTCTCCCAACTGAGCTATCCCCGCGAGATGGCATTTTTTGGCATGAAAACTTTACAAATAAGTGAAGGGTTTTCCCAGGAGTTCAAAACTGGGACGTGCCCTTTAAGCGACAAAATGAAAGGTAAAATAGCAACATATGGTGCTTTCCTAATGTTGCATATATTGGGCCCTATATTGCAATGAATTACTGGCGAACATTTTAGCTGCATTGTGCGAAAGTGGCAATGACAAATCTCAGGCAAAGTATGACAAATACATTTCAAGGCAACTCAGGGTTTTCTGCATTTGTCGAATGTAATACATCCTTTGAAGCATCAAATTGAAAGAGTATGAGGTAACACACAGCATAGATAGAAAGTAAATAAGAAGATTAGGATTAAAGTAGATTATCATATCTATTTAACTTTGTTCAACATAAATATATATACATACACAAACACATCCCTGAAAGATCCACTTGGGCCTCTACCTTCCATCAAAAACATTTACCGGTTGCTGATCCGCTTACAGTCCCTCTTTAAATGTCCTGTTTTTACGCAACTAAAGCATCGATAGTCCCTTTTCCCATTCATCCTTTCTTCTGGCTGATCATTGCCCATCTATTCTCTACCACAAGAAGCTGAATCATCTCTATTCATCATCCGGTGCATACTCTCTACTTCTCCACACTTACATATTAAGTCAACCAATCCCCATTTCTCCTTGGAGAGACTATAGTCCGGAGATTCATAAACTTTTCTGTAGGAAGAGAATCAATCACTGATTTAACAATCAGTTCCTCAAAAAATCAGTGCACCTTCATTTCTCAACCTATAGCCAAAACTGGATAATCTTAGAATCCGGTTGGACTAGCTCCCTTCACCGTCATATTCAATCCCTTCGCCATCATATTTCCTTATTAAATCTTCAGTCATTTCGCAGAGCTTAGCACTCTCAATTTTCAGAAATAAGTTCTCAAGGGCAGCAAAAAATTGTTTAGCATTATTACCATAGTCTGTCACAGGAACAAGTGCATATAGACCATCATGCATTTTCTTTCTCATCACTAGAAGGCTTAATCGATTACTTCTCTCCCATTTTTCATACTGCGTACGGCTGAAGAAGAGCTATTGACAGTAGGCTTCTCGGGTTCGTCTTCACGAAGGGCAAAGTCTAAATCCATCAAACCAAAGACAAGTTCCATATTTAGTTTCCAATCCATCCAGCTTTTGAAATCTAAATCGTCAAGAATCTTCATGCCAGAATATATTTCCATTGCTAAAGCACTCCTAGCTGCCATGTATAGAAAAAAAAAAAAAAAAAATTGAAGCTACAAACTTTTATGCTTGCCCAAATTGTTTATAATGATATATAGATGAGATTGAACTTTGTCTAAAAAAAATTATATATTTTCAAAAAGCCAATCAAGTACATCACGATCCGTCTTCAGGTTAATTTAGGAACCTAGTACATCATGATTCGCCTTCAGGTTAACTTAGAAACCTAAGACTTCCTTGTAACGTAAACTCTTTAAATTTTAATAGGGTTTAAAATTACAATTTCAAAACTTGAATACCCAATTTTGAAACAACACTAGTATCCAACGAAAATAACCAGCAATTAGAAAGGGGAATCGAAATAAAAAAACTGAAAAAGCAAAGCGAGACCTCACCTCCTTGTGCGCCGAACTCTACTGTACTTCCCTTTTACTTTCTTATACTCCGATCAGCTAAAAGAAAAACCTTGATCGTGGCAGTTGCTTTGTATTTTCTCTCTGCAAATTCAACAACCACTCGCTAACAGGATGCTTTTTAATGGGCCCATGTAAATTAAGCCCAGGCATACGATTAATGGGCTTATTTATGTAAACAGTTGGGTCATTAAAAGAATAATTAAATTAAATTAATTATTTTTTAAAAACCAAAATTCAAAAAAAGATAATAATTATAAGTTGAAAATGAATTTCAACCACAGATTCTAAATATTGTAGTTTTTCTTTTTTAATACATGAAAAATACAATGGATCAGAATAATATTATAGACTAATAGACCTCCTTTTTAAATAACATTCACTAAATTAGTTATGGAATATCATTATGAACAACAAAGTAGGAATAAATCTATAACATTCACCAAATTTATTAATGATTAACTTCTGTAGTAAAGAGCACTCTTAACTCGAAACCTCTAACTCTCTGTGTCTTTTACAAGATGTTGAAAAATCAATCAGACCACACCTCGATGATTTTAAATTTCATAGTTGATACATCAACATATAATAAACTAAATTCTATCTTTTTAAATGAAAAATAATAAAAAAATATAAATATCCTAATTCAAGAAAATGAGTAAGAAAAAATGCAATTATTTCTCCAAGAAAGTGTGTATATATATCATCCCTCATCTCTCAGTTACCAAAGTGGAGAATTTATACAAGGGATTTGGACATATTGATACAAGTAGGATTGCTAAAAGTAACACGCCCACATGTCAAATAATGAAACTATTTTGTGAAGGGCCCTCATAATCACAAGTACTGGAAAAGATATTAGAGATGCTTTGTTAGGAAAAGGATTTGGGGAGAGCTAATCATCATTCATTCTTTTTGACACCAACAACTTTTTTAGATATATCAGATTTCAATTTGCACCCAAAAGAGAGAGCTTCCAAGAACATTCCATCAATTGCTTCTTCGTTTTTCTCATACAAACAGAACGCCAGGAAAGCAACAGGAAGTCCTGCAATAAATGGAAACAGAAAAAAGCCGACAGAATTATTTTCAGTGAGCGACCAACAGTTAAAAGGTATAAGCTCAAAAAATGAGACAAGAAAACAAATGGCAGTCAAGGCAATCTCTATCCAACATCTGACTAGATAAAGGCGATTTCCAGTGGAAAATAATCCAGTGGGCCAAACAAGACCCTGAATTAAATTTTTATTTACAATCGTCAGCTCTTTAAATTCTGATGTAAAATGGCATAACTTTTTATTTGTCTTTACCAAACCTTCCAAAAGATTAGTTTGCCATTGATTGCCCAAGAACAGTATACAAAAGGAGCAACTCCGACTCTTCATATACATGTATTCATGCGTGCAAGCATGCATTAACAGGTAAGTGCGCAGATGGGTAAGAGCGTGTATGTGCATTTGTACATGATATGTGTAAGTGCACGGGCATACATGATGCATGTGTGAATATGCATCTGCTTCTGCATACACCTGTATGAGAGAGAGAGAGAGAGAGAGAGAGAGAGAGAGAGAGAGAGAGAGTACCTATAACAAACAAACTCTGGAAAGAGATGGCTCCAAGGATGCTAAGAGTCAATAGCGACACAACAACCTATTTGATTACCATAGAATGACTCAGAAAGCTTAAAGAAGCAGCAATATAAAACAAAAAAAAAGGTTACTTATTTAGTTACTTCGCTTGGTATAATCAAGTAATTTTAAAGTAATCTGAAAGGTTGAATCACGTGTGTTGGCTGTAACTTGCTATAGAATCAATTACATATTCGGGTGCTATGTGGTCTTTCAATGTGCACAAGTGTAGACTGATCAGCCAGCAGAGTGCATAGGCATGGTTAGGTTACTGAAATGTTCATAGGCATGGTTAGGTTAACAAAATAGTGATGTATTTTTTGAACCAAACCACAATGTCGGTTAACCATTTTTACAGGGTTTTTCAATTTTTTTGTCAACTCAAATTTCACCAATGAGACCCTCAACAATGGGCCTATTTTTAAGCTCAAATTCATTTTCTAATATTTATTGCAATCATTTAAAAGAATATATAAACATGCATTTTCAATTGCAATACCATTATACTGTTATTTTCGATACTAATTCGATAGCACAATAAATTACAATTTCGTAAGGATTTACAGTTGAAATTTTTAAAAAAATTAGAACAAAATTTTTTTTATTAGTAATTAATAAATTATAATTCCAATACTTATTTCAGACGAATTACAAATTATATTTCTATATGCACCTCAATTCAATTTATTTTTGCTGTCTGTTTTGCAAAATGAAAGCAAAATTCATTCGACCATTTATTTTTTTTAGATTGGTTCATCAGTTTTTCAGTTTTCTTTTCTCTCCCTACTTAAGGCAGTACTTACCTTCAAATCCTGTTCAGATCTTATAATGACAACTCTGCATCACTTTACTTCACTACAGCAAAAGAATAAAAACTGACACAATAACAAATTGAAGAGGTTGCTTTGGATATCAGTAAATACCTTAAGGAACAGCATCCAATCATTCCCCTTGCATAGAGATTTTAAAACATTAATAGCAGAATTCCATGATGAAGCCACTGAAAGAGCAACTTGGTGAGACTTCTCTTCTGATAGATGAAAATATGACACAGGAATTTTTTCAATAGTATATCCAAATCTGCATAAAAAGAAAATCCAATTAATAGATAGAATCTAGCATTCCTCAGTCTATTATCAGAAAGCTTCTTTTTCTCCCACTATATCAGAATTCGGAAGATTCATAACACAGTATGAAGCACATGCATAGCACACCTCCCTTATAAAAAATATGCATCATCCAGTGATTGAACAGAGTGACATATCAGTGTTGTACTCTTAGAAGATAAAATATAATTCCATGAGAAAAAGTAGATTGCACATTGACAATTGATAAAAAAGTGGGCAGACATACATTCTCTCAGGTAAATTTGCATGGATGAACAGGAAACCTAATGTCGCCAACAGAAGCTTTGAAAGTGCAGTAATGATGGTAGACTGAGATGTAATGAAGTTGTAGTAGATTGCAATCAGAATTAACAATACCATCAATGTCTGCTTTTTATCCTTCCAAAGTAGGGTGTCAGCAACTGCAAATGGCAGCAGATTGTTAGTAACCTTCAAGTAATGTTGATCAATAAATCACATTTCGATCACATCCAGGAAAACTAGAATATATATTCTTCACACACATATAAGCACAGAGGATATTTTTGAGAAGTCACATGAGCACCAGCTTGACTGTATAAAGGAAGAGTAGTGATATGAAGGTCAATGCTTAAGGACTGTCTATCACAAGGTCATGTTGGTGACTACACATGAAAAAGTAAATAAGATCGTTCTTGTAACAACAGGTGATAATAGTTCATAGCAGGGTCCTAACTATTTTCAATGCCAACAGTCATCCTTTTATGCTAATGTTAAAGAAAAATAAAATCATACAGTACCTAACTGAACCAATTTAGGCATGGAAACCAAATCGATATTTGATGTAGGCCATGTTAAGTTCACAAAATTTTTGCATAATCAATATTGCCTTTTTGTCTTTTAACCTATCAGAAGTAACTAGACATAGTGGAGGTGCAAGAAAAATGGTAGTTATGGGCAACCAAAATGAAAGATTTATCTTTATTTAAATTCTGTGCAGCACTTAGCATCCCACTGTGTAATTTACTTGTGTTTCAAATGCAGCAACAAAAAAATACATTTAAGTAGTAGAATGGATGGGAAGTGAACAATCATACCCCTTCCACCTCCAAGATATCGGTGAGCTTTAGATGGTCCTTCTCTTTTAGGTTGATTTTCAGCCCTCAAGTCTGAAAATGATTCTAGTGTCCTTTTCAGACCCTCCTGAGAAAAGTCATAATCACGGCATTAAAAATGAACCACCAAGCTACGAGTTTGATTTAGGAATATGATGTACAGTTTCAGGTTTATTTGTTCATCAGAAGGGTCGTCAATCCATAAAATTGGAAAATAGTGCTGTAACAAAGTCTGAACCACTTGCTTTCTTAAACAGAGACAAGAAAACTCTACTGATAGGGCTGAGAAAGTCAGAATATCTTATAGAATAACCATTCAAATCAATTACATATCAATTATAGAGATTATATTAGCATGTCTAAGCAACAAGAAAGGCTACAGTCTACAGAGGCCAACTCTTAAAGCAGGGAATGTAACAAAGAGCAAGGTAAATAGAAAATAAGTTTGTCAAATATATTTCAAACAAGTTTGTCAGATAGAAAATAATTCATGATGCAGCATGATGCAGAAGCAGTAAATCTTCATAAAATACTCAAAAACCTCAAGGGAAACTATTGGTGTGTAGCCAAGTCGATCCTTTGCTTTTGAACAATTAAAAGATCTACTGCAAGAGAGGAGTCTAATTCTTGAAGGTATCAACTGCGGAACCTTCATTCCATATGGGCCCAATAGCTTGTATGTCCACTCCACCACATGTGCAAGTGGCATCACAGCAAAAGCAGGGACCTTTATCCTTGGCCTGGAAGTTACATTAGATCAGAGAAAAAGATATTTGGCATTGACAATTATATAACTTTAACAATAATGAATAAAAGAAACAGATTTTTATTTTTAATTCCAGCTAGAAATGAAGCATTGTAGGAGAGCACCCCTTTTTTAATAGGAGCACCAAAAAGAAGAAAGAAGACCATCTCTCATCATAAGAAAATATGATTGATAATAACAATCTAGGTAAAATACATATTTTAAATTACAGAAGAGAATTCTAGAAAATATTACAGTCAACAGCCCAAGACAGGGTAGAGCTGATTGCGTTGGCATAACTGCCTAGAGGAATAGCTATATATATACAAAGAAATATGAAATACTAGATGTCCGTGCCAGGCTGGGCTCTGGATCACCTAATAAAAATTACCCTTGGTTTAAGCCCACCAATACACAAGTCTATACAAGATTATCAAAGCAACAATATCACTTGGGCAAAGGCAGATATAGAAATACTCAACTCATACAAAGCAGGAAACTTGTGGACATTTATATCCTATTAATCATGTAAGGGGAAAGAAAAAGAAGTACCTACCTCTCATAGCCAAGACCTCCCAACACGAGTGAGGTAAACTCCCAAAACTTTATTGGCTCCATGTTGGTTATAAAATATGCCTGCAAATTCAATTTCCTCTTAGCCACCAAAAACAGGCTCTGGTACCCAGTTTAACATGTAATATTACATTTTGAAAGCAAGGATTGACATGATTTAACAAAAATTAGTAGAGAATAAGACGGTAAAGATCTTTCTTTGGCTCGCCTGTGTTAAAAATAGACATGTCAGAGAAAGTTTATTCTTAGAGAACCTCTTCCATCATTTCTTGAGAAATTTCAGAGTCCAGATTAACATAAAGCCCATAATACAAATCTCCTCATGAAATGACATGCTAAAGTGTCAAAGTTTAGTAATTTAATACTTTTGCTTTACGTTAGTATTGACTCTCTCGCTATGGATTAAAAGTTGAAAGATGATGTAAGATGACAGCCAACAAACCCACTCAAACAATTCCACATGGATTCAAAAGAAGCCATGCGCATCGAATTGATTGAGCATTACCACTTTATTCCAATGAAACAACTTTGATCTTCACCCAGTATGTATACAAATTGAGCTAAGCTTCTAAGCGGCTTTGCCTCTTTGCCCCCAACTTTGGTCCACAAGGTTCGATGGTTTTGGTTTGTTGGCCAAGTAGAGAATTAATATAACACAATGTTTTGTTTCCAGTGCCTTATGTGTCATGTTTATACGCAAAATGGACAGGAAAAAGAAATCTCTTAAGTCTATTAGTCATGAATAACTAAAGTGAATGTGTTTCTGCCATGCAACCATATTGACTGATGCATCTCTTATGTCTTTTTCTGCCTCTGACTTGAACCATGATACATGGAAAATGTGTAGGTAACACAAGCAAGCCAAATTCATAGGGATAACACATGCATGCATAAATCTATGCTCAATGAGTATTGGATTTGCATTTGGAGAAGGTGAAGGGGGTTCAAATTGCAAACTGTTGAACTTGGTATTTTAGTTTCAATTACTTGAACAAGGTTTATTTTTAGTAAATAAAACTTGCTTATGAATTATGCACTAAAAAGTCTAATTCCACATATACACTAGGAAAATAATAATCATTATTACTGTCTACTGAAACGTGAATGCAAAAGCACAAAAGGATTGTACCTGCCCAGCACCATTCTTTGCAACATCCTCTCCTGATGATAGAGCTCGTTCAGCACATATGTGGGCATGTGCCACATTTTCGACATATGTGAAATCATAAATGTTATTGCCGTCACCAATTATGAACTATTCAAACAATAATAAAGAAATAAAATGAGTGACAAGATTTTATGCAAAAACATAACATGAATGCATATCACTAAATTCATAGGAACTGCAACAATTTAAGTATCATTACTGCATTCATTGCAGCTGAACCAGGCGAAAGAGATTAGAGAATATAACCTAATGGGAACAAATTAATTTTCGGTATAAAATGAATTCTGCAAATCGATTTTAATTGTTAGTTAAATTGCCTACAGCAATCAAAGGAGCTTTGTTAGCCATCCAAACTTATAGGCTGACAACAGGAAAAATTTTGCATGCAAGGTGAAAATGTAATAGAAGCTTCAGCTCCTAAAATATGGATCCATTCCTTGCACGTCTTTAATAAAATTATGAATCAGAATAAACCTATTTTAACGAAGACTTCATACATAGTCTCCTCCAAGTGATTTCAAATTCACAATGCTCTCTCAAAACGTGGAGCTTTTTTATCTGAACCACAATTTTTGGTAACCAACTTTTCCAAACTAAACAAAAAAGTCACAATTTCTTTATATATCAACAGTGGAACTTTTTATTGAAAATAGGCCAAATGTTAATTGTACCTTATGTTAGCATTATGAGTAGCCATCAAGAAAATATGTTTAGAAACATATATAGATTTTGAATTATGTTGTCAATCTTTTGAAATAAGCATTCTGCATTCTGCAAAGCCGTCGTTACACTGTCTTAACAATCCAAGACATAAATTGCATTGACAAGTGGCAAAACTACTTACCTTGGATTTCCCAGCCCTTGCTGCAGTGACCAAAGATGGAACAAACAACCTATCTCCAGGGCCAAATATGCTGCTTGGGCGTAAGCTACATGTAAGGAGCCCATTAGTGCCATTTGCCTTGATTACTGCGGCCTCACCTTCAGTTTTAGTTGCTGAATATGAATCAAGGGGCTGAAACAGTATAAGACAATGACTCATCTCCATTTCAAGATATAATTAATCCCATGTTAAGTTAATACCTTTAGAAATCTAGCAACATCTATCAAGTCGGTACCTTAGCTGGGTATGGCAAGGATTCATCTCCATTAAGAATTCCATGGATCCCATCAAAAACCACGCTAGCAGAGCTGGTATAGATAAGCCTCTTCACTTTGAGCTCCACACAAGCATCAATAACATTCTTTGTCCCTGCAAATCACCGTCAAAAATAAACACGAAATAAAAAATATAGTAGTTAATAATGCACCTACCAAAATCAAAAGCAACTTACCTTGCACGTTGACTGAATAGTGGAGCTGATAGTTATTAACGGAAGAATTAGGAGCCGCCATGTGGAACACAACTTCAGCTCCTTCAACAGCTATACAAGCAAAAACAAAAAATAATGTCCTCAAAACTACACATCTAATAGTTTTGCAATTAATCTCCTCTATAAAGTAAATCACACTAAGTAGAATTGAAAATGAATAAAACTGACCTTTTAGAACTTGGGCCTTGTCCCGGAGATCCATGGAAACATATTCAGCGCGACCAGATTCTAAGGCTTCTCCAAGGGTTCCGTTCTCCTCCTCTGCACTTAATTTAATGGCAGGCTCCAAATCACCAATCCGAACTAAAAACATATCATTTCGAATGAGCATTTCCACCAAATGCCGGGCCGCAAAGCCCCTGCCGCCAGTGACCAAGCACCAACTCTTCTCTGCGGACATATTCCTGTTTCAGAAATTCAAAAATTAATTAGTTTCTAGTGAAGCGCAATACAATGTAGACGAAATCTCTCGCTTGATAGTGAAAATAGCTTACTTGGTCACTTTTGAGCTTTCAGTCTCCGTTGCTTATTCGCCGATAGGATCTCGATTTGGAGGATCTGAAAGCTTGGTTGCCAGTGGCGACGATAGCTGGCTTGCTTTATTTTTGTTGTTAACTTCACTGTCTGCTTTATTCTCGCCGCTGTCGTCAACTTCTGCTAGACTCGACGGCTGCTTCTGCTTTCTTTGGATCGAGTCAGTTGTGCGCGCAGCAATAATACGGAATAGATATTGAAAATAATTTTAATTAAAAAATAATTTTATTGGTTAAAATTGTTATTATAATGTCTAATTTTTATAATAAATTATAATTTGTCAACACAAATTATTAAATTTATAAACCTTCAAACTACTGTGTAGCAAAAATAAATTTTCGCTCCACCTTTTAACCACAAATCACAAAGAAAATATTCATCTATACTATTTTTTTTATTTTCCTACATTTTTTTATTCAAATTTCATTTCCTTTATATAGTTGATTAGACTGATTATTTTTTTTAAAGATAATATTAAAATTTCATTAAAAAAGTTCAAATCATTATAAATATTAGAGGGATGACTTAACCCTCTCTATCTAACACCATGCATATAAAAAAAACTATAAAATAAAAAAATTTATAAAATAATTATTTTTTTGTTGATCTAATAAAAAATTCTAATAAAAATAGGTGAACTTAAATAAAATGGATGGACATTCAAAATTTGTTAATTATATGGACTCCCTGAATTTTCTATACATAGCGTAATTATCCATGAATTAGTTATTTATGATGAACATAGAGGATTTGAACTACTAAATCGAATGAAGGAACATGCCACAGTACCAGACTCGCACTATTATATTTCAAAAGACGAAGATCATTGTATAGTTAAAAAATTATCCACAAATTGTAACATATCCAAATAAACCAAACAAATGCAAACAACAAAATAAAACTCCACATAAAATGTAGAGATCATAAACTCTACACAATATGAAGATAAAACACAAATAATAGTAGAAACATAAATAACATGAATCTATGTCATAATAAACATAGATCTCTAATTTATTTAACAAAAAACAGAAAAATTTACCTCAAAACTAGAAATATAAAGAGAGATTGTCACAAGAGACAATAATCAGCTCCTTCCTATATCTACATATTTGATTTTGTGTTTCAATAAAGAGAAGGGAAAAAAAATTTTAATAGTGAAGTGAAAGAGAGAGAGAGGGGGGAGACGGTCACCTATCAGTGAAATGAAATGATTAAATGGATTATTCAGTAAAGTTTTCAGTAAGAATATAATTATTTTCATAAGTTATGAATATATTTATTTTATACTTTAATACGTCGTGTAAATAACTATAAATTATTAGAATAATAGAATATATATATATATATATATTAAATATAAAAAACTAAATAGTCAATTTTAACAAACTGAATAGATTGTAATTGACACTAGTATAAGAACACAAATTAACGAATGGGCGATTTCTAATAGAAATCAACCATCAATTATATAAAATAATTAAATCGAACGCTGCTTCATCGTTTATGTATTTTTGATAATATATAAATATTATATGGCATTGTCACATCAATACATTGACCTTTGAGCATATCCATAATTACCAGTTTTTGCTTACAGCTGTGAAATGAATATTTTGTTGTAAATAAATCTAAAATCGGAAAGCTCTTTTATCTTTTTTCACGCGATCCGCGGTGAGGTCTCACCGATGGTTATCTCTTTTTTTTTTTTTTTTTTTTTTTCGATGGTTTATCTCTTTTTTTTTTTTTTTTTTTTTTTTTTTTTTTTTTTTTTTTTGCAAATATTTTTTTTTTTTTTTTGATTATTGTTGTCACTATTGTGGTAATTTTGTATAACGTCTTTTATTATTTAAATAGTTAATTAAGGAAATAAGTGCTGATTTTTTTAAAAAAAATTTTTGAAAGGTAAAAGATTTTTTTTTTTTTTTTTTGAGTTATTGTTGTCACTATTGTGGTAATTTTGTATAACGTCTTTTATTATTTAAATAGTTATAAGGAAATAAGTGCTGATTTTTTTAAAAAATTTGAAGGTAATAAGATCGAATTTATAGAAAGACCATGGAGTCGAACAGTGGCCATAAATAGCCAAGAGTGGAGCAAGCGATCGTCGATGGCATAAATATTATGCTCTGTCAACTCGATCAGATACTTCAAATCAATATTGTATTTTTTTTATCTTTTATATAAGTGCTTTATTATTAGATTTTCTATACAAAAATATAAAAATATATTGATCTGTATCCCATATTTATATATAATTTTTTTTTATTAAATTTCTAGCTTGATTTCTTCTAAAAAAAATATTTTGTTGTAAATAAGATTTTTTTTTTTTTTCGGATTAAAAGGATGGGAATAACCCCAAATAAAACACTAGCTACTCAAAGATACAACCCCTGGCCAAGCCACTTGTCGGCAATCCCACCGCAGCAAATCAACAACATCAGCAGGAGGCTGATGCAAAACAGTTCTACCCACAACAGCTGTAACAGCTAAGTTCGCGAGACAAATTCGCCACCTTGTTTACTTCCCTATAGCAATGTTGAAACTTCACTACCCATGAGGATGATAATATACAAGAGCTCACACCAAATTGATGAATGAATAACTTTTCTTAACAACTATCTCTTTTCGTAGTTCATGCAAAATTTATGAAAATTTTTTATTAAATCAATTGATAATATATTATATGCTCAAACTTGATTCGGTTAACAATTTGAATTCCAAATATTTAGTTTTATTGATATTCAGGATATTCGAATAATTAGGATATGATATTTTATAAAAAAAATTATAAATATGTAAAAAAGCATTCTATAGAAACTATATGAATTGAAAATAAAAGAGTACATCCTTAATAATTATTTTAAAATTCATGTTTGGCACATAAATTGATTTGATAATATTTAATTAAACTCATGAACCACACCATCAATATATAATAAATTTTGAATTCAACTTAACTTATTATCTGAGTAAATATATATTTTAAGAGTTGAGTTGTAATACCCACTTTCTTAATTTTAATGAATTAATAATAATTCATTCAGTACAATAAAACATTCGAAGTGCTGAACCAACCAAAAAAAAAAAGGCCCTTTCGAAAACAATCAGAAGGCAACATGTCTTTCCCTAAAAAGAAAAATCTATCGGACCGACACGACATGTCGTTGTTTGACCGCGGGAAAACAGCGCTAAAAACACATACACTAGGTTCGTTGATATGTAAACTCCGTTTTCTTAGCAGCAGAGCCTCAGCCAAACGGCAAACTCCATCAACCTTCATTGGTCCCCTACAAATTTGAAATATTTTCACCTTCCCTCCTCTTGGTTTGAAAGCCCACATATCTGCAGACAGCAGTCAAGCAACTCTAAACCCCACAATATGCCCTCAAAACCAAAATCATCGCCGCCAATTTCTCTCTCTCTTTCAATCTCGCAGCATGACGACGATGATGATTTCCAAATCCCTCTCTCACAATCGCAACAACCCTTTACTGTCACTTCAACTTCCAGAAAACCACTTAGACCCTCCAATAATCGCCACCGGCAGCCCAAAAAGCCCAAGATATCCATCAATTCCGGCAAGGAGAACGTCGCTCCAACCTACTCCGCACCGAATCAGAAAATGCCACCTGATACGGACGAGGAGTTCAATTTCCATGACAATTGTAGCTTGGATTTGATAGAATCGAGCATCGATTGCAGTAACAAGAACATTAATGAAGATGCGAATTTTCAAGAGAAGAGTTTTGAAACTGGAAGTAATAAGAGGAAAGAGGGACTGGAAATGAATACTGGGTATTTGTGCAATTCGATAGAAGCTAGGCTAATGAGGTCGGTAAGTGATACTGGACTCAATCCTGTAGGTCATTCTGGGTTAAATGAAGCTGATGGATTGGAGGATCTTGATGAAGATGGCCAGTTGGATTTGTTAATTAAGTTATGCACTGATGATGCCAATGAGGGAAATAAGGTTGCTAATGGTGTGGATGAGGGAGGTTGTTTGGCTCAGTGTCCACTTTGCGGGATCGATATTTCGGATCTGAGCGAGGAATCTAGATTGGTTCATACTAACGATTGTCTTGACAAAGAGGAGAAAAATGTTGAAGAAGTAAGCTTTATGCATTTTTCCATTTCTTTATTTGTAACTCTCTGTCATTTTATTGATTTATCTTACGTTTGAGCAATGGAAGATTAAAAAAATATTAAACTGCTGCCTTTTATCAGAGTCTAAAGATTAATTGCATAGGACTATCTTGGGTAGTTGAGATGTGGAAGTTTTATAATTTAGTTCTTTATTCAAGTTAATTAGTGGTTCAAAATTGGCTAAACACTTTATTTGCTGGTTTATAATGAGATGGAATAACGACTGTTTCATTATTTATAATAGCTATTTAACCAACCACAAAGTAGAAATAATTCTGGAACGGGGTCATATATAGTTACTGGCTAGCTTCAGTGGATATTATCAGCTTTTGAATATATGACTATAATTTAGAGGGCTGCGGTAAATTTTTGTCTGCTAACTGATCTGAGCAAGAGATTGGCCGCAGGCATTGTAATTTTTGCATGATATTATTGGTGTTTCAGTAACTTTCTAAAGATTCTCCCCAGCTCTTTCTGGATATAAGGTGAGATTTAAGACTTGATTCCTTAACATGCATGTTTTCTGCAGATTGTTCCTGCTAGGAATAACAGGGAAACTCATTTTGTGCCACAAGCTGTTGATGATCTTATTCATTCTCCACGCCAAGTTGTTGATGTTTCCCCTGTACTTAAATGGCTGCAAAATTTAGGTCTAGAAAGATATGAGGAAGCTTTTATTCAGGAAGAAATTGATTGGGATTCTTTAAAATGGCTAACAGAAGAGGTACGCTTGTGTCTCTTTTAAGTCCCCTGCTATGCATGCTTTTCTTGATGTAGACTGTGGTGGAGTTTTAATTTTCAGTTTCATTGCTATTTCTTGAACCTGGAATGTAAACCCCCAAATAAATGCTCAATTTCCCTTCTTTGCAGGATCTTGTTAGCATAGGTGTTACAGCACTAGGCCCCAGGAAGAAGATTGTGCATGCTCTTGGTGAACTTAGAAGAGGGTGTAATCTGATGACTGAGACATACAGGGAAACACGTGCCTCTACTGAAGTTGGATCATGGAGTATCCGTGAAGGAGAGATGCAGGTGGAAGCTTCCAAAGTTGTTGAAGAGGACACTAGTAAATCGACTACAAACAAATTGATTACTGATTATTTTCGTGGCTCTGTCACTGCTAGGAAGAAAATTTGCACCATCTCTGCAGAAAAGCGTAACCCAGGATCTGTTCGTAAACACAAGGCTAAAAATTGCTCTGTGCGTAACAGAAAACTCAAAGATATTCCCCTGTGGTGCACCATACCAGGGACATCATTTCGAGTGGTAATAGTCTTTCATATTTGAATAAAAATTATCGTGGATATAATTTTGCATTTCTTTTTTTATATGAAGTGGCTTTTCAACTCAGATTCAGCACTTAATAAAGCTTTTGGAGTGGGTTTAAATGTTATGTTATAGTCAGCAGCGGAGCTGTTGAATATCTTATTACTTTTCCCGTTATTGACGGTATTTCTGGTTTTATCGTTTAGTTTGTTCTAATTTTGTGTCTGCAGGATGCTTTCAAGTATCTTAGAGGAGATTGTTCCCATTGGTTTCTTACGCACTTCCATATGGATCGTAAGTTCAGTTCCACATTCTTCATGTTGTATTTTATTTCTTTTTTTTTTTTTTAGTTTGATAGATATCCATATCAAAACAAGGGAAATTTGTACAGCAAAGAACTGCTTTTCATTTTTCAAATTTCAAAAGCTTTTCTTATTTTTTCCTTAATCTACACATCTTATCTTAATTTGAATTCTTGTTTTAGTGCTTATTTAACTATATTACAATTTACAATATATATTAAGGGAGGTGAACTAGGGGCTTCACTTGCATTGTCGATTCCATTCAGCTTTGCCCATCTGATCCGGCTGCCATTCTGCAAACAAACTTTCAAAATTCTAGTATTGCATAGGTTGTTCTTTTGTTTTCAGATTGCGGATTGATGCTCAATCATTCATTATGAAATAAAAAAATTCATTTAGTTTTCTCGAGAGAAAACAGTAAACACTAGTGAGGTGCACTTGAACATTTGTTACTTTGTAAATGATATCGGCATGTTCCCTATGCCTGTATGGGTTTATATTGTTAATTTGTGATGCATTTGTGTTCGGTCTTTGCAGATTATCAAGGGCTAACAAGGTCCTTCTGTCATGGGAAGATCTATTGTTCCTTGATCACGGCAAGACTTGTAAATATGAAGCTTGGGATCCCTTGGGACAAATTACAAGTTTTACCTCTCAACCAAAGGATCAGTATCGCTGGTGTTGATGTGACATGCTTGGATGCAAACCACTGCCCAGGTTCCATCATAATACTCTTTGAACCTCCAAATGGTAAGGTATGCTCCATATTGACTTCTTAAGACATTGTCATATTATGGTGGTTATCCCATTATCATTTGTTAGATTAATCCCAAATTTTGTTTAAATTTTTAGGCCGTTTTACACACAGGTGATTTCCGCTTTTGTGAGAACATGGCTAGCGTGACTGCCTTACAAATTTGTCGCATCCATACTCTAATCCTTGATACTACATATTGCAATCCCCAGGTAACTGTGCACTTTTGAGTAATTGCTTTTTCTCTTGCCAAAAAAAATATGCTGTAAAGGAGATTTAGTTAAACTAAACTTTCCACTTAGACAATTACAGTTATGGATCATTGATGTATGGGAGTATTCTGCAAAAGATCCAGGTTCTTATCTCACTTGGATTTGAAGCTGACTAAAATGGAGCTAACAACCTCATTGCAACTAGGAAACTACTTAGATTTGGGATCTCCAAAATTTAGCTTGATGTTATTGACCAAAAGTTGCTTGTTGAACTAAATGAGAAATATGAACTAGAAAAGCTAAAGTTAAGCAATAACTGATCTTGCATCCCTCATCCTTCCACTTTCTTAAATGAAAAGCATCAGCTTGCGTTATACCTTATTTGACTGAAGATCTATATGGAAAATGAAGTTTATCTTGTTTCACGATTTCTTGCAGTATGATTTTCCAAAGCAGGAGGCTGTAATACAGTTTGTCATCGAGGCCATTCAAGCTGAATCTTTCAACCCCAGAACTCTTTTTCTAATTGGAAGCTACACAATTGGTAGACACTCTCTCCTCTCTACTTAATCCTTTTCAACTTTTCTCTCCTACACTCTCCACCTCTAATTTTGGTGCACATTTATTTATTTACTTTTGCAAAAGGAAAGGAAAGGCTGTTCTTGGAGGTTGCTCGTCTACTTCATAGAAAAGTTTATGTTACTGCAGCAAAGTTCCGTCTTTTGGAATGCTTAGGTTACTCCAAGGAAGACATGCAGTGGTTCACATTAAATGAACAAGAAAGCCAAATACATGTGGTCCCTATGTGGACGCTTGCAAGCTTCAAAAGACTGAAACACATATCCAATCAATACGTGGTGAGGATAGCTAATCTATATTTTTTGCATTTTTTGAATATCAGATTTCAATTATGACATTTGGATTTGACTTGACAGCTAAGGTCCAATTTCTCCAAAACTCTACTTGTAGGAATAAAAAGCATCCCAGAGGGAATGAGTTACTCGATATAGGACATGAAACAACAAATTTTAGAAATAAATAGATAAAAAGCACAAAGGGTGTAGTTGCCAGGACTAGTGCTCTAGGCACTTACGTGGTTATCCAATTACAATGTCACATGGAGGCTTACTCCTACTTGCTCCTTAGGTAAAGGTCAACGTGCTTTGGTTTTTTCAGTTAACAAGAAAATATTTATTGTGTGTCTCGCTGGTATTCTTGATTCTAGCTTATCCTTCTATTCCCTTTTAACATTTGTAAGTTTGCAATTATTAGAAGAAAATATCTAGACATCTGATGCACTAAAGATACTTTCAGCTCACATATAAAACAACAAATGCTTATCACTTAGTTAGGCTAACAGTAGAATGATAATATCAGTTTGTGCTTGAGCTTAGTATTTTTTTTTTTTTTTTTTTAACTTAGTTAGGCTAAACAGAAAGAATGAATAATATCAGTTTGTGCTTGAAGCTTAGTAATTTTTTTTTATTTTTTTTTTTGAAGAGTAATTTATCGCATTTCTTCCCGCTTCTTGTTTAAGGATCGATTCATTTTTTTTTTTTTTTTTTTTGAAGATGTAATTTTATCGCATTCTTCCCGCTTCTTGTTTAGGATCGATTCAGTCTTATAGTTGCTTTCTCTCCGACTGGTTGGACATTTGGTAAAGGGAAAAAGAAGTCACCTGGGAGAAGATGGCAACAAGGAACCATTATAAGGTAAACGGTTAACCCCTATAACATAATCTACTGGCTTTACTCAATTTTCCAGTAGTCCTCTGTGCAATGCTTAAACAGCATTGAAATAAGTTTTTCATCCTCGAAGTGCACTGATGGGAAAGGATATCTCTATTGAACACATCCTGGCATAAAGTTTCTGGGAATTGCAAAATCACCTTTCAAGTAACCCATGATTAATTTGCTTCACTGTGTAACAGGTATGAAGTTCCATATAGTGAGCATTGCAGTTTCAGCGAACTTAGAGAATTTGTGAAGTTTGTATCTCCTGAAAAGATAATACCAAGTGTAAATAACGATGGACCTGAGTCTGCTGATACAATGGTTTCCCTCCTATTGTCTTGATTGGTTGACGCAAACTTAGAGAAGGCATTGCCTTTGATTCAAATGAAATATATGCACTTAAAACAGGAAGGACAGCTGAGCTCCACAACGGTCGCATCAAATAGCGATCACAGGTTGATCATTGTTGATGCTGTGAAAATACAGTCATATCAAATTCAATAGAAGAATAGCAAGAATCTGAGAAGCTCAATGTTTTTAAGAGTGGACATGGTCCTATCCTCATTATGTTATTGTAGCAGAAATAGATAAGATGCGAGGCTAGGATTTGCATATTCTGTTGTCATAATTTGTATAGTATATTTGTCCGTAAAACATAAAAACTATATATATATTGTTGTACTTTTTCTTTAGATATTGCCATATGAAAATGAAAGAAACGGAGCCATTTTAATAATGGATCACAAATCGTTTACAAATAATTCTCAAAACTAATAATAGACGAAACTCCACTGGATGGAGCATCAAGTGAGATGACTTATTAGATAAATATATATATTTTAACGAGCTTCTCAATTGCTGTGGACATGCCGGAGTGGTTATCGGGCATGACTAGAAATCATGTGGGCTCTGCCCGCGCAGGTTCGAATCCTGCTGTTCACGATCTTTCTTTTGACTTTTTTTAAGTCAAAAATTATGTTATGGCCTCCACGGTTTTGACTCCTGTCAGTAACAGTCAACTCCCCCAAAGGGACAGGCTTTCTTCTGGAAATTGAAAGGTCGAAGGGGCAGGCTTACTTTTCGAAATTGGAAGGTTGAATTTTCTTTTCACAGAACTGTGTGAGAGACAGATAACACAGCAGCCTGTTTTGTAGTCTTATAAAAATGGCCATCCACATGTACTCAACATTTTGTTCTTCCCAAATGTCAATTTCCATGTTATTCTGTTGTTTTCTTTTTGTTTGTTCCCTTTTATTTTGCCCTTTTTTTTTTTTTACTTTTCCATAATTATTATAATTAGGCTTCCCCAAAATCTAATTTTAATACAAAATATGACAAAAATTAAATAAATTTTGTTGATTTTGCTAATTAATCTCAATGATCATTGATTCGATTCCATAATTATAAGTTCATTTCATACCTATGTAAACAGGTTTAAAAATAACAGAAATATCAAAATATCAAAATTCATGCATATTCATTAGTAAAGGTTACACAGAGATGGAATATTTAATTTTAGATTTTCTTTTACACTCATCAGCACATTAAATTTTTTTTTTTTTTTTAAAGTAATATTTAAAAATATATTAGCAGAACTTAAAGAGACAGCCGGGTCCCCCGTCTGAAAAGGGAAAACACAAAGGTTGTGGAACTTACATATTTTACGTTTTGAGTGGGAAACACAAACACTAGTAATGAGGTTAATTTTTCACGTGGGTTAAAAGCTATTGGGTGTTTTAAGATATAAGACCATGTTCGATGTTTCCTTCCCATCTCCTGTTTCTGACTCCAACCACTCACCTTTCTCTCTATTTTTTTCTTTAATGCATAAAACTATATGAAAATTAAAAAAAAAACACTTATTAATTTTTTTTAGCAGACTTATTAAACATAATTTTAAAAAAATTGAAAATGTCACTGGATTTAGATGGGCATTTGGCTCTCTTTTTTCCTATCACACTATGTTTGTAAATTCAGTTCACAGACTTATTATTAATATTGCATGTGAGAAATTAAGAATCAAACACCATTAATTCTAATTATTAAGGTTAGTTTTAATTAATAAAATGCTTTTCATACACACATTATAAAGAATTATTCATTCTCATTAAGTTAATTCATTATCTTAAAATATGGGTTTTTTTTCTCATCAATTGGAAGATTCAATGGGTTGAAAGGAGTAGCTTGTTAGGTAATAACGTTTAGTGTTTTGAACTAGTCAAAACACTATTTCTCTAAATTATTATGTTCAATAGCTTGATATATATAGAGTAACTTTCAGAAGTCTATAGAGTGTTTTTAAAACGTTATCTTAGCAAATGTTTCACTTTTTTTACTAATTTTTTTTACAATCTTATCATTATCCTTAATTAATATAAAATCCTTCACATACGTGTTTTATTATCTTTATGTTTGGCTTACTTATATTTAATAATAAAAAAAATGTTATTTATATATTTGTATTTAAACTAAAACAAATATTAAAAATTAAAAATATTGATCCCATAAAATATTAAAAATTTTCCATTTTATTTATAAAATAGTGAGTTTTTCAATTTTTGCTCCCTCAAGTTTTGAAAATTTAGATACAGTGAAATCATTTTTTTATAATGAATTTAATTGAAAATTATAGGTGAATATTTCAATATCCTTTTTCGTTATTTTAAATTTATTGTCAATCAAACAACTATTTTTATTGAACACTTTTATTTTTAACGACTATTTAGTTAAAGGCTAATAACTGTTGCAACAGGTAAGATGTAGAATTGCTGGGTCCTTCCCCTTGGTCTAAAAGAGTAGCATTAATTAATTACTTGCGTAGGACAAAAATATCACATATAGGAAATGGCATATTATTTATTAATTATATTAACATGCCACCCCATAAAAACTATAGGCATCCTACTGTAAATGTGCACCATCATTTACTTGGTTCTACATATAGCAGTTGGCTTGTATGTGTAACTGCTGGAGATGGCACAAAAAGACTGGTCTATTTCTCTCCTACTAAACTTACAGCTTGGCGCAAAAAAAAAAAAAAAAAAAAAAAAATGGCAACAAAAAGACTGGTCTATTTCTCTTCCTACTAAACTTAACAGCTTGGCCGCAAAAAAAAAAAAAAAAAAAAAAGAGAGAATCAGCAACCTCCAGCAAAAAAAAAAAAAAAAAAAAAAAGAGAGAATCAGCAACTCCAGCAGCTAAAATTCGCCGAACTTACTTCAATTAAAATTCCAAAGAAATGATTGCTGTGAATAATCCTCGTCCCCATTATGATCATCGTTCCCAGTATTATGATCTTCACCGTCATCAAATGGCGGTGGCGGTGGCGGAGGAAAATATTCATTACCCATATTATCCAGTACTGAATAAAGTTCAAATTTTGAAACACCTTCGTTAGAACCCAGTGAGTTAAGAAACGACCAATCTATTGCATTGTCCTCAGACGACGAAGCGTACTGATCCATTGCTTGCGATGATGATTCTCCTGTGCGACTCATCCTAGTTGTGGTTGCATTTGGGTTCGGGTTCTCATTTGCATACCTAGACGCTACCGCTTGGATTTCTTGTGGACTCAGTGACTGTCCACCGTCAATATTATCCGGGGGATTATCTGGAAAATTGAATTTTGCACCTCGGCCACGTAGACAATACAAAGCTGCATCAAATGCTCGCGCTGCCTTTTCCGGTGTGTCGTAAGATCCTAACCAGATTCTTTCCCGACTGTTCGGCAACCGGATTTCCGACACCCATTTCCCCCACTTTCGCTTTCTTACACCTTTGTATTTCGGCTCATTTCTGTCAGAAGAAATTTGCTCGGGTGATGACGCTGACGATGTTGCTGGTTTCAACATGGATTTTTTTTTTCTTTTTTAATTACTATATTTTAGTACTTGTCGAGGAAGAGGACGACGGTGGTCGAGTGCTGTGGTGGATAATAAAAAATGGCGGCTCTGGTGAGAGATTTATATAACAAGAGAGATCTCAGTGATTTGAAGATCCAAGCGTGTTGATTTGGAAGTCAGAGTGGATCGTAGTAGATCAGCGGCACGTGTCAAATGTAAGAATATGATGATGTGGCAACGCGGGAGACGGGGAGAGTCGCGGATTATAAACATGTGCTCTGTTATTATTAATTATTATTATTATTATTATTTTATGGAAATGGATTTATGGTTTTTTAGAAACAGAGCTTTATTTAACACGTGGATGAAAAGGTTGACGGGACACAGGTGGGGCGAGCTTTCCTTGTCCCATCATGGTTTTGAAAAGCTTTCTTTTTCACTCTATTGTACGGCAGGTACTGTGCACTCGCAGTGCTGTGCTATTTTTGGGGCAGAATTTGTAACAACTCGCGTTTTTACGCTTGTGTTTCATTTTTTATGTTAGAAATTCGTAGAACAAGAAGGAAAAAGAATGTTGATGATTAATATTAATTATTTTTGGTTTAAGTCAATTTATTGACACGATTACATATCTTGTGGATATTAAAATATCACCGATTAATTTAGTCACACTAAAATAGGCTGCTATAATAAGTCAAGATTTGAGAAGTCTTAAGCCCAAAATTGGAGGTCCAAGCCCACATTCTAGAATACTTCACAATTCTTCACACATGAGATGTAATGAAAATATTTTGCCTAACTCTAGAATGTTCCTTGTAATCTATTTGCCTAACTCTAGAATGTTTTCCTTGTAATAATGTTCCTTGTAATCTAGACCGTCCATTTTTATAAACAAATCTTAGCCGTACATTGAGGAAGTGAAAATGCCTATAAATACCACCCCTCACCTCATTTGTATAACCAAGCAAACACCAAGCAAGAATCAAGTAAATAATCCTTTTCTTAAGCTTTGTGAATGTTTCCTTCTTATTAATACAAATATATTTGGTGTTTTGTGTTAGTATTATTTTGATTGTCTTTCCCTTTATTATTCTTGGTGTTATAAATTATTAATCAATCTTGGAGTTTATTACTACACTTATATCCAATAAGTGGTATCAGAGCTGATATCCAACAAGTGGTATAAGAGCCTGGTTGTGGTGGTAGTTGTTGTAGCTGTGGTATTTGTGGTGTTCATTTATAAGTGTAGAGTATCGTTACTCTGCTGGAATTAATAGTCAGGGACTGTTGTTGAAGCAAGATTCACAAGCAAGGATTGTGATCTTGATTGGTCAAGGACCATTGTGCCTTGGTTAGTGTCAGGAATACTAGTACCTTATGACGGATTTTTCTAGAGTTGCTAATAGCATCGAGAAGCTAAATAGCAACAATTACGGGAACTGGAGTACCCGTATGAGATATTATCTCATAGGTCAAGGTCCCGTAGAGATTATATCTCATAGGTCAAGACTTATGGGATATCGTCGGAGGAGATAATCTTACAAAAACCCAAACTACACACAAACAAACCACAAAAAAAAGTACAATTACCACCAAATAACACCAGTTGGGGATGCGAAATGCGTTCTGAGAGTGGGAGACAAATGCGGGAAGGCGTGGTATGTGCTTTTGATTT